ACTTAAATGTTTTTCTTGGATATCTCTTATTATAAAAATTATCAAAAAAGAAGCTTATAAAAGCTCTTTATATAAGACGATTATGTATCCAAATGATTATTACGTACCTATACGCAAATAATTACCTAATACCTACCACGAGACCCCTCTTATTTTCTATAAAGATTTTCTTCACGAAACATACATATGACGTCGACTAGTCGTTTGATTCGGTCGTGCGACTAGTCGCAAATAGCCGGTACATCTCTAGCTTTACCGTTTGCTTTTGTGTTGAGGATTTAACACCTTGCTTGTCGGCGGCCATTGAAGCCTTTGTGCTATGATTCATAGCGTACCATTATTGTTACCGATTGCGAAATTAATTTTCCCCCCAACTTTGATATAATGGCGTCTAGCAAATTGTTAGATATTAATTTTGGATATTACTTAATTGTTTCCTTTAATCTCAATTAATTTGAGATTTTTTTATGGGGACGACAGACAAGCACTTGAAGGTGATCCCCAGCCATATAACATCACAAGAAGATGTGTTGTCGATCTAGTTTAATTTTGGATATTCGGTAAATAAGACTAAAACCGAAACGCGATTAAACTTCGCTGCTTTGTTATTTGTGGACGATGGTTTGATCCCGGGCCGAAAATCCGATATTTCTGCCTCTCATTTATATATATCCAGATTCGTAGACGAAATACGAAATGTTTCAGAAACATTATAAACAGATTAGATACCCGGTGGACATTGAACTCCCGTCCTATTGATTATTGCTTTGCTACCATTAAACCAACGAACTCGTCAGAAATATAGTTAAGCCTTGTTTTATAAATGGTATATAAAATTTGATTTTTCACTTAAAGCCTTTTTTTAAATCTCAAATATTTAAATAAAACACTTAGAAAAACGCCGAAACGTCGGGCCGAAGTTAAAAATCATTTTCTAGTAAGTTCAACGAATATATCGCGTTTTAAACCGTTAAAGTGTTTCATTTAAATGTGTACTACTCGCGTAAACTATAGACAGTATTTATCTAATATATTTTAAACACCTTTTCATAGTATGCTTTTGTCGTAAAAGCGAAAGCGTTTAAAGATATAATCTTTAAAAATTTGCCATGAACGTGAATTCGATTCCCCGTGAAATACAATTAAGTTGTTCCAGCCATAGGAAAAAGAGATACTTTTAATATGTTTGTAGAACTATGCACAGACAGCGACCATTACAGTTTTATTAAACTCCGTATGCAGAATCCCTTCAATTGATTCACAGTATAGATACGACACAAACGTTGGTGCCCCGCCGTTTATTTGCCGCAGACCATTAATTTATAGAGCAATACCGACGCCGATTTTTATTTATCCAATGTATGCACTTGGCTAAACCGTGTTATTTACTCTGTGCTCGCGGAAAACATGTGTGGTGCGGTTAGTGTACTATAATCTATAACCATATAAATACTAGTATTATAACATTACAATCTCGTTCGAACTGAAAACTTATTTTTGTGTTGGATAGGTCATTTATCGAGGAAGATTTAAGGGTGCATAACGTCTCGCTGCGACGAATAGGAGTTGTTGTGTTGTTAGTTGATGTTTTAAGAATCGTGATGACGTTTAAAATAAAGAAAATATATTTGTTGCCTTAATTGTTATCAACTATCGAATCCTTAACTACTACACTTTATTTGTTTTCTTCACTACGCTTAAGCACTAATTGTCTTTAAAAAAATCTAAAGTTAATATTGTGTTAATTTAATTTATCTACGCATCACGAGCCTTGTAAACCTTTTAATATTGCTTAATACAAATAAATGCATTTTGCAATTCCGACCTAAAATTAAGCAACTAATTGTAACTAATGTCCCTGATTTAAATTTCATGCTACACCACATTTAATATGCAACATTATGCAAGGGACTTTGTCTGAATTAACGAATATGACATCCCCCACAGATAAAAAGGTCAGTTTAATAAAATGTAAATTGCTGTAAAATTGTCAAATTAAAACAGGTTTTAATCAAGAAGTTTTTATGCATATACATCCTTGCCTACGTTGACGTATGGTTTAGCTTTAGCGCATTGAATGTTGTACACTTTTAACGGTTAAAAACGCAAAACATATTAGTAAAAATATTTTTAATTTAACTACGGCACAATATTTCGTTTACTCATAGCCACAATGGGATTATAGATCGAAAAAACGTCGGGTCGTATTGAAAATAAATTAAAAGTAATTTCACTAATATGTTTCCCATTGTAAATCGTTAAAAATGTTTTATTTAAAATACTGGCGTAAGCTCCAGAGAGTATTTCAAGATTAAAGTATCTGTTGGCACTTATTCCAATATGTCGTTCAGATCATTTTACACTTGTTAAATAAATATGAATGACCGATATAGATACAAAACCGTTTTAATGAAAAATTAGTTTAATTTACCCGGCTTTTTTGTATACCGAAAATGTATATGATTTTGTACAACAACTAAATACAGTAAGCTATTTGACGATATTGTCTGCGAGTGTTACATACTTCTTATACTTTACGACTATACATACACGAACAAATTTATGAAAAACTATCAAATTTCCTCCCTTATCTTTAAATCCGAGGTCTTTGACCGCCAACAAAAAAGGGTAAAAATATCTTTCGCTCTACGGCAACCAAACGAAAGCGAATGATACGAAATTGCCGCCTTTGTACCGAGCGAATCTTTTGCGGAATCGCGAAATAATATTTCCAAGTCCGTGAACAAAGCCCTCCTTCTGTTTGAAGTGAATGCTTTGGATATTTGTCGCGAAATATCCTGCCAAAGTGTGAACATGTTAGCGATTCAACGGTTATTTTATTGAGGTCACAAATATTTCTTAAGAATTCATGTCTCACAAGATTTTATGGCTTCCAATAAGTAAGGTATAAAAGTATTGTCTTTCAACCCTTTTATGCTCGTAATCCCACTGTTGGGACGTGGATAAGCTTAGCCACTGATTCTCTATCAGCCACACACATATACATGAGCATATTTTTGTTCTAGAACAATTAAGAACACACGGGCGATTTCACAAAACTCTACAGTTTAAAAATAACGCTGCGGAGTGTCATAAATACAAAGATTTGTACATACAAATAAAAACTAAAGCCACTATCATAGGTAGTTTTAATAGTAACTAACTACAATTAATCTCGTGTTGCATCGCAGTCTTGAATTTCCCCACAACATAACATAATGAGGCTGCTAGAGACAGAGCGGCCTAATAAAAAAAACACGATTTTCAATAAGGAAATAAAAATGCGCAATTAACTTAGGCGAAAATGATTTCACAATTTTCATTACTGCGTTCTTGTAGATTAAAATAATTAAACTATAAAAATATAAATAAGTCAAGTCATAAAAATTGCAGTTAGGCTACTCTGGCTCTAGCGGCCTCGTATATAGTAACGTAGTTGAAATTTAAAGAATTCGATATGACTACACGAAAAATAACTTTACCAGCGTTCTATTTTAAACCTCGTCGTTTTCTATTCGCGTCCTAACTTTAATACAACGATAAAATTCCCAGTCGCAGAAGTTAACATAAATAACGTTCTAAACAACGTCGGGAGCTCTGGAGAGTCTTCGAAGCTACCTCAAGAAATAGCGTCAGATTTAATCACGAGAAAATATAGGAAGTCTGCGCTGTAGTACCTAATTCCCTCACGACATAGGAATTGGGCACTGTGCCCACAATGCAATTTAGAACTTCATATATTTTATATTAATTGGTTTGTTCTCGCGTGGGATCGGGTGACAACTTTGATTTGACGTAACTTCCTCCTTTGTGTAGTAAAAAAATATTTATAATCTGTATCGTTATACATTTCCGCTCCTTTATAATATTAGTTATGTACGATTTTGAATTAATGGTTATTTTCTTACAAAATCTTTTTATTTTCTTATAAAATCTTCTCAAAATAATTCATTACACATACCGATTTTTTCTCATTGTTTTAGTAATTTAGACTTGTAGTAACGTGTATTGTTGTTATATATTTAGAGATTTTAGATTTGATTGTCACAAAAATATAAAGGATACAATATTATTTATTTGTCTATGAAAATGCAAATTATTCATTATCTGTATAAACTAAATCTTTACTCAATTCCTAAAGGAACAATAGTTTTGTTTGTTGTTAATTATGTCAAGTTCTTAATTCAAATATTTGGATATTGTCAGTCTGTAGAACGTTCTCTGTGTTACAATTTGATTATCTGTAGAAAAAGTTTTAATCTGTTGTATATAATCTTTTATCTATACTATTAATATTAAAAAGTTTGTACAAATAAACATTTATATCCAGGTTAAGAATGGCTAGGTTAACTCCTATATAGTCCCGTCCTTTTAATCTTAATAAGTCTGTGTACATTTTATGCGTGTGCTCTTAACAAATATTTACATTGGTCCGTAGTCCGTACCTCAGGACAATTGAAGATATGTGTTACCATTATAATTATAAATGTATGGAGTTTAATATACATCCATACATCCTCTTTACTTATGTATTATTTTTAATTATTAAGTTAAAACAATCACAAACAACTTCAGAGAAGTCATAATTAACAATTTACTACTGAAAGTTGTAGAAAAATGTTAGTGCAAACATAATTAAGTATCATTAAATTCGCCAAGAACTATCATTAAAGATAAGATTAGGTAGAATTGAATAAAACAAAAAAAACAAACAAGATGGAAATCGTATTACAACTGGACTATCATATGCTTGGAAAAAGGCCTAACTAAAAGATTATACATTTAATTTATTTAATTAAAAATTTTTAATATTTTAACACGCAAATTACATTGGTTAAATTTATTTAAAAATAATTTTAGGCTATATTACTTTCTATATATGTCACGTTTCAAACGTTAGTGTTTTATTTAAATATGCACTACTCGCGCAAACTTCAGACATTGAATTTATGTCAAATATGTGTCTTATTGTGTACTTATTGAAAAATACACATTTTCAGAGTCGCGAAAGCCTTTCATCAGATGGGGAAGGTGCGAAGGGAGACTGCTCATCAGTCGGATCCTCAGGGTCTGACTCCGATGAACAGCCTCCGTGTGATATTGGACTGCTGGAAAGGTTGATAAGGACTCATCCGGTTTGGTTCCTGCCAGGGATCCAGAGGGCTGGAGCATTCCACCTTTTACAAGGAAAGGAGGAAGGGGTAAGTTTAGAATTTCGTAGTAAGACCAAAATACCTAACCGGTGTATCACTTACTTGTTTGATGTAATTTGTTGAAAAAAACATATTGTTTCTGCCTTTTACTGAATAGGAGCGGTCAATGTGATAAATACTTGATATATATATCCAAACTAGCTGTGTCAACGAATTTGTCTGAGCAGAATAGTTATTTGGGGCATCAAGTTTTTTTTTAAAGTCCTCCACATCTTAATAAATGAAAGCTCTTACCCTCTTCGTTAGCGTCCCGTCGTCCTTGCAAATTAATCTTGAAAGATATACTGTCGTGGACATTTTTTAGATCATTTAAAGACAAATCATTCTTGGGTATCTTGAAACATATTCGTCCCATACGCAACGGAAATCCATAAGGATGAATATTTTTTTCCGTTTCATTTGACCCGCTGATTCTTCACTGCTGCTATAAAACATCACAATTATAATATATACATATATAGTCTATAGCATTTCTTGATAAATGCTCTAACCGACACAAATAATGTTTCAATTCGAATTCGTTCAAACATACAAACAAACTTCAGTTTTGTATATTAGTATAGATATAGAATAGTGATGCTAAAACCACCAACATCCATATTCCAGAATTTCGTGGTACGCCAGTCGAGCCAGGCTGACACGATGGCGATAAGCGTGCGTCTGCCAGCTGACAAAGGTCCCTACATCGAACACTACCTTATCCAAGCCTCCGGCGGTCGAATTGGCCTCGAGACTTCGACCAACCGTTTCGACAATATACCGGAGTTAATAGCGCATTATTCTCAATGTTGGTGAGTCTTTTGTTTTGTTCTGGTGATGTCACACCTCCTACAAATTGTAGAGCGTAGTGCAGACTATTACAAAAGCTCTAAGTAGATATAAGATGACCGGAGTTTATATAGGATATTAAGACATAATTATAGTTTTACGGGTTTTGGAATAACAAAAACTTACTTTTAATACTAGCAACCCCAGTTATATATATACTATATATATATACACACATATATACTATATTAATAGAAACTATTATTGTTGGGTGCGAACTAAATTATCACTACATATTTTATAAACATAGTCGCTTTTCTGTCCCTATTTACGCTTAAATCTTAACAACTACGCAATGGATTTTGATGCAGGATTTTTTAATAGATAGAGGTTTTTATATACAACTTAACAGTTTTTTTAGTCCCTATTTAGTAATAACCCGAGCGAAGCCGGGACGGATCGTTAGTTATTTATAAATTGGTATTCGTATATATCTTATATTTATTTCACTCGGGACAAAGTTATACTTAGATTAAAGGGATTTTTGTATAACAAAAACTTACTTCCCCTTTCATATTAGCAACACGAATTAAATGTTTATTAGAGTTTACGACCTATGGCCTTGGGTGTTAACTAAATTATTAAGTTAGAAATTAATTTGCCTTACAACTTAAACTCTATTGATATTTATATTTCGTACTTTGTTAGAATATTTGATACTTTGGAAATTAATGTTTGTTCGGACTATTTAGGTCATACTGTCTAAAATGTATAAGAAAGAAAAAAGTCAAGTCAATATTAAATTTAATCAGGTATGTACTATAAGGGAATAATAGTCGATAGCGCATTTTGTATAGATATTATATGGCTGGGGTGTTTCACCTCTCATTCATTGAACGACATGCTTGTCTGTCCTCATCTATTAAAACAATAAATATACTTTCAGCGACGAATTACCGGTCCAACTTCAGCTACCAAGGCCTCTGCGAGAAGCCAAGAGTAGACACCAACTTAGCTCCCTAGCGCTTCTTGGTCAAGAGTTCTGGGGATACCCGATGGCGAATCCAAAGAATAATCCTGCCAATCTCCTTTCACCGTGTCAGCTGGCTACTGGCATCGTTCCAATGGCTGTCACTCCTTCGGAGACTGGATCTAGTCTGAGCAGTTTTAATGCAAGTAAGTATTGACATTGATAACATCCGCTATTCGGATAGAGAGACAGCACTATTTTAACGGATTTAAACGCAATGCTGTATAAATTCTTCATTTGTCTTTTTTATTCTTTTATATTTATTTTCTTTACATAAAAATATAATCTACTCAAGTAAAGTAGTGTCCAACTCAGTCATCAACACCTCCTAAGCTTATACGATTGGTCTTATTTTATTTCCACGCTTCCACTCTTTTTTCAATTTCACTATACTATATTAGTTATCTTATAACCTTTACTTTTATACATAAAACACTTATAACTGTTAAAAAATCGAAATATATTTGATACTTTTATTTAAAATTCATTTTCAGATACCAATTCGAAGGAGCGAATATTTAACGCTGATAAGGAACATAGCGATATGCTGAAAATGTCTCCGGTAGAAACATCAGGGTCGCCGCCAAGTCAAAGCTTAAGTACATTCAAAGGAAAGACCCCACCATCCCCACCGGCGAAACCGAATGGGACATTTGTACGGGCACCTAGACCCACCCCACCAAATACATTAAACCTTATGTCTACTACCGTAAGTACCAATATCCAAGATTCTTATTGTGGTGAATAATGAATAAGCTGGCTAGCAATGCTTACTTTAAATTACTTTTAAAGAAAAACTTTCACAATTTAACACATTTTTTTTATAGGAAGATATAATTTTTTGATGTTTTCTTATTTTTCGTTGGGCTCCAATTAATGTACCTCGCTCTACGCTACTACTAAGCTCAATAGTAACGATTCGAGTTCTGTTTGTTGTATTTTTTTTGAATAAGTAAATAAAACACTTAACGATTTAAAACTTGAAATATGGCAGCTTATTGACGATCCGACGTTTCCGATGTATTGCAGCAGTCGTGGTCTCAGGGGGGGCTGAAGGATCTCTAATGACAAAGATAATCTGCTATGCTACCGACATCTGTTTCCTCGTATTTTTTAAAAACATATGCCCATATTATATCGACGTCAAATAAAATGTGAACCTTTCTCTTACTTATTTAATAATTTACCTGCATCGTAAAGAAAATAACAATAAGCCAGCTTATTCAACATACAATTGTATAAAGCTTTCGTCGTTCTAAACCGATAATTAAAATGCATAACATATTTGCAGGCTCACATAACACAGCCGCATACATTCCCAACGACAAACCCACCTCAATTGTCACCCACACACCCTCACAAATCCACGCCGCCCCCTCCTCCTCCCAGGTGGGCGAAACCTTTCTCAAAGATCTCCTTATCTCCGAAATGCGACTCGCTGGCTTTTACTCCTATTAACAAAGCGAATGGAAACATAACGGTTACAACTACGGTTACATTTAGCGTGAATAACACACAGATACACAATCACCAAATAAACGAAAGTATTCAGAGTGATCGGTTGCAATTAACGCTTGCGTCTAATGCCAACAATAATGCCAACGTATTCAGCATGGACGGGAAGTCAGAAGCGAACGGAGACCAGGTAACGAATTCCGCATATTTCCGCATGGTGTGCGCGTGCTTGCATGATAGTGGTCTAGATGTATTCGCTTGCATACTAATACATATATTATATTACCATAAAATTGTAAACCGCTAGATTGTTAACTATTTAGCAAGTTAAACAAAAGTTTTGGATGCTTTGCAGCAGCCACGGTCGCGGGGAGAAACGTCGGGCCATAGTTAAAATAATTCTCAAATCAGTTTAACTAATTTATATCTCGTTTTAAACTGTTCAAGTGTTTTATTTAAATATGTATTACTCGCGTAAACTATAGACAAAGTTTATGTTGTCTATGAACTGCTTTAATTTGAACCGTAATTTTCATCGTAAAACTGTGGGAAATTTAGCTGAATTTATCGTACTTATCGTTAGTGTTGCCAATAGATTTTTTATTTGGTAATTTGCTGTATTAGCATTATATGATCAAACAATGCAGTCTGTGCGTCGTTGTTTCTTACTCTAGCTAAACAGATTACAATCTAACAGTGTTTACAGTTTTACGGTGGCATATGACTGATTTAAAATGTTCTTGTTTCTATATAGAATATGTTGCACCGTTTATCGCCAGAGGGGGAATGCATAAGTACAATGACGGCTAGTTTACATGGAAGCTTTAAAAGACAGATAGAGAGTACTGAGCCAGGATCTCCCAACGAAGGCTCACAGACGAACAACTCGGATTCCGTAGACCCCGGTGTCAATACATTCACAAAATCAACTAACAGCTTTGCTCCAAATCAATTAGTTTCACCGAATGGTACTAATTCTGTCACCAGTGGTATATTCTCGCCGACTAGTCAAATAAATTCACCAGTCTCTAATGATACTATCTCATCTAAAAGTGGAGTGTTTTCACCTCTCAGTCAGACTAAGAGCGATGTTTTTTCCCCGCTATCAAGAAGTTCTCCTATATCCAATAAAAATGTATTTTCCCCAACTTCAAATAATTCTATCACATCAACCATGAGTGCTAGGGAGAAGGTTTTATCGCCGAATACAAATACCACGAGTACAACACCATCTGGTAGATCCAGGAGAAGTAAACACTCCCTACGTAAGGAGTCCAGACATTATCAGGTAGGGACATTATACATATTTGCCGAATTCGCAGAATAATGAACAAACCAGAAACAAAGCTTTTGAAAGTGAAGTCATATCTACTTCTCCAGATTGGAGTAGAGTGGACAGGAGAAGAAATTTTAATACTTTGAAAGGATTGAGATATTTACGTTAGCATCGTTAATTTACACCAAAGGAGATCCCTCCTTCTGGTTTAATCAATATTCTGTGACCTAGCTGTAGTAACGCAATAATGAGCTACAGTAGAAATACAAATATAAGACATAGATTATTATAATATAATATTTATGAGGACCTAAAAATGTATATAGCATTTTGTTTGAGATTTTACTAACAGCATGAATAGTTTTAGATAAACATTATTAAAAAAACTTGAATAAGCTTTTCAATTTTCGCTTACTGACCATTATCTCATATTTTAGGAGTCTGATATCCTAGAATCACCAGGAGTATACTATAGAAGTTCTTTAATGGATAAAGTCAGTGACTACGAAGATATATGGGGACCGGAAGGCAACAATTGTACTACTTTCAAACCTGTTAAGGCCGAGAACGAAAGTAATGTTCATAACGGCCTGATGAAGAGCAAAAGACCAGATTTATTACCAGATACATTGCGTGAGTAATGAGATCTAAAGTTAACATTAGCCTTTATAGTTCTTTAGTTACGTAATTCAAGCCAAATACTAACTATTATAGATTTTTACTACTCTTGACAATATTATATTGCCGAGTTATTTTTATTTTTTTTCAATTATGAAAAAAATACTATACCGGAGCATGACATTGTATATCATGACAAAAATCTTTTTGGTGTCAATTAATAATGTTTCCCAGTACAAGACCTCTTTAAATCGTGTTAATTACGTTAATTATTTTTAAATTTACAGCTAAATTAAATGCAGCAAAAAGTACACATTCCATAATGGAAAAAGAAAACATGATAATATTAGACTCATCTGAAAGCCTAAACGAAAAGAGGAATTTATCTGACAACTCTTTAAAGAAAAGTTTCAATGGTTCAAATGAAATAATAGCAACTACAAACAGTAAAGGCGATGTGATACCAAAAAGACCGGATAAACTTAACATTGTTTCCAATATGAATAAGAAATTGACTGAAGAAATCGAAGCTGCGCTTAAAAATAGAGAACATCATACGACTGAAAGTATGGAGACTGTTAAAATAGAAGACGAATGTAAGGATTGCAATGGAGAGGAATCTGAAAAGGACAATGCTGGTAGTCCATTTTATGCTGATCCAGTTGATACTTTAAAAGAGGTAAGATAAAATAACACTTAATAGATTAAACGCGAGAACGCGATAAAAGATATATTTGGTTCATGTTAAAAAAATTTTTTTACCATGAAAGCAGCAAGCAGTAAAATTATGGACTCAAAGAATATTAGTGTCCTAGATTTTGGTAGATGGATGGAATGTCATGGCGTCACGCAATTCTAAATAATAATATCTATAAATATTTCACGTATTTGGAAAATAATACAAGTTCTAGTCAATATCTTAAAGAACTAGTAAATATGATGTATAATAAGCAGCTACAAATCTATTTAGTACTTACAGAAAATTACGACAAAAGACGAGTATTATATCCCTCGATACCATTTGTATATACATGCTCCCGTATTGAAAAAATATTTGATTCTAGGCTGCAATGCTACCAGTGCAGAGACGTAAGCTGTTAAGGGTTGGTGTTAGCCTTTCGCAAAGATATTCAGAGCCTCCAAGTCAAAATCATCCATATTATCCCCTTCGTGACATGCACAGTATTGAAGAATTATCACGTAAGTATTAATACGCAAGTGTTCATGTTTAACTTAAATACAGAGTATGAAAGAAGTATATAAAAGAATTCGACGATGACGTGTAGGACACAGTAGCTTAATTGGTTAGAGCAGCATAGAACGCTGTGGATGCCGCTTCAAATCCTCCCGTATCGAAAATTCAAAATCCTTTTTTATGACGAAAATTCCAAATTTATGGAATTAGATGTCGTTAATGTCAATTGTTGACCGCCTTCGTGGTTATGCACTGCCTTACACAAAACTAACCTAAACTAAAACTGTGACGTAATACGGTCTTCTTTCGGTCGAGAAGGTAAATAAAATATATGAAATAGACACAAAGATATACTTCTCCTATGGCTAGGGGAAAGAAGAATTCATACACTATAGTGTATACCTCGACCTAACAATTAACTATTTAAAAAGTATCTAAACAAAGTTTGTACTAAAGTTAGAAGCGCTTTAATGGATGTTTTTGGAAACTTTTAAATACCTTTGTAAATGTAAAAAAATCTAAGGAATATATAGTTTAGTAAGAATTAAGTCATGCATGTTTAATTTTTAAATTTTAGCATCTTCCCCAAACACATCGACATCAGTGGACAATCTTGTGTCTCTTCGAAGTAAACCAAAAATGAAAGCTGTTGAACCTCCGCGTCTTGGTGCAAAGCCTCCCAATGGCAAAAATGAACAAACATGGGCTGTTGACTCTAGTTGGCAATTTATAAGTAAGTTATAAATAGTAAATACATGGCGATAATAATAAAGTATACGAATAATGGTTCACAGATCTTTGAAAAAATATAGTAACTATAAAGACTATATTGGCTACAATGGGTTAATTTATAGACTATACATTTTTAATAAAATATTTAACAAAACAGCGTGGGTTCCAAATGACTATACTAAAAGACACTGTCGCCTATTCTGATAAACACTAGGTTAGACAATCATTTTACCATATACTTAATCCCATATTTTTTTAGATAAAAATGATGATAGTACTGGTGAGAACGGCACCTTTCCTTCGCTAGCTGAACAAGAATGTCGCCTAAGCGCAGTGGATGATGGTGCCTTGCATCTCACAGTACATCAAGTGGTTGCACAAAGGTTCGTTTTGTACTTAGATAGATGCAAAAACAGGATGCTCCCGCTTTTTTTTCAAAGCCCTCTAGATTTTATATGTCAATTGTCATTCTCAATCCAATATGGCGGAAGATTTTAAGCGCAATTCAAGCGCATCATGTGGACATAATTTAATCATGTTATTATTATTTAACGGCGTATTATGATATAAGACCGCTAGAGCCAGAGTAGCCTAACTGCAATTTTATGACTCGACTTATTTATATTTTTATTATCTAAAAATATTAATTTACTAGAGCACAGTGACCGAACATTCTAAACCACTAATAGTGTAAATTCATTTTCGCCTACATTAATTGCACATTTTTATTTTTCTCCTTATTGAAAATCATGTTTTTCGTTATTAGGCCACGGTGGTTCTAGCAAACATATGTGTTAAAGAGTAGATTTTTTTTAGAAGATCTCAAAGGCCTTTGAAACATTTTGTTTGTTCATTTTGACACACCATCTGTGCAGGTTTCCCGACCTTCATTTGACATCAGAACCGACCAGTCTGCCGGAAGAGGTCAGATCTCCGCCCCGTGCCTCATGTTATGACAATGTACACGATCTCAGACCATTATCCGAACAAGTAATTACAATTTTATAAGAACCATTACAATCATACAATTTTTATTGACACATTTTTAATAGGTATTAACATAACAATAGGTAATAACATATTAACTAATGTGTCACTATGTCAAAAAAATTGTAATTAATTAGGTCTTGGAGTCCTCGAGTTGTCATTTAAAATTATACAAAACTTTTGTAAAAAAGACCGCCTCTGTAGCCAAATGGTTAAACGCGAGAGGTTCTGGGTTCGAATCCCAGGGAAACAAAAAACTGTTTCGGTCGGGCAGGGCGCACAAGTCTTAACAACTACTTGCCTGTTACAAGAACGGATCAGTGAAACGGACACAGAAGTGTGTTTGCCCCATTTTTTTTGCCCACAAGGGGGAAACGGGATTTCACTTTTTTGTAAAAAAATAAACTCAAAACTAGGAACGCAATTAACTGTTAGAATGATACAAATGTCAACGAAATTTAATCTACCTACCCGCTTGTATTATATTCTATTTTTTTATTTAGTCTAGCCCAACTGTGATAACTGTTTTAAGCTAAGTTTAAGTTAAACTTAAATTTTTAAATGAGGAAAACAGGACGGAAAAAAAACATTCAAGGCGATTAAGACCTTTTTTAAGTAACTATTAAGTAATTTATGGTTATTTTTATAGGCCAGTGATGATGGCACCGTGTTCTCTGAACCATGGGACAGCTCGCAGTGGGACGGTCTACTGCCCACAAATGGACATCACAATTACGAAACAGTATGTGCTACAAACAGTATTCTAACCAAAAAATACGCTTTGCTGTAACTACATTTTTTAAAGCCATATTTTAGACTACACTCGCATTTTTAAAGTATTTCATGTTTTACATTAAACACAAACAACACTCACATCATTTATATAGTTAGTTATTTGTATTTTTATATAATAGTTTTCAAAATCTTACTACGTTAGGGTTAAACTTATTTACAAATTATTTAACTGACCTGACGTTTCGGATTTGCAGCAGTCGTGATCACGGGGTTAACATTTGGCGTTTTAAACCGTTAGAAGTGTTACATTTAAATGTATACTACTGTCGTAAACTAAAGCCTAAACGAGACGTTCAGCGTGACTTTTAAGTTCTTGAACTGTGTCTTAATCGAGAATATTTAAGATTTATTTTAGCATAAGTAATTAAATAATATTTATTAATTCAATCAGGAAGAAACCTGTGAATGGGAGTCGCCACTCCCACGAAGGGGACCAGCAGCTGCAACACGCGCTAAGAGCTTCAGAGACCGACTAGACCCTCTGCTAGGTAAGGAAAAATGACCCAAATCCCCCACGTGAGGCATAGGGCGCCTACGATGTCCTTTTGATAAACACGTAGTTCATGTTAATTAATTTTGTTTGTTTGTTCCGAATGCCCAAAGCCAAAATAGGTCGAGAGCACATCTTTCTTAGATGTTATACGGCTGGGGTATTTCACCTCGCATCAAGAACCCAATTATTGTCTATCCTCTTTAATAAATAAAAAGTAAACGGTCGACGTTTTTGCCATATTTGATTACAAAATTTGTTGTTAAATTACGTTATTAGTTTCCTGTAAGCAAAACACAATGGTTGAGGCTGGAAAGATGACAGAAATATGATAATTTACCATTTCTACATTTTTGTTTTTATGTTTATCCTTTTTTTAGACTTTTGGCTCTCCTTGAGACCTAAAATTATTTTATAGTTCAAGTTCTTAAATAAAACACTATTAACGCGAAATGTATCGCGCTGTAAACCGTTAAAAGTGTTTTATTACGCGTACTACTACACTAAATACACATAAACAAACTTTATTTACAACCTAAGATAACGACATTATTCCTGTCTGTAGTTTACGCGAGTAGTACACATTTAAATAAAACACTTTAACGGTTTAAAACGCGATATATTTTAGTTAAACTTGTTTTAAAATTATTTTTAACTATGGCCCGACGCTTCGGATGCTTTGCAGCAGCCGTGGTCACGGGGAGACCCACCTCTGCGTCGGGTGACAAAGTTAGTGTTTTATTTAAATTTAGAATTTTCCTAGTAGAATAAGGAATAAAAAAAATAGCTCAAGATATTCGACTAAGACAAGTACTAATGCATACTACCTAACCTAATAGATACTGCCTATCAGTGTTATCGACCCTTAAGATATAATTATATTCATATACACGTATAGATTTAATGCTCTACCTATATTATTACAACACGCGCTACTACAAATGCGGAATAAAATGACGCGCCAACAGCACGTGTAGCGATTCAAAATAATCTTAAACTAAATTATATTGTTATCCTGTTCAATCTGGTTCTTGACACGACTTCTATCCTATTGATCTTGCATGAAATTGATTAAGAGATTTGTTCTAACTACTGTCTACTGTACTATGTAGTATAGATATTTTGAAACACATTTATCGCAATAAATAAAATGCGATCAAAAGAAGGTATTTAAATGAAACATGTTTTCAAAATCTTACTACGTTTCAATACAACACTTTTAACGGTTTAAAACGCGATATATTAGTTAAACTTATTTGAAAATGATTTTTAACTTCGGCCCGACGTTTCGGATGCTTTGCAGCAGCCGTGGTCACGGGGAGTCTTTCCGTCAAAAATGATTCATTCACTTGGGTAAGTAGGTACACAACATCGATACAGTTCAAAATAATAGATTGATTAGGACTAAACCTAAAAACGCAAGTAGCGGTTGGAAGCAATATTTGAATAATTAGGCTTCTATATTCGTTGAATGCGCAAATTCGATTTTCGTAATTCAAAAATAAGGATTTAAAATATTTGTAACTAGCTGCGCCCGCAACTTTGTCCGCGTGGAATTTGTGGTTATTTAGATATCATATTTATTTTTTGCAATTATTATTTTGATACAATTATAACAAATAACTGGTAATAATGCATTTATTTCAATCTTAATTTCGTTACCATAAAAACGGTTCTTTCGAGTTAATCATAATGGATGGAAAAATACTGTCCTAAACATTTTTAGGATATTTAAAGAGGAATCATTCTTTCATACATATTTTTTGGGTATCTTAAACCTGTTTCGCAGCGCACGCAAAGGAAGCCCTAAAGATGAATAATTCTTCCCGCTTTTTCCATTGTTTCTTTCCTCGTATTGGCCTATAAATTGTCTATACTACAAAAACAATTTTTCTTCGATTGGTAGTTTCTGAGATTAACGCGTTTAAACAAACGAACAAACTATTTAACTTGTTAATGTTACTATAGATAAAATCAAGCGACGCACGAAGTCGCTGTTTCGCTCGTGTAAACAAATGTTAACTTATCTTACAAAACCCAACAATAACTGAACCTTAATCCAAGTACTAACGGTAATTAAAATGTAAACAAAATCATTAACCCCTTGTACTCAAAACTTCATTAGGAAACCAAGAATACAATAACATGATGATCGTTTCGTGACAATCCCTGTAATTAAGATAGCATCAAGATTAAACTGAACCCAGCTGACGCGAGTTCATTCGGCCATATATTTGAATTATTGGTCGCTTATACTTTGACTAATATAGGATGACATTTTGACAGTGCATGAAATGAAGTATTGTAATTTTATTTCATACTGTGTTGAAAACATGATCGTACTTTATTGGCGGGACTGAAACGCCATCAACAACGTTCCCCAGTGTTGCTCAGTGTGATAATATCGATTTTTAATTTACTGCATGTTTAAATAAAATAATTTAACTTGCACGGGGAGACCGTCTCCTGTGACCGCAGCTGCTGCAAAGCATCCGAAACGTCGAGCTGTAGTTAAAAATAAATTTAACTAATATTTATCGCGTTAAACCGTTAAATTGTTTTATTTAAATGTGTATTACTCGCGTAAACTACAGACAGTATTTTATTGCATATTGTCAAAATTAGCATCCTACATCGGACAAAGTATAAATAAATCATAGGCGTGCAAGCGACGATAAGTGCATAACGGATCCGCAGTTTCACACAGTTGCACACCGATAACGACTTAAATGACTCATTAGTCGTAATTATTTAATTTATTAGTTTAAATAGGACGAACAATGCTACACAGTGCACAGCTATCGCTGATTATATTGACACAGTAAATAAAATTAATTATGGTTAAAGGCTAAAGGTTTGCGCGTGCGACGGTTTACGTTAGTACTCACTAGACGTAGTCGCTTGCGGACTGCGGCACTCGCGTACCGGCTAAGCTCGTTTGAATGAGAAATCATCGTTTCAAATCTTTCGTGGTAGCGGGAAGAAACCGCAAAGACATCAGCCATGAAGTGGTTCACAAGACTGTTCCGAGGAAGATCAGAGAGACGGAATGAAGCCTGGAAGGCGTTGGAGAGTTTTGACCCAAATTTTATTGAAACAGACTCTTCTAAGGAAGAGAAAGACAGAACGTGGAAGCCAATGCAGAGGTTTGAAGAGAACTCTTCAAGTATAGTCACAGTAGGAGAAGAAGTATTCGCTTTGACTACGATAAAGAATTTCAGATGTGACTCTATCAGCGAGTATGTCTTTGAAAGTGACTGGGTCTTCGTCACGAGGGAGAAGCTGATGGAACCGAAATTCCAACAGAATCTAGCCAAAAGCCAGCTAATGACGAAGCTGTGTAGGACTTTGAGTGAGAGGAGTGGATGTGTGAAAACGTCCACCGTCGTTGCTAAACCGCCGAAGTGCCATTGCGCAGAATTAGAAACGGAAAGTGAAGTGCCATACACGAATCCGTTCCGACGGTTTTTGAAGATAGTGTCTGATATGTGGAAGTGTCTGTGTAAGAGGATCAAGAGTGTCTTCTGGGGCAACGATGAGCCCATACCGATTGACGAAGATGATTTCGATATAACAAATTCGTATCTGTGTAGGTAAAGACTTGTTTTTTTATTTGTTGTTCGCAAGGAATATTTCAAGTCAAAATTTATTGAAAGAAAAGAAAAAGAAAGCCCCTTCGCTGTTATTTTTTATTTATTTGAATTCTATAGTTGTATAGATTCATATTTATATATATGTCAATGACACAGGAAAACATTATTTAAATAAAACACTGTAAGGTTTAAAACGCCATATATATTAGTTACACTTATTTGAAAATTATGTTAACTACGGCCTGACATTTTGGATGCTTTGATCATTGAAGACATATAAGAAATAAATTATATTACAGTTAAAATAGACACACGACTAACTAAAATAAAATACTAAAATAACAAACATAAGATGTGAAATAAACAAACTAGAGAGACAGAACATGAACACCTTCGGAAACCATGTTATGTAATAACTATTAAATATTCCCCAAGATCAAGCGTACTTTTCAAATTTCTTTTCTCACACAGTTCTTAAACTGGGCAGAAAATATTGACAGCGAAATATTTTTCATTATAAATATTGATTTTTGATTACATTTACTACTATCACGCTAACTTAAGTATGTATCTATTAATTTAGTTTCTGCATATCGTTAATACTTATCGTCGCTGCAGGATGTCACATTTCCTAGTTTTCCTTTTTCTACTTAAAAGTGAATAATACAACAAAAAAATGTAATATTATATAATGACAATAATGTATTTGTTTACTATACAAATAAAATAACAAGTAAAAATGAAATACTGACTGTAGTTTACGTAGTGTACATTTAAATAAAAACACTTTAAGGGTTTAAAATGCGAAATATTTTACCTTTACAAATTATTTTAACTACGCCCGACGAAAAAAAATTTATTTGTAAATCTTTACAATTTTTAAGGTACTTAAATGGATTTAGTTAGGCAATGATGCCCTTTTCGTGCTAATGATGAATATTGTATTTACTATGTATTAATAAGAATTTAACCCACAAAGCTCATACAAAATCATCAAGATATATATCATTATATTTTGCTTATTTACTGACTTAGTGACTGGGTTACAGTCAATAAATTTATTTAGTATAACGATTTTTTTATAGAAACTTAATTAGCTGTGTCTTAATATTTCCTGTCTCTTTCCAAGCAGCTGCCGGTCGTGTTCGGGCGTTGCGCGGCGGTCGAACGTCTCGCGGCGCCGGCGCAGCCTTACGCGCGTACGCGCTACACCTTGCGCAAGACAAAAGCACGACGTTCGCGCAGAACGTTGACAACTTTATCGCTTGCACTCTGGACTCGAAGGAGACGTGCCCACAGGTAATATTAATAATTGTAGCCCAAAGATCTACCTTACATTAACGATTATGAAGTTTCATTAATCTTTTAGTGATCTTAGTGAACTGACTAAAAATATTATTTTTTTTTACTAAAAAAACGACTTACCTGCTGATGTGCTGATTGATTGATTAACCGTCTATATTTCAGGTAATGATGCGAAACATGAGACAATTCATGTCCGGCATGAAAAATTACCTCGTGAAGCATGGAGAGAGAGAATTCGAAAAGGAAGTTGAGAAAGAAAGACTTAAGGTGGGAACATAGTTATTTTTTATTGTTCCATTTATTAACCAAATCTATAAAACCATGTATTTAAATATCGTATTCATCTACTTCTCTTATTAAAAATCAATTTAACTTCCGTCGGCGGCTAAGTTGCCCGTAGATAACAAAATACCTGTCTATAGTTTACGCAAGTAGTACACTTTTAAATAAAACACTTGAACGGTGTAAAACACCATATATATATTACTTAGGCACTTAAATTTATTTGAAAATTATTTCGGATGCTTTGCAGCAGCCGTGACCACGAAACGTCGGGCCGTAGTTAAAAATAACTCTTTATATATATCGCTTTTATATTCTTAATAAAGTGTTTTATTTAAACCTACTTTGTGGAGTTATTTTTTAAAACCCTGTTCCATACCATTCTATTGATGTTTTATCCTATAGAATTAATTTGTAATATTATCTGTTACAGCTGAAACCGACTGAATTTTTAAATATCGACGCAATATTAGAGGGAGTAATGCATCGGCTCGTGGTGCGACCGTTAAGATCCAAGCTTTATACATTGCTGGCGTCTTGGCACGCGGCAGATGTACGCCAGCTTCACGCAGCGATCGAACGAGCACAGCACGCGACGCCACTGCAGCTTGGAGTCAAGGTAAAGAATGTTAAGAGAATAACTTGACGATAAACTTGACGTGATTTTTTTTTTCAACTTATCCAAAGTTTAGTTATGACCTGGAATAAACAGATAGATACAATAATTGAGAATGATAATTTCGAACACAAAATAAATTCGCACAAAGATTTACTTACAAAAATGATAAAAATAATTTATTTAATATTTTATAAATTTCAAGTCGATTCCAAGTTATAGATTTGTTATATTTTCGCCAAATATGTATAAAAAAGCCTTAACTCTATGTCTATTTGTTTAAATGTTTATCTATTTAGTCTTCTGTATATGACTGCTGTTTCCAAATAAAATAAAATATGTGGTTGAATTGAGAACCTTTTGTTTTTGAAGTCGATACAAAATAATTCCCAACAACAATTACATAACTACATAATTAATTAATGTCTCCAGGAATCAACAAAAGTGCCGTCTTCTGCAGTTTTGGCGGTGATATCAAAACATTTTCTCAAAATGCAAGAAGCTGACTCGCCTTTGGACAAACTTGAAAATCTTCTTGCGGCTATATCTGTGATGTTTAATGCGGTAAGTGAATGTATTTCTTACTATTTTAACAAATGATAGCTACTGATATGTTGGTGTATGTTTATTTATACTATATATATTTATGAATACAAAAATCGCACATTAATTTTTTCGTTTTACATTTTTGTCATGCAATTAACGCCATCTAGTGCTTAAAGAAAGCATTAACAACTGCAGTAACCTATGCAAAGATGGAACTCATAGCATGATAAATCTTCCTATGTCGAAATAAATCAAGGACCCCCAGTATTTCCATCCAAGACACATTTTTGCGCCCGCTTTGACATTTATGTATATGCAGGCATTTTTGTTATTAGTTTTCTTTGCTGTCCTCTACCATTTGCACAAGCATTTTAATTATAACAGACAAGGATGGGGTTCTCTTGATGATAGTTGAAATACCGCAGCCTTATAACATTTAAAAAAATGAGCTGTCGCCCTATTTTGACTTTGGATATTCGGAAATCCACAGAATGAAACCGAAATGCAATTAAACTTGACGGCTTCATCATTTGTGAATCGTGGAATTTTGATATTTTAATAATATTTCAAACACTCTGCAACTTCTATTCATCCATAATCTATGCAACAAAGAACTTACAGTTTATATTCTTGTATTTCTGAGTTCGGTGACAATTGGGGTTTTTTATATTTCTATAGATGCGTGGAGAACGAACCCTTGGCGCTGACGACCTCCTCCCAGTGCTTGCTTGGACGGTAGCCCGATGTCGTTTGGTGTGTGCTGAGTTGGAAGCGGAGTTGATGGCTGGTCTCCTACCAGCAGCGTTACTCGCTGGAGAAGGAGGATACTATCTCACCGCGCTGTTCTCTGCTGTTGCGGTGTTGAAGCGGCTAGCACCGGAACCAGGACCGGATAGTTCTGCACCGGTTAGTAATCTTTAACTGCTGGATACAGCACTGGTTAGTACGAAGTCGCTGATACTAGCTGTGAGCGACTTCGTCCGCGAGAATCATTATTTTGGGCATCCATATTCGTTTTTTCAAACCCCTTCAACTTTATAAACTTAAACTGTTGCCCACGACGTCGGTCGCGTCCCTTCCCTTCTTCTTGCAAGTTAATCTTAAAAGATAGACATGTAGCGTCGTGGACTTTACTTTAGGTCATTTAAAAATGAATCATTATTTCTTACATATTTCTTTGGATATCTTGAGCTGTTTCTGCAGCGTCCGTTTCGGAAACCCATAATGATGAATAATTTTCCCATTTTTCCTCACATTTCTCACTTCACTCACTTTCTCACAGGCTTCCTCGATAGATGCTCTAATTGACACAAAAATGTATAATCTTCTATTTGAACCAATATTTCCTGAGATTAGCGCGATCAAACAAACAAACAAGCTCTTCAGCTTTATATATTAGTATAGATCATAGCTGTTACCCACAACGTCGTTTGCGACTCATCGTTCTTGCAAGCTAATTTTAAAAGATAGACATACATACCTACTGTCTATTACTGTCTGTTTGTTAGACCTCTTAAATCATTCTTTCATGCATATTTTATGACTGTCTTGAAAATTTCTCGCAGCGCACGTAAAGATAAATGATTTTCTGAGATGCAAAGCTAGCTTTTAAAAAACACAACGGCCCTAGGTTTAGGATGCGCTAGTCAAGGGCGCAAAGATACTGTGTATTTCGCGTTTTAAACAATTCAAACGGTTTTATTCAAATATGTACTACTCGTTTAAACTATAAACAATACTTAATTTTATTTCTCTTCTTTTATACGTTCAAATAGTAGTAATTATGTTCATCTCTTTATTCTTTGCAGTGGCGAAGAGGTTCAGCGGAAGGTGGTCGTGACACAAGCGTGGCCGTGGTCAGAGTGGCTCTTCCAGATGAGTGTCGGGGTTCGATTCGCCGCGTGGCCCTCCCCTGCCGGCCAGGAGCCAGGGTTAAGGACCTCTGTCGGGCTCTCGCTCACGCTGCAGCCATAACCAATCCCCAGGACTATGCCCTGTTTGCATTACACGATGGACAAGGTATACAATTAAACACTTAATAAATATACATTCATAAATACCCCATAATTTTGAAAACTATTCTATTCTATTCTAAAACTAGATAGTCTAACCAGACCAAGGTCCGATGTGAGATCTAAAAAAAAGGCTATGACACAAGAAAATTCTTTAAAATTAGGTAGAACCGATAAAAAAATACCGAGAATAAAATTTATTCTTTAAAAGCTTGTCTCTTATATGTAAAATAAGTTTAATTATATTGTAGCCTTATTCAAAAATAGAGAATGTATAGTTTAGTAAAGATATTTCAATGCACATAAGATACCGGTTCACTAACGGTTCAGAACGCGAAATAAACAAGTTTAATATTACTAGTAGATCTCGCATTTTAAACCGTTGAAGTGTTTTATTGTACTACTTGTATAAACTACAGACAGTACTTAAGTTTATACCGTTAAAATTACATTAAATACTTTTTTTGCAGAAACAATGCTCAACGAGAACGATTGCCCACAAGAAGTGATGTCAGAGAAAAGTGGACAGAACTTCATACTGGCGTACAAGAGAATAGATGCGAAAATCGCGTGGCCCCAACAGGCGTTACTGTCTTACCCATAATTTAGTGACTAGCGCTAGCTGAAATCTCACTTATGAAACTGAATTTAAATAAACATAAGACTATCTCATAACCATCTCTCATCTTGCTCATTACTCATTAGTGTAAACGGGATAGAAATATATTTTTGTCATCGAGAGTGAAATAATATTTTCTATGATATTAATCTCTACCATTTTGTAGCTTGGAACCTGTGCGGCGTTTTTATCGTCGGAATAGTGTAGCTATAAAAATCGGTATTTCAACTAATTACCGGTTTTTTTGGTAGCGATACTTCTATCATTTCGTAAGCTAGCAAAAACCGTTACCGTTTTAAAATTACGTGTTTTCGATTGTTTCATAGCTGTCGTAAATAAAAGCGCCGTCGGGGAAAAGAGATAGACTTATGCACGTATCTCTTTCTATTTATGCCCAATTAACGTAGCTTTTTTACCTAATTAGTAAGTAAAGTTGTGTAATGTCTTCTAAAACCTTTGTGTTTACATTACTTATAGGTTTTTAGCGTTCAGTTAGTTTCGATTTCAGTAAATAGTCAAACCTTAAAAAGGTAATCGGGTGAATGTATGTATGTTCCTAAAATTCGCGGTACCCACAAGCTCACCAAATTTTAGACGATAATTTTAGTGCGTTTTAGGAGTTCCCCTTCCCTTTCGGTATTGTAACGCTATTGTTTATTGAACTGTGATGTATTTTGTATTAGTAACGTAAGGTTTTGTATTAATTTTTGTATATTCGTAGAGGTCGTAATTTATTTAAATGTAGCCTAAGAACTTCTCAGTGCTAACGCAGAGAACGCTTGAACAGAAATTTCGGCCTAACACTTTTAAAAGTTAGCGATCTTTATTTCGTTAAGAGTTTTATCTATCTTGTAGCTTTGTTAATTAAATCTAATAATTTAAACCGTAACTATAATCCTAGTCACATATTGTTTTATTAACTTATTTTTATGGTTTAAATAGTATTTTTATGTATTTCTTTTCTTAACGTTTTAGCAATTATTTAAACATCTGTATATCAGGCTAAAAACATCTCGTCTCTGACGAAAACTTTAACGTCATAGCCATAACTTAATTAAATAAATTTATTAAGATTTAAGACATACAAAATCTTTAAATCCTTGAAAGCAACTTAAACTGCGTTAATATTGGTTTAAATAACTTACTCAGAGTCAAATAAATATCTTACTGGTGGTTACATCTCTCCTTTAAACACAAACATTTTTTTAAGGTTTTCGTAAACTATCATCCTGTATAAGAACGATATGAGACTGTTAGGTATTTTCTTAGCCTGAGTACAAAATCTTGTTCATATTAGCTTTGCAAAATTCTTCGCATAACAGTACTTACTAACTACAGTACTTGATTAATATTGTAGTGTTTTTAACATCTAGGACCCAATTCTGCTAACAAAAGTGATCGATATGTGAGATGGGTGGCGTGTATGTGTGTGTGTGACAAGTATTTAGCCACACATACACACACCAGGCTAGTGTAAATAGCAGAATTGGGCATTGTAGTGGTACCATACGTCAAACATGTGTTAACACTGCCTTTTATAACTATATAAGCATTTATATTTCATTCATTTGTTTCGATGATTCTAGTGGTATCATTGCAGTAACGCATTATATTGTATTTATTATCTTGTATCTAAAGTTAGCTCATAACACTTTCAGTCAGTATCGGATTAAAACGATTTTTTACCAATCGAAATGATTTTTATTTGTTCCTCTTTCACAACCTTTAATTTAAATACTAACGGTTTAAAACGCGAAATATATTGGTTAAACTTATTAAAAAATATATCTTAACTACGGGCCGACGTTTCGGATGTTTTGCAGCAGCCGTGGTCATGGCAGACTATAGATGGAGGGTGTTTCTAATGTCAAAGTAAAAACTACCATGCGTTAACTTTCCTTGCAAGAACGACGGGACGCGACCGACGTCGCGGTTGCTACCCACGTGCTTACATTGATAAAGATGTTTCAAAATAACCATTCTACGGACGAAGTCGCTGGCACAGCTAGTTATTGATAAAACATTCTCCGATTCAAATCGCATACTTTCCAGCTCTACATAATTAGTATCCATGACGATCATCGATTTGACACGGGTCTGCGTTTCTTATCAGTTGAGTATAACGAACCGGTAAAATGCAGGCTAATTATCCGAATAAATTACAAACGATTCATTGGGACACACTTAACACCGATTATCCTGTAAGAAAATTTCCAAAAACGGGAATCTCAAGTGAAAAAATCGCCCGCGAAATACGGAATGTTCCAGAGATTCTACATCCGTTGGTAAATACTGCCTGTAGTATATATATAACACCCTAACGGTTTCAAACGCGAAGTATATCAGTTAAACTTATTTAAAAAATATTTTTACAGCCCGACATGTCGTATGTTTTTAAAACCGTTAAACTGTTTCATTTAAATCCGTTGCTAACGTTTTCATATCATTATTTATTAAATTAACATAATTTGTAATTTCATCCATTACGTAATAATAAAATCCTGTTTTTTTGCTGGCTATGGAATCAGACATGTGCTGTTGAAATTCAACTGTTGAAATTTATGTACAACTTATCACTGGGATTCGAACCTAGAACCTTCAAAATCTAGGACCTATCAATTCGTTTAATATGGGAGCTAGCAGAAGCAACTATGGATGCAGCAGAAAATTAATGTCTATTTGTCTTCTAAGGAAAGACTTCTTTTTTAACCTACTAAAAGCCTACAATTATACCATTTATAAGTAAGACCAAGCTTATATCTAATATTTCTATTATTATTATTATTTTAATTATATACTGTTATTTATTATTACATTTTTTAATATAATACTTTTTTAGAAAGCCACTCTACCAGAAGAAATCGAGTTTAGTCATAATTACAACGTAACGAACGATTTGAGAAAATCTCAAACAACGATCGACTACGGTCCAAAGCAAGCAGACCGAAAAAGATTGAACAAGCACACTTCCTTTGAAGAAAATTTATACATATACCCGCCAAATAGAAAGGTATTATGTATGTATATAATAACAACTTGTTTTTCAACTATAAATAATACATTATATTTATTGTATTTCATACTCCTAAGTTCTTGATAACATCTAATTTTAAATTTTTACGTTACATTACTTTGCAACTGCAAAATATAAGTATGCATATTTTTCACCGGGAGTCGAACATACAGGGCGAAAGAGCAACACGATGATTATTCATTAGTTTAATTATTGTGTTTAAATAAAACACTTTAACGGTTTAAAACGCGATATATTAGTTAAACTTATTTGGGAATGATTTTTAACTAATATATCGCGTTTCGGGTGCTTTGCAGCAGCCGTGGTCACGTCTCGGAAGTAAACCAAGTTAAAATATTTTATCGCGATTTAAACCTGATTTAAATGTGTACTACTCGTGTGAACTAGAGACAGAAAGTGTATTTGTTACTTACCCTTCAATAAAAATGCTAATTCCACGCTTCTGTTTCATTTATTATAAGCTGTCTCAGCATCCACCGAGCTCTTTCACACACGAAGTGTCTGAAACCCGTAATATCTTCGCAGAACCATCTTTGCCAAGTAGGTTAATCACGAACAAGGAACAATATTTACATCCTGCGTCGTTACCTGTTGACCCGGTGAGTATCATTAAAAGTTTTAAATAACAAAATACCGTGATCTTTATATTAGTTTTCACAATATTGTTTGTTATTAAAGCGAGCAGAATACATTAAATAGAACACTTTTAACGGGTTTAAAGGAGTATTCAGCATTCGCAATGTAATGTATACCCTTGCGCCTATTTAATATTTTTTTTAATTTTAATTAAAATATCCTTCCGCCTCTTTAAAGAGCGGCTCGAAACGCTGTGGAAGTCGGTTCAAGCCCCGCCCGTGTTATATTATTTTTATGTTTAAATTTATATAACAGCCATCATGAGCAACATGTGAATAATATTAAAGGTTTCAAAAATGGTTTCAAAACGGTTGCAAGTTTAAAAAATTGATTTTGCAACGCCATCTGTTTTAATTCTAAGAAAAACTATGTTTTGCTTAATATTAACAGCCTCCTATTGAACCCTTTCATAAAGCAATTGAGCCTTTGGATACGACACACGACGGCTTCGAAAAGTATCTGGATCCATATTTGACAACCAACAGACTTCATCATCGTCCGTTCACCGCAGATCAGCTGTCCAGGGTTTCAAATACAAAAGATGTCATGACGTTTTATACATATTCCAGTATTCCTTGGGTAAGTTTCATTTGTTTAGAAATTTAACGGTTTTAAAAATTTATTTATTAATTTATAGTTTATGCTACTTGTTCGAGAAGATCGAACATGTTTAATATATCTGGATTGTTATGTTGTGCTGCGTGTGCCTTTGACACGATCGGCTTGACAACATATTAAAAACTGCATAACCAGTCGAGCACGTGTAAATCAATCTATAATCCTTTAACATGGTCCTTCGAGCCGAACTTTAAAGGAGGGAATGTTTAATGAACCTGCGATGAATGGAAAGGCAATTAAAAATATTTATTTAATACATATTATCTTGTCTTTAATTTCTGCTTAAGCATTTTACTAACATTATTGCAAGTGACAGTGTATAAAGTCTGTTATGTTAATAAAAAAAGATTTAATAGTCTTTACGACTAAATGTAATGTTAATTTTTGTAAAGAGAAAGCGGTTAGTTAGTCTTAAAATTAAAATAAAACAATTTTACAGTTTAAACGCGATATATATTAGTTAAACTTATTTGACAATTATTTATACTACGTCCCGATGTCTCCCCGCGATCACGGTGAAATGTCGGTCGATAGTAAAAATAATTTTCAAATAAGTTAAACTAATATATATCGTTTTTTGAACCCTTAATTTGTTTTATTCAAATGTGTACTATTCGCGTAAACTACAGACAGTGTTTAGTCTAAAAATTAGTTTATCGTTCGCCAGAGTTAAACAAAAAATTATTTTATCGTTTAGGTTAGGTCACCGAAACCTAGTATAGAAAAATGGCGTCTACCTCTAAGGCGACCAACTTCAATGTACGATAGAGAAAAGTTTAAAAAAGATTTCAGAGAGATAATAACACATAACAAATTACTTTGGACTCCAGGGTAAATACAATACTTTTTCTGACATTTATATCTCAGAGAAAAAGAGAGAGAGAGAAAAGTAGCAAGTAGTTATTTCAATAAAACAGTTTAAACAGCTGAAAATTTGCCATATTTACTTTTTTTGACATTAGGGGCATTCTCCATTTTCAATCCCCTCGTGACCACGGCTGTTGCAAAGTATCCTAAATGTCAGGTCGTATTTAAAATTCTAAATACATAAAAAGTGTATTGTTTAAATGTCTAGTATCGCGTAAAACAGTTATATGTTGTTAGTTTTATTTTTCGGTTACTTTTTCAGATCATTTCGTACAGAAACGAGAGACAATTATAAGCCGTCCCTTACGTGGCCAGAATCAAACATTCACAACTACGAACACGACGTCCAGGGCTACTACCAACGAGCTATGGCGAATTTACAAACCAACATACAACAGGAACACCTATCTGCTAAAAAAAATATCACGGAAAATTCTTTAGTTGGTTCGGGGAAGCCTCTGTGTTCCATTTTCAATCCATACGTTGAAAAAAATAGACGATTGGAAAAACTAAGTTTATAAATTCAAAAACTGATCACTTACATACTAGAACTTTCTGAGTTTCTCGAAACCGGATACTTCGCCAACATCTCCATCATCATCCAAAAAATCATCATAGTCAACTTCGTCTTCACACACTGAAAAATCCGTACTGTTATCTGCCAACAAGCAATATGACTGAACCTTAAGTACAGATAATGAAGGCAACTTTGTTTAAATGCCTCGTTGTCTAGTCATTCGTATTAAAAAATCTGACTTACACGTCAATAATGTCAAAGTAGCGTGGCCTACCGTTTAGCAACAAAACATGAAAATCACTAAATATGTTCGTGAAAAATAAATGGAAATTCTATATTTCGTCTGCGTTATGCTGTTAATATCATACCTAATTTATTTAATACAACCATATTGGATTTTTATTCTATCTTTTGGAATCGCATACACCTTGTACAGTCAAATTTGTATGATATTTTAAATTACAAGTAAGTTGTTAAAATTTTCAATGTAGTCTTTGTAATTAGTAAATGTATGTATGTCATTATTTATTTCAGAAAATAAGATCTTTGGATATACAAGATTTTTGTTAAGCGTAAAACAGTTATTTACGAAACATAATTAGATATGTATGTAGTAATTGTCATCTTTATAAATATTAAAGAATGTTGGTGATAAGAAGACAAAAATAAAATAAAGACGTGTTTCATATAGCATCATCCAATTAATTTTTAACACTTTTATCGTGATTGTAACGTCTTGGCTTTTTATATTATACATTAAAATGTTGAAAGGAAGATGAAATACGCCAGACGTATAACATCTAAATAAGATGCGCCGTCATCTGTTGATATTCGGATATTAACGGACGGCAACCGAAACGTGATTTAACGTCATGGCTTTTTCATCTGTTGACGGTGGTTGCCCGGACGGAATTTCGCTAGTTAGTTTAATATATTCGTAAACAAAACGATTTAATACCTCTAGTAACATAGTGTTAATACTGACTTGAAAACTCGTAACAACATCGGCATACAAGCTGTTGCTTATTAGTCGCCGAGTAGACGTTGTGTGTACACGTCACTTATTATAGCAATATATATTTACACAAATGACTTGAAAGTCTTGCATTTACTAGTGTTAAATACAATGTGTCCTTTACAAAGTATCAATAGTGTTGTTCTTTTAATTTTAGTAAGCGCCTCGACTCATGCAGTGCCTAAAAAGGTTTGTTTGTATTTTTTGTATGTATGTTTATTTTTGACGTTAAAGTAAGCGAAATTTTTTCCCGATTTAATACAGATAGTATTTAAGAACGGATTGGAACATCGTATTTAAATAAAACACTTTAATCGGTCTAAAACCCGATATATTAAACTTATTTGGAAATGATTTTTAACGTAGGGCCGACATTTCAGAATCTTTGCCAAAGCCGTGGTAACTAAGAGATCGACCTTTCCAACCGTGTTAAAATATTTTATTTAAATGTGTACTACTCGCGTAAACTATAGACTGTATTTATATTATATCGCGTTTTTCAGACGAGCAGACATTCAATATTTTTTTTATTTTATTTCCGCCTCTGTACCCAAGTGGTTAAACGTAATGTCTAGTATTGCGTTAAGCGCGTGAGGTCCTGGGTACAAAGCCCAGGGAAACAAACAAATGTTTCGGTCGGGCAGGGCACAGAAGTCTGATGAACTACTTGCCTATTAAAGAACGGATCAGTGAAACGGGCACAAAATGTGTTCGCCCCATGCCCCAAATGAGAGGGAAACGGGATTTCAATTTTTTTTATAGAGCTGTAGAATTTAATAACTACAATAAAAGTAATTACAATTGACAATAATAGTAATTAGAGACAATTGTAACGGGTTTTTAATCTATTTTGCATTACATCAGTCTTTTAGTGGAATGTTAAAATGAATTACAAATTACATATAACCATTTTATATGTTACTTTTGATTGGCGTATACAGTTAAAAATTTAGAATTTTACAGTTACTATAAATAATTTTGTTGCAAGCTGGGAATTGAACCTCAGTTTTAATGTAATATACAAGGTTTTTACAACAGTTAATCGGCCTTTTAACATTATTTACTGTACATGTACTATCGTGTATTACATTTGTAAAGACTTAAATTTCTATGTGGACGATTTCAATGGAAGTAGGTAAGTAAATTGTTTCTAGTGTGAAAACAACCGATCACTTCATTTACATTTTTAAGGGCTTTAAAACGAGATATATATACGTCAAACTTATTTCAAATAATAACGTACTAACGTAGGAATTAACAATTAATAAAAAAGTTTAACTAATATATATCGCGTTTTAAACCGTTACAGTGTACTCGCGTAAACTACAGAACTGTCTGTAATCATAAATAAATCAGAAATACTGATTTAGTCTTAATGTGTCTATAAATTGAATTATTCAATCTTAAAATTAACTGTTGTTTAACAGTTAACGATTATGATAGACAAATAGCGCAAATCGTTCGCTCCGTTGGTTTCGTAAATAACACATCACAACACAAAGTTATAATAACAATAATTTTCAGCCGGAAAATTGTGAAGGCCTTCTGACATTTACATAAGTTATTTATACGATTGGATCGGACCGGCACGGCTAAAATGCCAAATGGTTTGTCACGTATTGCCTAGCATTTAACGTTAGAGATCCTGGTTTCGAATCCCGGGGGACTATATAAAGTTTCGGTCGGGCAAGGCACAGAAGTCTGATGAACACTTGCCCGTAATCGATCGTGATGCCGATCAGCGACACGGATTTCACCTTTAAAACGATTAGATCTCTGTAAATTTCCAGAAGTATCAACATAAATGTATAGGGCTAGATTCTTTCCAGAATCTGAAAATAATTTTGTTAGAAATAAAGGATCAATACTTTTACAAAGGTATATTTTAACGATGATATGTTTAACAATCGCCTTTATTGTTTAAGGTGAAACTCACTAGAACATAAGACAATTTAAATTTTAACCCGACTTTAATTTAATTTTTATTATCATTTTTTTATAGTAAATATAAAAGTTAAAGCTGTAATACATTAAATGAATACAACGAGACATAAATATTAATAAATATAGAGATGTTACAATGAATATTAAAACTATTTTAGTACTTTATTGAAACATGTTTGTTCAAATAAGAAATAGTATGTGTACAAAAAACAAACCGTGTCCGTTTCATTGATTCATTTTATTTACAGGTGAATTGCTCAATCTAGCTGTTTTCTCGGGGTAAAATTAATAATCTTTGTTGGTTTTCGATGCATAATGCTGTGATAACGGTTTAAGACACCCAAATAATTTGTAGGAAATTGTGAAATGTCCTCGGCTTTAAATGTATATCTTTTAAGATTAACTCGCAAGATTGACGGGTCGCGAAAGCCGTCGTTGGTAATAGCTTAAATTTATAAAAATGAAGAGGAGGTTTGCAAAACCTAAGTTGTATTAATGAGTGGCTGACACAGCTAGTCAATAATACTTCGCTTTGTCAATGTTGTGATAATGATAAGCTTAACATTGAAATGTAGTTATGACTACTTTTACTGACCCACATGATATGTTAAAATGACCTCGTGAGGCTGGTGAGGTACTGGTTTGTATCCAGTCTCAAATATTATAAGTTGAATTGACTATGACTAAGTACACATGTCGCTATCTGGTGTGATGTCGACTTATTTTGGCGTTGGACATTCAGAAGTCCACAGACTGAAAACCGAAACGTAGGTTTACATTTAACGGTTATATATGGTTCGTGATCCGGTTGAAATTCCTAAATACCAACTTATTTGATATCCAGATTTTATATGTCCAAATGTTTCAGAAAAAAATACAAATTCATTAGAAGTATAAACGTAGGTTTGAGCCTTGACTGTGTGAATCTTTGTTAATTTCTAAAAATTTAAATAAACATAGAGAGACGTTTTCTTTATTTGTTTGAAAGTGTATATATTACTCAGTTAAAAAGGACGGTATTTGCACAGCGAAAGTTTTTAATATTTTCTGAAACAGATTACTTACAGCTGACCCGACAAACGTTCTTTTGCCTTGCATTTTCATAATTAAGGCCTACCTGGATTAATGGTCAAACTAAGAAAAAAAACAGTTTGAACCCGTAGTTCGTGTGAATAAAAAAAACAAACACCTAACTTGCCAATGTTGCCAAAGTAAACTTAATGCTTCCGTCTTTTTCAGTTGCTCCTAACAGTATACTATGAAAGCCAGTGCCCAGACAGCGAAGACTTTATTCTCAACCAACTTCGGCCAGCTGTACAACAGCTACACAATTATGTCAAGTTGCAGTTTGTTCCCTTCGGAAAGGCGAGAGTAAGTACAACGTCCAAAAACTCGACAACTTCTTTAACTGCTTATTTATATAAGTATTATCAATTATTACTTATAAGTCATTTTTATATATCTTATATAATAAGTGACATTTATGGCTGTATATATGTTACGGGAGATGTTGGAAATCTAGTAATTGTATATATTCCTAGTAAATTTCTACAATTTCAAAAAGTATTTATGTATTTTTAAGGTTATCTTTATATATTTGTTTTCTATTTTATTTTATTGTTAACTGTTGTAATGTAATTGTTTTAATTTATATATACTGCTCTACTTCAAATGTCAAGCGTGGGGCATCACTGAAAATCGCCTTCACAACAAAAGCTGAGTGGTGTCCGTCCACATACATCAATTGTATTATTTACTATCTGAGTCAGCGACTTTGTCCGCATAGAATAGTTATTTTGGACAGTTAAATTTGTTTTTGCAAACTATTACTATACTATCGCTGTTACCCACGACGTCGGTCGCGTCCCTTCCACTCGTTTTAGCAAGTTAATCTTAAAAGTTATAAATATAGCGTCGCGGACTTTTTTTTGATAATTTAAAGTAGAATTATTCTTTTATACACTTTTTTTGGGTATCTTGAACCGTTTGCGCAGCGTTGTCAGCGTTTGTACGCCTCGAAAAGCAGTAATAATGAATAATTTTATCGTTTTTTCTCACATTTCTCGCTGTATCTTTGCTTGAATTAATCACAAGGCGGAATTATAGCCTTCTTCGATAAATGTTCTAAGACAAAAATAATGTTTCTATTCGAACCCGTGCTTCTTGAGATTAGCACGTTCAAACAAACAAACAGAATCCTCAGCTTTATGTATTAGTTAGATTTTATTGTATTTTTGAGTTTGTGGAACTAATAATTTTTATCTGATTCGATATAGCTGTGCTTCATAAAGGCCTAATTGGGAGTTTGAAGATAGTGAAAAGAGTTGTATAGTGTTACAAAAGAATATTTTACGTTTTCAGAGCTTAAACTACGGAAACGATGGCTTCGAATGTCAGCACGGATCGTCGGAGTGTCTTGGCAACATGGTGCAGGACTGCGCCCTCAGCCGGATGAAGCAGTACAGCGATGTTATGAGGGTCGCGTACGTCGCTTGTGAAATGCAGACGAGGTCCGGGGCAACGGGAGAACTTCAGGTTAAAGATATGTTAACTAGCTGCGTCAGCGTCTTCGTCCGCGTAATATAGTTATTTTGGGAAAATAGTTTTTGCAAACCCCAAATCTTTGTAAATTATTACTGTGACGCGCGATATCGTCCACGTCCCGTCGTGCTTGCAAGTTAATTTTAAAAGATAGACATACTATTGCGGACAATTTTTAGACGTACATATTTATGGATGTGTTGAATCGTTTTAGTAGCGTACGCAACGGAACACACACAAGGATGAATAATTTTCCTATTTTTCTTCACATTTCCCGTTGTTTTCCCGCTCCTTTAAGTCGTATCGCGATTTTTAATAGCCTATAGCTTTTCTCGATAAAATTTCCAATCATCACTAAAGGAATTTTTCAATTCGATCCAGTAGTTCCTGAGATTAGCGCGTTCAAACAAACGAACAAACTCTTAAGCTTTATATGTATAGGGTACAAACACGTATGTCCAGCTAAGGACAATAAAAGATTTGAATTATGATATCTATTGTGCATACAATAGATATCAACTCGGTAGAGATTTACCTAATTGGGCACTAGTAATGGATTCACCACTTACTAGATACAGTAATTGTTGATTTTATCAGCATATTGATAAGATTATAGATTACCTTGATAGTTGGTTGCTGTGGGGCTTTTTATGAGGTACTATATCAAAAACACGAAACAGCCTTTTGTTGGCTTAAAAAATCTTTTAACTATCAATTTGGAGTACATGACTCATTGTTAAATATAACAAAATTGCAGTAATAAGTAAGATTGGAAATCATTGTAAGGTTCTTATAGTTTTGTTGTAGTTAAGTTAAAATCAGATAGAAGTATACATTTTCTGTAAATACAATATCTTAACGAACCAACATACAATTTGTTAAATTAATGGTTGCCTAGCAACGCTTTTACCATAGCAACCAAACAAACTTATTGAAATAAATGTATTTAACACTGAGTGAGTCCCCTAACGGTAGTTTAGTACCGTGGGGGAATGAGCGACAATAATTTAAAACTAAATTATTAAATAACTGTGTCCCTTTTGCATTTACCATCCTTTGATCATTTAGGAAATATCACTGACTTGAAGCTTATTCACGATAGTTACATAAAGTGAAATACCTCGAGGGGCGTACACATTTTTGTGTCTGTTTTACTGATTATATTTACAGTACTTGATCAGACTTCTGTCCTCACCGATACAATCTATAGTTTCCCCGGGATTCGAAGCCAGGACACAGTACCAACACGTTAATCATTTAGCTACAGGATCGCTATAAAAGCTGAAATGCCTGGTTTTAATTAATCTACTTATGAAACGGATACAGATTAACGTCTCTCTATATCCCACGTACAACGGAACTTTACATTACTTTCAGTGTGTCGAAAAAGCTAAACTACCCGTGAAAGACGTTGAGGACTGCGTGCTACTGGGAGAGGGAACCACGTTGCAACTTGAGAGCGAATATTACACGAAGCAAGTGGCTCCAAGTTTCATACCGACTGTGACTATCAATGGGGTGAGCATTTATACAAATACAACATTAAATTACGTTTGTTTAAGAAATGTATATACGATTATATGTATATAGGATTTGAAAAAAATGAAAATATAGCATAATGGTTTAAAACGCAATATATATATTTGTTAAACTTATTTGAAAATTATTTTAACATCGGCCCGACATTTCAGATGCTTTGTAGAAGCCGTGGTCACAGGGACTTTTTAAACGTTAAAGTTTTATTTAAACTGGAGACGATATTTGGATAAGTGCCTATTTATGGAAATTAGGCGAAAAATCGTGTGTGTTGTTTATATTTATGTGTTTTTATACTCATTTTTTAAAATTGCACCTCTCTAGACGATACGGTTCTTAAGACATTGATTTTTTTTTTGTTTTATACCGAATTAAATAAAATATTTCCGTAATTTTTTAATTACGATTTGCGTAAAACATTTTTAGCTATATTTTAAAATGTCTTCTAGTGTCACTCCTTTCAATAGTATTAAAGGGATTAAGTCTTAAATAATATTTACCACACATGACGTAACGACCACAGACGATATATTAGTCTTAAGGAGATGGAGGAAAACGTGGAGTAAGCTAGAGGAGGAAAAAATTTAAAATGGGGGAGGCCTTTAGTGACAAGTTACTTAGCTAATAAGGCTTTTTAATATTATTTCAGCAATTCGACCAGCAGATCCAGGATAACGCGCAGGTTGATCTTCTAGGTACACTTTGCTCCATACTAAATGAGGTTCCACCGTGCGCCAAACGGTACAACAACATGGCACTCAATTACGTCCTTATCAATCAACGATGATAAAATAACTTGGTAATTACTAATATAAAACGTTAACAGAAATATATATTTTGTTATCAGTGACTGTTTTAATTTAAAATTCTGTTATTGCGTAGAAATCCTTAGTAGATTGTAAATTAGAAAGTTTGTAAAGAAATGGGTTGGTTACTCTTTTAATAGTAAGTCTAGTTCTCCAACGGTTTAACTAATATTGATAAAAAAATTAAATTGAACTTACACTATATATTATCTCATACTTTTGATCTTGAAATATTAACGTGCGCGGAAACGACGATACCAAATTCGCGGTTCGATTTCCGAGTATAAGATACGTGTTTAGTTAGGACACGATACAGAAGTCTTACACCAGTGTAACAGTAAAAATAATGTAACATCTCATTATTAATTCAATTCCTTCCCGGTATCCGATCAAATATTTTAATAAAGAAGGATTTTTTCTCGATACATCGAACATAGTATTTAGTCACACAAGCTATCCTAAGAGAATCTCTAATGAAGGCGTGTCGAATGAAATCTTTTTTGAATGGGCTTCGAACCCAAATAAAAAGATTCTATTGTAAGAGGTGTACTCATAATAAATACACAATGTATTCCTTATATTTAATTGTACGAAGTAAGACTTTCACATATATCAAAATATTTCAGACAAAACTGTGTGTCAAGAATCCTGTTTGTATTTTACTTCAATATCTTACAGCTAGGTCTAATCTTAAGATGGCGAATTATCAACTATCCATTTTTGGTAGTGTCCCACGCTGGTATAAACGCTCGGAACTCCTTCGCTACCACAGTTCTCGGAGCCAAAAGATACGATGCCAACCTGGAACATAATTGAAAATTATTTTTAAATTCGCCCCGACGTTTCGGATGCGGCTACTGCAAAGTCACGGGGAGACTCCAAAGAAGTTAAAAATCATTTTTAAATAAGTTTAAGTAATATATCGCGTTTTAAACCGTTAGTGTTTTATTTAAATGCGCGTAAACTATAGACAGTATTTTGTTACCTTCCTTAAAAATTTCCATATTAAATAGGTAAACTTTGATTAATTTTTACTTCAGTCGTCTAAAATCACAATTCAACTTATTTATTTCAAAGTGGAGAGAAACGTAACTTAAAGGCTTACTTGTACAAACATGCCGTCTCTCCTCAAAATCAATGGAGCCCCACCGAATCCTGAGCATGCATCTTTCCCTTCCTCCCCACCAGCGCAAAGTTGCCCCTCGTGTATCGGCACTGATTCACCAAATATTCGTTCACATGTCTCCAGTGTTAGTAGAGGGACCTCTAGCTGTTGCTGACGGCTTGCCTGCAAGCATTCTTTCATTATAGGTCGGTGACACATGAGGTCTAAAAATCAGGTAACATAACTCGGACTCTTTGATGTAATGTCCTCTGAAAATCTGAATAGAATGTGTAGTAGGTATATAGAAGTTTCTTCTAGGGCGAACCTACACGTTTTTTTTAGCTGCTGTGGTTCGTCCGTTGCGGTTTCAGTCTATGTAAGATTTTCCAATGTCCAAGTCAAAACTGTAGCTGTTGTGACATAACCCTATGGTTTCCTGACCTCTCTCATAAAACTTTATAATCAAACTAGCTGTGACAGCGACTTCGACCGCGTCAGCGTCTAGAGTAGTTATGTTGGGCATTGGGTTCTTACAAGTTAATCTTAAAAAATAGACATAACGTGTGGTTGACATTTTTTAAGATTATTTAAAGAAGAATCATTATTTCATACATATTTTTTGGGTAACGCAATGTACGCAACGAAAATCCAAAGAGATGAACAATTTTCTCCTCTTTTACTACATTTCCTGCTGTTTATTGCTCCTATTAGTCCCAGCGTGATGTTTTATAGCCTCCCTCAATAAATGTTCTACTCAACACAAAAAAAAATTAAAGTAGTAATTTCTGAGATTAGCGGTTCAAACAAACAAACTCTTCAGCTTAATATATTAGTATAGATACCGCGCTGCTTTGTCCAGATAATTTCCCCCATCCGACGAGTGAAACACGGTCACCGACAACCAGAGGCATGTCATTCAGACAAATCGGTGCGGCTGTCACTGAAACAATTGGTGATTTGTGATTATCCTGTCCTGCCAAGGTCGGGGTTAACGGAGTGGAAAGCTATACTCATTACATTAATTAACTCATCAACATTTGCCATTACTGATTTGCGTTTTATTATTGTGGTCTTCAAGTTCTTTACACTGTTTTTAAAAATTAGACTCAATTTCTATCGAAACCGATCTACACTAAAAATTGGCAACATCAATCAATTCGATGCATATATATATATATATATGAAATACGCCCGCGACTTCGTCCGCGTGGAATAGTGATTTGGGATAAAAAATTTAATTATTAAGGCTGTTTATTAATTTACGTAAAGGCGCATTTAAGGCAACCTATCTATGTTGTAAGTGCTACTTTGCCGCAACACTCTCACCTCACATCACTCTTACTCCCACTCCCACTCCTATTCCCAAAAAGCCAAAGAAGAAAGTTTCATTGTTCTAGCTTCAAATACCACGAATTTCCATACAAACTTTCATCCCCTTTTTCAACCCATAGGGGTTTTTGGCATCCCTTTTCTGCCAATTAAAGTAAATTAGTCAGTAGTTGTAATCTATGTCCTTTCTCAGGCTCTAAATTATCTGTACTAAATTTCATTTAAATCAGTTCAGTAGTTTCGGAGTTAAAGCCGGACAGGCCGACAGAGTTACTTTCGCATTTATAATATTAGTATAGATTTGTTCATAAATTAGACCTTTTTACAAAGCCACTTGGATTTTGTACCAATTCAGCTGTCGTAATAGCTTTGTAAAAGTGAATAATTGAGTACGTAATAATTCCTTAAAATTACATTTTAGTTCATCAATAAAGAATAGATTTACCAGAATATTTTATTTCTTCCTTCAATATAATGAGCGCTATGTCGTGCCTGAATATCTTCTGCTCGTATCCTGGATGCACGGAGACGCTTTCCACCTTGATCGCTTGCGTCGGAGGTGCACAGAAGAAGTCATTGCAATCTGGACTGCGGCTTATATCCCACTCACCAACTACTACTGTAGACCTGGATTGGTGGAAGCACGAGAGAATAAAAATGTAACACACACTTGTAAGTTCTAAGTTGGATATTATGATCAAAAAGTAAAGATTTGACGGGCCCGTTGGTCTAAAGTTATCAACGTATGTCTTATAACAACGGCTTTTGGGTTCTATTACCGTCGTCTAAAAAACTGGGTGGTAGGAATATCAAAATTTCGAACGGAGTAACGAACACGAACGGTGGGCATTTCAGCTACCAGCTAACTATCAAATAAATTCCATGTCCTCCTCTTTTATTATTAAAAAAAATTACCTTATCTTGACAGAAACGAACAAGAGAGTAATATCTCAATAACAATTAATATTATTTATTCGTAAACTTATTTTACCATCATAGAATATATCTACTGCGATAGAATTATTATAATAAGTTGTATATTTGCATTTACTTACAATTTGTATCCTTCAGGCTTCGCCAATGCACAGTGCGCTGCAGTCAGAATTATTCTCTTTCCTATGATGGATCCAGTGCAAGCAAATTTTACGCCCCCAGTGTCTTTGTCTGAAAAAAAAGGAATGTACAAGTAAATCATGTAGTACCTATGCGGGACAAGAGCTAGAGACGATTATAACACAATTGCAATAAGTCCTATTTAAACGAAATTTTTGTAAAGAAATAAAGTATATTATCAAATCATACACGCCCCAACTCCGTTTAGGTATTAGTTAGGTATATGGTTTTACTTATATTAGTAATGGTTTTTGAAAACTTTAATATTTTTCACATGTTATTGCACTATATAAATTAAAAATCGATTATAAATTGTAAAAAAACGAGGACTCGTTTTTTTCAGGCAGCAGGCAGGGCTTGAACCGGTATCCACATTGTTCTCTTTTCTAACTCGATAGCTCCATTGGTTAGAGCAATAGCACGGACCGCTGTGAATGCTCGGTACAAGTCCTACCTTAGTCGTAGTTTTTCAATTTATAATTAGATTTTAATTTACACTACGAGAAAGAAATTTAAAAAGCTATTTTAATTCACGCGCATTTCTAGAATAGTATTTAAAAAAAAATTCAACTCACTCGCGAATCCCACTCTAGCAACCCAAGGATGAGCCCCCAGGCCACCGTAGTCAACCCCCCTGACCATACTTTGCCCGCACTCTGGGTTTCCGTGCTGGTAAACCCTACCGCAGTCGCAAGATGGACAGCATACGAAGTCTTCTTCATTCGAGCTTCCGCAGGTCAACTCGTTAAGACGAAAGAAATACCTGTAAAATGTTGACGTACTAAAATATTATTGCGTAGAGAAACTGTATGCATCCCTTTAATGATAAAGCGTAAAGTACTTTAACAGGCGCGAAATCCGACTTTTATTAGAAGACCACGGAAACAAGGTAGACTAAATTAGATTTTCTTCTTATACACAAGATATTTGACTTATTTACTATCGTAAAGTCTATTTAGATACTTTAATAGAATAAACATGTAAAAAACACCTTTTGTTTGAAGCAGATTGCGTTGGTTTACTTAATAGTTTTAATTTAAGTTAGTTTAATTTACCTGTCCGAAGAGAAGCATGAATAGTCCAAAAGATCCTCTAATAATGGACAAGCACTTATCGGGACACAAGTCGTGTTCGGGGGGCATCTCGACTGAAAAAGAGCTGTGTTAAATACTGTCTATAGTTTACGCGAGTAGTACACATTTAAATAAAAACTTTAACGGTTTAAAACGCGATATATTAGTTTAACTTATTTGAAAATGGTTTTTAGGTCTTTTTTTTTATTTTTAGGTATCCCGTGACCACGGCTTCTGCAAAGCGTCCGAAACGTCGGGCGGAAGTTAAAAATCATTTTCAAATCTCCATAAGTCTTCACTATCTCTTCTTGCTTTATAATATTAGTACAGATGTCTTACGTGATTTTCAGATTCTTCGTCAGCTGTCGCTCTCCTCTCTAAACTTATGGATATGCCTAAAACAAATAAACACTATAAAAAAAAACATATTTTTATACTATTGTTTTATTTAATTTATCTCTTAAATGTACAACGAAATGGAATCCATATTACTTAGAATTATTAATATTGGTTAGGACAAGAGGAAAGTTTGGCAATTGCGGGTCGGGAGGGGAGGTAAACAATACAATAAAAAAAATCACATATTTTACCTGGGTTTGAAGCTAGCTTACCTTACCTTATGGCCGTTTGAATAAAAAATATTTTTTAAATATCAATATTTGTTAGTTAATTGTGAAAACTTGGAACTTCGACTAAAAATTCATTAAATTTTTGTGTTCAACATTGTTTACATTGGTAAAAGTATAAATGGCATAAATTGCATGTCTGATCATCATTATCAGTCAACCTTGCACTGCGAATAGCATCGATCAAAATCGAGGCTGTCCGCACAACAACTATAATTATACTTAACATCAGGTACCTTATTTTGAAGTACACATTGTTACCATGCAGTTTACCTCTTCATCAATATTTATAGAGAAATGATAAATAATTAAATAGACATTTTAAACTCTTAGTGCAATCTCGTTTCTCGTCTGTAAAGAGCTTAGGTTGAAAACATTTTTGCATCCATTGTTCTGATCCATTTCATTTACAATCCCCTTGCTCAAATTTTTAAGGCACGCCAGACTAAATTGTTTATAGCCTAGTGTTCAAACTACTGCTTATACCAAAGTAAACCAAAATATTTCAATAATATTAATATTATTTCCCGCCGTTTCTTCGCTACTATTAGCCACAGCAATAGCCTTCCTCGATAAATGTCTAACCAACACAACAACACTATTCGAACCAGTAGTTCCTGAGATTAGCGCGTTCAAACAAATAAACAAACTCTTCAGCTTTATATATTAGTATAGATTAAATTCACTTACTTCCAAACTGGCCACCGACGAAATTAAAAAAGAAAAAACACAAAAACAAAAGAGGTACGTCCATCGTTATAATTCGTTCACAGTTCATTTTAAAACACCATCGCTAATATCACAAATATTGTTTGAAGATAATTGTTGTGGTCATGTTGCAATCCGCAAACGCGGCGCGATCACAGCATAAATGATACGGTACGAAGCCTCCGATTGAATTGGCTACCTGATGCAGGGGTGCTCAACATTTTATACCGATATGTTTTTTTGATGTGTGATAATTTTTATTTCAAATTTTTTAATATAAAGCAAAATAGGTATTTCAATTAATTTTCCATAGTTTAGCGAGTAATACACATTTCAAATTAGTTTTCTATAAGTTTCACTAATATATTTCGAGTTTTAAACCGTTAAAGTGCTTTTTTAAGTATTCGATTTTTGTGAAATCTCTTCATTATACGAGTACTACTGACTACTTTTATATAAACATATCCATAGATATACCAACTCCATGCTTTATTGTTGAAATTTTTCGTGATTGTTTGGGTTTTGGAATACAGTAGCTTCAATACATAAAATCATCAAATGAAACAAATAAAAGTATCGTCTATCCATTACTAACGATTTCTCGAAATATCCACTATTATACATCATTGTCGTACATTCGTAAAATTATTTTTTAGTGTCAATAATATAATTACATAAAGTAAAATTATGGTACAAAAAGCCTTCATATTATTTATTATCTATAAAAGATATTACAAAAATAGTTTGCAATGTATGTAATGGTTAAGAATGATTTACCAACACTTAATATATCTAACAATAATTAATATTTTCAACGTTTAGCTTATTCCATCACTTACATATTTTTTATTAAACAAAAAAGTATTTAGAAAGAAACCTATATGAAACATAATTTTGGGAACCTAATGGTTTTGTTAAAGAAAACCTTTTTTCGGTTCATCTATTGGTTTATAACTAATTTTTAAACTCATATGAGTTTATTTTAGTGAAGCCGTTTATCGCGAAATCAGTTTTTTTAGTTATTCCTTTGTTGGACTGCGTTTTTATGCGACGCGATGTCATTCACACGGCGTTTTTACAATATCAAATCAACATAAACCTTTTTACTACACTTTGGTTAACAATAAACTGTACTCATCGATACATTAATATTTTAGACTGTGGTCGCCCAAGAAGGTCTATAAAAGCTTTAGGATGCTGACGGCACATAATATGTCTTCGACTTTTTAGTCCTAGAACAAACCGGTTATCTTTTGTTTTCTTTCACCGAAATATAAGTATTTTTGGTGCATCTCTGGCGATTGAACTCTTATCCTTTTGAATGCACAAACCACTCTACATTATATTTCATTTTCAATGATATACTGTCTTACATTAAAATATAATTTCTTGATATTTTTTTATTTGTCTAAGAACCTTGCAAAACTTTTAAAATACAATATTTATCTGCATTTAAAAAAAAACTTCAGACTAACTTCTCTTCTCTTTTAGAAAAAAAGCGATGACCAGCTAATACTAAGAAATGATTTGACATAGGCATATTTCTTATTTAAAGGACTCGAATATTTAACTTCGAGTGCTCAAATTCAAACAGGAAACATCCACATTCCCAAGCGAAAATCATAGCGTGACGGTGACTGACAGCACTTCCTCATCAGATAAACCCGTTCCCATCTATGGACAGAGTATTCACAAAAGTTTCATAACTAATAGTATAATTACTTTATTGTTCATAACTTAATGTCTCTATTTGGTAATAACTGTCAATAAGGTCAATCAAAAAACGACCTCAGAAGTTGAATTGTATAATACTTTGGTGTATTAGTTTAGTTATATATTTGACATATGATGTAAACATTTGTAACAAGTGGTGTTTAGCATATCAAGCCTTACTCAATTTATTAAGTGGTGTTTACCTTTGCTTTATAACAGTTCTCTTGGTATTATAAGAATCGGCAATAATTATAGCATGTAGGATTGTAATATAATGTTAGTGAAACTATCTAAATAAAAAATAATTTGGAATTGTTGAAAGAAGAACAGGGACACGTGCGGGTATTAAAACAGTGTCGAATAATTAAACAACTTGTAAGGCACAAGGTAAGGCGTTTCTTAGATTTTCAATAGCAGGGACACCCAAGCATGCTCTTCTTTTAATGCCAGGTGAAGTACCCAACCATATTTAATCTTAACAAGACGCGCTCTCGACGTTTTTCAGCTTAGACATTCCGGAATCTAAAGGCTGAAACCGACAATTCATGGCTTTTAACTGTCACCAATATCCGTATTAAACTTTTAATATCTAGACGTTGCAGCGTCTTCCAAGTTTCAGTAAAATTGGACCCGGAGGAAATCGAAGCCACGACCTGTTGATTTCTAGACATAAATTGCACCAACATGACAGTTTTATATCCACTCGTATAACATCGAAAACGTGGATCACATCCGCGTAACGGTGTTCAAATCGAAAAAGGATTTAAAAATAATACCTCTATCATCGTAGATTTAGAAAAAGTAATTGACTGACGTCCCATTCGAAATGTAGTCATTGAAAGCTATTCAAGCATGGCGTAACGAAATTGTAACGTGACTTAATACCACTATGGCTAAATTATCCGTACCATCGAATACATAGAATATTAAAATGGACCCGAGTTCCCGTAAGACCGGTCATGGTAAATTGAATCACAGGAGTGTCTCGGATCATAACGTTTTCTTCGCTTATGTGTGCCTGGTTAATGATGTGGAACCCACTGATGGTAATGAGCTTGAGACGTCCCAACTGTCTGATGATGAAGTAAGTAACGGGATAAGTATAATAATTACACATTATCCGCCTTACTGTTATCACTTACTAAAATATATGTAGAAAGTGTAGCCGTTTAAGCCAAGCTTGAAATAGACACATGCTTAAAACTCTTAAGAAGGAACTAATTTCGCGAAACACACCTTAGCACTAGTTTTCATCATACATCATTCTTATCCGTCCCCTATTGTGCCAAGTAAATGGACTAGGTGTTCTTGTGAGACAGTTTTTTGTTGGGGAAACGAGTTTGTCTTAAGGCTGCATATTTAAGTTTAATATCTAATTAAAGGTGCTTAACGATAGGCCAATTCAAGTGGAAAGATCTAGAGCTCTTCATGAACTAGTTGAAGTCAAAAAGCGTGATATGCCTATTGACAGCAACATGGCGTATGCAGTAAGTGGATTTTAATAAATAGAGCTTTCCAAGTTTCTTTTAGCGTCTACTTTTGAGTGTCCATCCACTCTTTTGTGTTTGTTGCTTTATTGTTACATTATGATTCTAGACTCTTAAATGAAACACATTAACGGTTTAAATCGCGATATATATTAGATGCACTTATTTGAAAAATATTTTTAACGATTTAATTTATTTAAGAAATAAATAAAATTGTCATGATTACGATAAAATATAATAAAATTATTTTCGTATTTGTTACAGGAAACCACAGAAAATGTGGAGCTTCAATATATTCGAGAAGAACCGGAGGATCCGAGGAACCATGCGAACATATTGAAGTTTACGAAGATGAAATGGCTGACTGAAGGGCAAGAGGGTTCTCCAGAGTCCAGGTAAAGTATGACCACTATATTGGTAACTTATTTGGTGGAGGTGATCAATGATGTGATGTCGTTGCAGAAACATTAATGCTTTGACAGGCGCCAAAGTGAGATCTAGAAAAATGTAAGACAGTAAGGTACATCAAGTTTTATGTTTTAAACGGAAGCTCTAAATAAATTGTTATTACAGTCTAAATTTTATCCGCGACTTTGTCGGCGTGGAAAAGTGACTTGTGTCGTTTTATTATTTTAGTAGAAACATATTTCGCTTATTAAATAAAAAGCAAATTTAAAGAAAGGAGTATGAAGATATTTTATTTTAGTTAAGTATAACTACCGCTAATATTGACGTTATATTTTTCACTTTAATTCGCATTTTATTACCTGTGGTGTATACAAAGATTTGAAAAATCTTAGCAGCGATTTTGATGGAACAGAGCCGATATAATGACCAAGGCCTCCAAGACCAATAATTTGCCGCTCACTCCCTTCGTGAGCACGGCTTTTAGAAAGGTTACGAATGGTGGGCTCCTAGCTTGAAATAAATATCAGTCAATTTAACTATTTATTGCAGTTCTCCATCTATATCTCCATCCGTTTCATCTGCGTCCACGTGCAGTAGAGAATCTGAAGAAGCGATCGACTGCCGCGTCAGTGTCGGTGACAAGTGTCTGTCGACTATCCTTCGTTTGGACAAAGAGCATAACATGTTTGGGCTATCCAACATAGCCATTATTGGAACGAAGACGTCAAAACGTAATCGCAAAGATAAACCCGCGTTTCCACAGACTGCGATTGTCCAAATATGCTGTGGTAGAGGATGCTGCCGACACAAGGTGAAATTTTAGCCTCAGATAATTTAGTAGTAGTTAATACTTTGACAAAAAATATTAAATAATGTATAATAATTAGCAATGTATGGGTAATAAATAATAATCAACGATCGTGCGTTTAATCCCCACTTCTTCTGAAATATGTTGTGACTTCTTCTGGAAATCTGGATATGAATTGGGTGGTAGGAAAATCGAAATTCCGTCGGAGTTGAAGTTTAATTGCGTTTCGCTCGCATTTTGTTGAGATGTTATATGGCTAGGGTATTGAAGAAGCATGAAGCATGCATGAAGTGAATCCATGCTTATCTGAGATAAAAAAAAACACAATTTTATACGCAATGGAACCATATTAACTTTACTATTGTATTTCAGAGTAACACCGACCTACCAGCATCTCTTAAGGTAATTTTCCTGTAGTCAAACATATTCTAGGTCCGTTTCTTTTGATATATTTCTCGATTATAAAATAGACTTATACGATATAATTTTAATATTTCATAATTACGCACATAACTGAAGATATAACACAACCATTAGGTATATAATGCATCAATATATAATGAGAATATTTACGAAATGTGCACAACATACTGCAAAAGTTTTTTATTTAAATAAAATAAATTTAACCGTTAAAAACGTAACATATAATATTAGTTAATCTATTTTAAATTCGGGCTGACGTTTAGAGTTTGTGTTCTCGAACTTGGGACTTTTGTTAAGTGGAATGCTAAACAACGTTGGCTTTTTTATATAATCTGTATATTTTTCAGTGCGGAGGTTGCAATGGATGCTGCTCAGATCCGTTTTGCCCAATCTGTGTCTCATCATGTGGAACGCCATGTGTATGTATAAGGCTTTACTTAAATATATTGTGTTGGGTATCTAGACTTACACCAAACTGCATGGTAGAAGTTCTCAACAGCCACTTATACACAACTGTCACTTTCTTATGATACCCCAGACATATACCACCTCATCAAGATGACCTGTCTACCGCTTTTGGCTTTGGGTATTCGGACCCGGCCGTAATTTTGATATCCATACCACTCATTTAAAAGACAAGTTGTCCAGACGAAGTCCAAAGTGTTTCAGAACGATAATGAACCGTTCAGAAAGATGTTAGACATTACATACATTGCTACCAAAGGACCAGTCAAAATTAAAACCTCCTGTTTTGTTGTATAACAAATTTTCAATAACAAAACAATATTTTTTTTGTTCTAGATCGATCCACCGTGTCCACCATTAGTAAGTTTTTTTGTAATTTTGTATTTAAATAAAACACTTTAACGATTTAAAACGCGATATATGCGCGCTGCTGCAAAGCATCCGAAACGTCGGGCCGAAGTTAAAAATCATTTTCAAATAAGTTTAACTAATATATCGCGCTTTAAGCCGTTAAAGTTTTATATTTAAATGACAACTGTCATTTATATACTGTCAATACGACAACGACAATGACAATAAGATACATTACATCTTATTATTTTTTATTTCATACTGACATTTTGTTCCTTTCAGTGTTCCTCGTGTCCAAAGGGAAAGTGTAGTTGCAAGGTTAATTAACTCTCTACAATATACTTTGGTATTACTTTATTATTGTTTAATAAAAAATATATTTTTAGGCTTCTCCCTGCACGCCTTCTAAATGCATGCTAGATTGTAGCAATTGCTTCGGTATGAAGGTAAGTAGGTACCTACAGTGAAATAAGTGATTTAAAAATAATAATTAAGTAGTAATTTTGAATTTATTTTCCAGATTTCGGTAAAGAGGAAACCTAAATACGATCCCGCTCCGGTATGTTAAACAATTGATAAACTAAGCTAGCTTTAAATAAAACCAATTTAAACCGTTTTAAACGTAAAATATATTAGCTCGATTAATATCAACCCGTGACTGCTGGAAAATAACAGTCCTTTACGGATTGTAGTATTTTCTCGGCATCCATTTTTTGTGATTATAATAATTTCAAGTAAATGAACTAATTTCAGATTGAATTAACGCCAAGATCAAGTTGTATATTACAAAAGGTAAGATTGATCCATAGTAAATTGTAGTACGTTGAAGGTGTTATAATAAAACTAGCTGTGCCAGTGGCTTCGCCTGTGTAGTATAGCTATTTTGGTTAACAAAATTTGTTTTTGCAAACCTCTCATCTTTATAAATTATACCTGTTAGGTATCACCTACGATGTAGGTCGCGTCCCGTTGTTCTTTCTATATTGTCGTGGACATTGTTTTTGATTATTTCAAGAGGAATCATACTTTTTGGGTATTTTGGACCGTTTTCCCCGTTTTATCCTCTTTTCCCACTGTTTCTTTGCTTCTATTACTCGCAGCAAAATGTTCGAACCAGTAGTTCCTGAGATTAGCGCGTTCGAACAAAAAATCAGGCTTTATGATATTAGTATAGATCAAAATTATTCTATAAGCATTTGTTTACATTCCCATAAAGCCTTTAGCTGCAAGATCATGCCATCACTTACCCCACTGCGTTCCCCCATCCTCATGTTTTCCTTACCTGATGCCCTGCTACTGGCCATCAAGAGCCGGAGCACCCTGTAACGATCCGTCGCGATGCTTTCACACACCACCCTGTAGGGCGCCGAGGAAGAGAAAGGCACCTAAGTCACCAGATGAAATATGTCCCAAGGTAACCTTATAACCAGAAAAACTTCATACGTACAAATATTATATTACATATTTTTTTGAATTTGCCAATAAAAAGCTAATCAAAATATCTCAATTTATGTGTTTAAATGTTTAGTTAAAAAGTTTATAAGTAATTTTATAGCTACAATTTATTTAGTAAAAAAAGTGAAATGCGTGGGACATGGGGCGAACACATTTCTGTATTCGTTTCACTGATCGATTTTATTTACATGCACGTGCAATACAATACACGGCCCTGCCCGACGGAAGCAATATGTTGTTTCCCGGGATTCGAAACTAGGACCTCTCGTTCTTAACGTAATGCTTATAAATGCAGTTACATTGGCGATTAATATGAAGTATACCTTTATTATTTATTTTTCAGTTTGGAAAATGTACCGACAACGAAAACGCGAAATGCAAGAACATTACTTGCCCGGGGGTAATAAATTATTAAAAAACTACTAAGATTATTAGATTGGCGTATACTAATATTGAATAATTATTACAGAACATTCCTGTTATGAAGAAAGCAATTGAAAGTCGATTTGGGAATAAATAGATTACCATGAATCAAGCGCACTGTTTGAAACACAGTACAAATTGTACCTGTGTTGTAAGTTTTTTAAATCCTGTATTTTTTATTTCATTTATTAAACCTTGTAATAAAAAATATCACAGAAATGACGTACATTAATAAATACTTGTAACTAGCTTTTATGTAATAGGCGGCCTTATCGCTAAACAGCGATCTCTTCCAGACAAGCAGATGTGAAGGGATGGTAAGATGATAATCGCGTTAATAGACCTTTTACCAATTTTTCTAATCAAGTTACCTTACCTTTGAAGCTTGCTCGAAGGGGCCTGGGTTTGAGCCTTGGAGAGAAAAAAAAATTGTTTCGGATTTTCAGGACACATTATGATCGGCAGCTATCAGGGATACGGGGTTTTTACTTACAGATAAAACTTTATAAATATCTTTCTATATAATATATGTACTTTTGTTATTTCGAATATTCTCAGGATCAAACGAACTCCCCAGAAAAGAGAGTACAGAAATCGGCAAAAAAGGTAATATAACTAGTGAAGGCAGCTTAACGACATATACAAGAAACAAAACTTCACTAACATGAATATATAATAATGTATATAATAGTGATTCATTTGATCGATGATATTAATTATTTGAGCCTTAATTGATTCAACAGTTGGTCAATTTTTAATAACGAAATTCGGATCATTTGAAGATAATTATTACTTCGGTAGCAAAATTATCTGTTTTTGTTTTAGTCCAGTCAGTCGCCAACGAAACTTACTTGTTTAGGTATATTATAAGATCTATAAATATGCGAATAATTTTTCAGAAAAAAATCAAGGTTATCTGCGAGTGTCATTCCCCTGGATGCTCACATTGTTTTGTTAGAAAACCTTCGGTAAGTCCATATAATAGAATATAGCAGTGTAGGCAAGGTTGAAATTACATTGCGCGAGAGTTGCTTTTTAGAATGAGGTAAAAAATTTGGCAATGACATGTGTAGCTCGGATGTTTAGAGTACGGCACGCTGTTGTTGTCGGTTCAAATCCCGCCCATGTCATATGTTTTTAAATAATATTTAACTACATAATTTTATTTTTATCATTTGATCTGCTAGTTACACAATTTAATTGATTTGAATAAAATGTGATTTTAATTACTACATTAAAATTTAAATTAAATAAATTAGTAATTACTTATTGTAAAAATGTAAATCTTGTATATTCTAATAATAAAAGTAAATATTTTCAGTGTATATGCAACTGTGTATGTTACAATTTCACGCCTAAAACGTTTGAATAATTTTGGTAAAGTTATACAAGTGTTTGTCTAATCTCCTCTTTTGGTTTCAGCCTTCAAAATCAACAATTGAACAGCCAAAGAGCCATTAGTCACGCTATGTGTGTAAGATTCCTTGCCGTTGATTTTGAAATCAACTTGCTGAAAAGATTTATAAGGTAGATATTATATTCCTTTTCAATTTTTCAGAATTTATTAACAATTTAATATTTATATACTTATTCTGACAATAATCATATTTTTTTATTTTCTAGGTGAAACCAACATATTTGCCCTGACCAATCGAGGAACGTTTTGCACAAAACATTAAATTACTTCTTGCTTTTTATAAATAAACAGCTATCAATTATAGTTTCGTTTCATTTGCTATATTTCAATCGCGATAAATAACTTTCTTTTAGGCCTGAGTAAATATAAGAAATGGAATATTTTTATAACATTTAATTCAGCATGCTCATAATTAAATGTCGGATAAGATTTACGAATATTTAATTAAAAATGTTCGACCGCTCCCCCGAGACAATATTTAAATTGTCCTGGCTTCGATTTCGAATGAAATCGCAAAGCGTGTTAAAAAACTTAAGACTTAATTAACAGAGTGACAAGCGTCAAAACAGGATTTCGTAAGTCCTCGAAACTCATAATCCCGAATTCCGTATACCTCTTGTAACACTAGGCAGTAGAAACTTTTCTAGGTAAGCTATTTTGAAATAGGTCTTGAAATAACTAGTATATAATAATCTTTATCTAAACCAAATGGTTAAAAATCTCTAGACACAATAAACCTCTTTGCACAACGGTTATGAGGTTTCATTGGGTGTTTTAACTGATCTACGACAGTATACGGCGGTGTGCCCTGCGCGATGTGGCAGTAGTCGCTACAATACATGAATGGGGGGAGGTTGGTCTGGTAAGGGTTAGGGGGGAACGGTGCGAGGTCGAAGGACTCTCCGTGACCCCAAGACGCTAGAGAAGAGATCGCGAACGGCACTCGATACTTCTTCTTTGTTTCCGATTCAAAGACTCTGAAAGAAGAAGATAGAATTTAATGGGAATGTTTTTTGTTTATAATTTACGACTTTCAAATAAGTATTATAAAATATATCACACAATGGGAAACAAAACACTAACGGTTTAAAACGCGTTTAGTTCAACTTGTTTGGAAATAACTTCGGATTGACGATTGAGATGCTTTGCAGCTTTATAAGCCGTAAGTGTTTTATTTAAATGTGAACTACGCGCATAAACTACGGACAGTATTTAAAATTAAGCATTCAAACCCTCAACGTTCTCCGTAGCCTAAGCGTCTAATTATTGCTAACTATTAAAAGTACTAGTTAATGTCTTTGCTCAGTGTATTCTATTCAGATCCCTTCTATTAACCAAACGATAAACTAAATTTAAATGTATATTGAAGATAAAATATACTTTCAAATGTCGTCCACTACATACCCCTTTATATTATTGACAGGGTTGTGACAGGCCGCCACTTCCTTATACTCCTTTTTGACGTGGATCCTGTCGTAGACGCCCCTGTGGACCTTGGCTGTCAGTGGCATCCATATCTCTTTGTGTCTTGGACCGAAACCTCGCACCTACAATAATATTTATTAAAATGACACTCGCAGCACATTTTGTATAGATTCAGCACTACATTTGGTAGTTTAATCTTCTTTCTTTGTACTCGTTTAGACTTAAAGACTGTCGATAGTTTACGCGCGAGTAGTACACATTTAAATAAAACAATTTAACGGTTTAAAACGCGATATATTAGTTAAACTTATTTGAAAATGATCTTTGCCAGCAGGGGCTTGGCAGCCGTAGTCACGGGGAGACTTTTCAAATAAGTTTAACTAATATATCGCGTTTTAAACCGTGAAAGTGTTTTATTTCAATAGTTTAGACGTGTTCGGCTGTTGCGAATCGCGATTGCGATTAGTAAACGATCTTTTGACTAAGCAAAGATCTAGTCGCGAAACATGATGGTGATGTGTGGAAAACCTTTTCTCAAATTCGACAACCAATCAGTTCGAATAACCAACAAACAATGAATAAGTTGTATATTTTTTCTTTTTGATAAACGCATTAATACAATAATTATTGCCTGATCGAAGTTCCCTTTTTCTGTGGCTTAGGATTTCTTTTGCTGCATGTAACTAATAAAAAATACTGTATAGTTATATAGTTATACTAGCTATTAAAAGATAGACATATTATACTGTCTCAATAATATTTTTATAATTGTCTATCTTGGGTAACTTTTACCGATTTCGCAGTCCACACAACGCCCCGTTTTTTAACCGCATTCTGACGTTTTATATTATATTTTTAAAACCTTAAACCACCTTTGATAAATGGTTTATCCAAATACAAAAATAATTAATTTAGCATAGAAAGATACCTTAGGAACATTAAACTCAGAATAAAATGTGATTTGATCTTTAGCCCCAATACCATACTGGTCCTCCACTGAAAATGGTTTGTGATAAGCGCGATACGTTGATACATATGGATCCAACAATCTTCTGAACCCACCAGCACTGTCTGGGATTACGGGAGCTTCGTTTCTTCCAGACGCTACTACCTATAAATAAACACTTCATTTGATAAGGTCTAACCGACTTAGCTAAATGGTTGAATGCCTAGCATTGCGTTTAGCGCAAGAGGTCCCGAGTTCGGATCCTGGGAAAACAATTGATTGCTCTGGTCTGGCAAGGTAGAGAAAGCTGATCACTACTATAATAAAACCTATCAGTTAAAACGGACACAGAAATGTGGTCGCCCTATGCCCGACGAGGCGAAGAGGACCATGCCTGGGGAAGCGGAATTTCACCTTTTTGTAAAGTATACTTAATAGAATAGTAGTAAGTAAGAACAGTAATATTACGTCAAAAATATACTCAGGGTCTGGAGCCTTAACAGTCAATTCGGGGGGTGCGGTTGGAGTTTTAGTTAGACCTCTGAAGTTATCCTTCATTTCGGAGATCATGATTGGTTGAACTATGCTCTTGGATTGGAGCTGAAAAGAAGAATGTTTTTTTTAAAATCGAAAATAATTCAATTTGGGCAGGACTTGAGCCGGCATCGTCAGCTTTCCGTGCTGTTGCTCTATCAATTGAGCTACCGAGTCCAAGTAAAATTATATAGTGCCTTCATGTGCAATAACATGTAAAAAAAATATTAAAGTTTAATAAAAAAGAAGAATGTTAGATTAGAAACATCGGTTTTCTATGTTTAGTCTTTAGAAGGCATGCTTTTAGTAAATAAGTAATAATTAAGAAAATACGAAATAAACTCAAAGTGAAATAGCGTAAATTTATTTTTAAATTAAAACCCAATTAATATAGGAAAATTAAAAGTCAAAGTTATAATATGATGTACTTATACCCGTTTTTCAACGCCAGTCATAAATATAACTCTTCGGCAGTTAATAGAACAATCAGCTCTCTCCATAGCCTTGTTGGGGTTCGGCTTGACGCAATATTCCCCGGTCGTTGTTTTGTATGACTCCTTTTCGACGACCATGTCTCGACCGGTGCATCGTTCGGGTAGAGGATCGTCTATTTTCTTAAAAGGTATTTTAGTATTGATTACTTGATATAATTATGAAAATAAGAACCAAATATTTTAAGTATAAAAAAAACAAAGGAATATTAAAAATTAAGACAAGGGCAGGGCCTGAACAGGCCTCTACAGCGTTCAGCGCTGTTGCTTAACCAATTGAGCCTGGTTTGGTTAGTAAACTGCGTCATGCATTTTTTCAATCTAAAATCGATGTTTAATTTATATAACGCTATCATGTTATGATAATATTAAAGTATTCAAATTAAAATGAAGGTACATACACAATCCAAACTGTGAGGAATAGCAGGGATATGTCTATGGGCAATACTGGAAGCTGTTCTGGTTTCATTGCTCGATAGACGCAATGGAATATTATAATCCACATTTCCCCAAGTATTCACATTCTGAATCAACAATTCGTTTAATTTTAACGGCTTCGGCGGCTTAGTTTGAGCCATATTTATTATCAAATAAATAAGACAAAAAATAAACTGAATAAGATTTGACAGGGTTTTGTTGTGTTAATAGAGGTTTGTCAATGAAAATGTCAAAACAAAACAACTAAATGATAATAGTTGAAGCCTTTAAAGAGTTTTTTTTTAAAGAATAATAAAATGCATTACTTCGAGCCTACTTAATCTATTAAAAACGCGATATATTATATATTACTTAAACTTTTTTGAAAATTATTTTAACTACGACCCGACGGAGACTCCCCGTGACCACGGCTGCTGCAAAGCATCCGAGCGGCATGGCGATCGGGCCGTAGTTAATACAATTTTCAAATAAGTTTATTCAATATCGCACTTAAACCGTTAGTGTTTTATTTAATAATGTACTGCTCGCGTAAACTGCAGACAGTATTTTACGCGCTTTTATCGATGAAATAAGGACTACATACTAAGTATTTATTACATGTAAAATGATAACTGATGCTTTGTGATTGTTTCTTTTTCATATATCTTATCTGAACGACACTATGGCTTAGTAGCGTGTTGCCGTCATAAATAGATGTCCTAAGTCTGAATAGCAGGAACTGTATCTTTTAAGTTAATTAGAAAAGGATAAAGAACTGTTAAACTGTCGCCTCCTTTACTTTCTATGGGACTCTTGTACATTTTTTTTTAATATATTAAAATATAAGAAATAATCCTTTATTGAACACATTTGAAATTTTATAATACTTTCAAAGCTGCATTGTAAATTTATCTTCAATTATTTTTTACACTGCAAAGCATAGGACATTGCGGTAGCTTGATAAAAAACGGTAGCGGGCATCAATAGCATGGACCGCTGAGGATGTCGGTTCAAATCCCGGCCTCGTCATCAATTGTATTTTATTTTTTCATTTATAGTTAACAAATCTTCGCCAACATTTTAGCGATACTTCTCTTCCTTCTCTTGAAAACTGGATTCTTATCCAAGTCATGCGCGTACGCAGTTCGTTCTGTGGGCTGTAAGTACATTGGCAAAAGGACGTCATTTTCCGACACCCATTGCATGACGTATTCTGTAATCGCTTCGTGATGTTGGGACTTCTCAAAAGTCGATCGAATCTTGAGTTTTTCATGACATGTTAAAGCCTAAAAAACAAACAGCTATATATGTATAGAAATGTGAATATCCCGCGAAGGTTTGACACATTGCGCATGACGTAACGTCAAAATGGGGAAAAGATGGCGGATTATTATATAAAATCTAAAATGGTGATTTAAAGCAGTAAGATTATTGGATTGATTTTACACATTAATTAATAATAACAGAGGTCGCTGAATTAACAATTTAGTATAAAAAAAATATTAAAATCGCTTCAGATAAATCCAACAATTGGTTTAATTTTTTACATACAAATGTATACAAATCTCGATATATATATATGCATGGCCCACAGTTGTCAAGTTTAATCGCATTTTAATTTAAGTCTGTTGAATATCAAAGCCAAAACTTATTTTGAACTTTCACCTACCGTCAAGAGAACACCCTCCTCTATAAAAAAAATAAACATTATGTTAGGTAAATTAAGTAAAAACGTACCTACATAAATATTAATTTCGTTTTATAGTAACTTAATAGTTTATTTATTAAATAATATCTTGTAATAAACTTTATAAAAAAACTAACCCTTGAAGGGATATTTTCCACAGCAGCGATTAACACTTCTTTCAGCGTTTCTCCATGCAACTGTCCCTAAGGATAGCAAAAAAAAAAAAAAAAAAAAAAAAAAAAAAAAAAAAAAAAAAAAAAAAGCGGAAGAATGAAGTTTATGATATATATTTATATAATTAAATCTTAGAATTCATATTGTCGCCACGAAAGGATATATATCAAACTAGCTGTTTCAGCGACTTTGTCCGCTAAGAATATTTATTTTGGGCAACCAAATTAGTTTTTTAAATAAAACACTTTAACGGTTTAAAACGCGATATATTAGTTAAACTTATTTGAAAATTATTTTTAACTTCGGCCCGACGTTTCGGATGCTTTGCAGCAGCCGTGGTCACGGGAAACGTCGGGCCGAAGTTAAAAATCATTTTCAAATAAGTTTAACTAATATATCGTGTTTTAAACCGTTAAAGTGTTTTATTTAAATGTGTACAATTCGCGTAAACTATAGACAGTATCAAATTCGTTTTTGCAAACCCCGTCATCTTTATAAACTTAAGCTATTGCTCACGACATCGGTCGCGCCCTTCCCGTCGTTCTTGCAAGTTAATCTTAAAAGATAGACATATAGCGTCGTGGACTTTTTTTAAATCATTTAAAGAGGAATCATTCTTTCGTACATAATATATTTTGGGTATCTTGAACCGTTCTTGAAGCGCCTCGGAAACCAATAGTGATGAAAACCCATTTTTTTCACATTTCTCGCTGTATCTTCGAATGTATTAGTCACAGGGCTATTTTATAGCCTATAGATTTTCTCGATAAATGCTCTAACTAACACAAAAATATGTTTTCACTTCGAACCCGTAGTTCCTGACATTGTTCAAACATATAAACTCTTCAGCTTTATATATTAGTATAGATTATACTCAACGTAAAAGCAGATAGAGAGATAAGGTAAGACTGTACCTTTGGTAGTAACTCCTTAACAATTGCAAACAGTTCGTCAACATGGTCGTGATACAAAAAGTGCGCCCATGGTTCGCGGAAGAACTCATATAAATTGTCTAGTTTTTTCGTCTAAAAATAAAATGTAACTCAAATTAAAGCTTTAGTTATGATGGTTAAAAAGTAAGTTTCCTTCAATCACATTTTAAAACATAGATATCTTTAAATAAAGCAGTTTGAATAGTTTATAAAGTAAAAAAAAAAAAAAAAAAAAAATCACAAAAAAATTTAAAAAGGGAAAAAAAAATAGTTATATAACATTTTAATTTCAAGTAAAGACGAATCCTTACCGTATATCTCAAGTGTACATTGCTCAACACCGAACTGGATAAGCCATACAGCTTCTTGAAATTCTCGAGAGAATATTTCTCTGGTGTTAGACAAGTAATACCGTCGGCAATGAGATCTTTATTGAAGTGCATTTTGAAATAACCCTCTTTAAATGTTTCTATTACGAAACCCTGAAAGGCAATATAAATTTAAATAAATCACTTTGACGGTATAAAACGCGGAAGCATCCGAAACGACGAGGCGTAGTTAAAATAATTCAGTAGTAGTAGTTGAAATATGTTTAATATATTTCGTGTTTTGAACCGTTAAAGTATTTTATTTAAATGTGTCCTACTCTATATGTTTGTTCCTTTGAAACTAGTTCAATACATTGACGTATCGGTTACGTCTAGTTAAAGCAACACACCCAAAGACTTTAATACTAACTAACGTTACATAATATGCATTTGCGAACATGCCATAAGAGCCAAATCAACAAAAACAAAAGAAACAAATTGTCATATTCAAAAAAGGGCGACAGCCCATCTGTTTAGATGTTATGCGGTTTGTCATAAAAAAATCTAGCTCGTTGCCTGCTAGATCATCGCGGGAGGTCAAACACATCTAATATTGAAATACAAGCTGATAGAGCCGTAACGCGTTACATAACGTCATCATCACACAGTTTGATAAACATTTAATACTTTTATCTTAGTGCTAAAGTTTGGTATAGCTTGGTAACAAATTTTCTGTTATTGAAAATTTTATTAAGTTGAAAAGAACTAACGTTATAATCCAAGGATTGGACGTAATAATTCGGTACTTTCATTCCCGGCGATCGAACCTCTAAATACTGCAAACCGCCGGGCAAGATGCAGTATTTCACTAATGGCATTTTGAAATCTGGTACACTTACAAACGAGTCGTCTCTAAAATTTGACAATTTTATGTAATCTTCCGTACATTTATTTTGCTTCATTATATTATTGAGACATGCTGTATATAATTCTTCTTTATCAACTTACGTTTCACAATTTTCACTACTTCTTGAAAAACTTTCTTCTGTAGAATTGTTTTTCTTCTGACATTCGCTTTTCTCAGAAAACAACGGATCTAATTCTTCTCTAATAAATTTTCCTAGCTATAGAATTAAAGATAAGGTTATTAAAATTTATAGAATTAGAAGATTAACACCTCAAAGGCCTAATGGTTACACGTAGACCATGAGGTTTAGAATTCGACTCCCGAATGTCAAGCGTAATGTTGAGGTTCTTCACCATCAACGTATGATTATTTATCTCATTTTTAACTTTTTCTGAAAAATTTGGATATTAAATTAGTGGTAAGAATATCAAAATTCCGCAAACCACCAGGTCACCAACCACCGTCCACAGATGGAAAAGCCGTGTAAATCTACTCTTCGGTTATAGTCTGTGGATTTCCGAATTCCGAAGCCAAAATAGGTCGATAGCACATCACGTTATAATGCTATATGACTTCGGGATTTTGCCTTCTATCAAGTCAATTCATATACAATTGATGTTTTAGTAAAAGTAATCTATATTTGAGAACATTAATATTTATCGCATGTATAAATTAAAAACATTAGAACATGATGGCATTATATAAATTAAAAATCGGTTTTAGATCGAACGATTTTTACGACACGGAAATTTGATGACGCGGTAGCTCAATAAGTTAGAACATCACGGAACGCTGTGGATGCAGGTACGATTCCCGCCTGTGTTGTCAAAAAATGTCAATCTAAAATCGATTTTTAATGAATTGATTTACCTTAGTACCAATTTCATAAGCGTCGTAATACTTGTGACGTTTGGCACCTGCAAAGTACCGTCTATGATATCTCGTCACTGGCCCAGCTGCGTAAATATTCGGATCATTCGTTCGGAAATTGTGATCGATAACGATTCCTCCGTCATAAGCCATTCCGCTTTTGTGAACCGCTGCAATGTATATATAAAGTTTTAATATCTACCCACTCAATTTAACTCGGGTTTATGTAAGCTTGACAGCATTCTCTAGAAAGTATCCTTTGTCCGGGTTCTGTACACTATTGTATCGTTCTTTACAACCATCGGTCTCTAGGGTCTTGTTTGTACCTATATCACTTTTTTTAATAGAAAGAATAGATTTTTTGCCCATTTTTTTACTATAATTTGTTTACTATTATCCTAAAGATAGTATATGTAATACCGTACTGTGAAAATCCCTTTTCCACTGTATTGTGACAAAATCTTTCAATAAGGTAAAATATTATTGTTAAACAGCGCCATCTAGCGACGAATCATAGAACTATTAATATAATGACCCATAAAAATATGTTCGCTAACTCCACGTTTGCCATAGTAGAAAAAAGCGGCGCACTCCAAGTTTATGAATTGAAAGTGCGACATAAACTGTACATAGGTAGCCAAATTGTCATTATCCATCATCCAAGATTGAAAGTAGTATGAGCGATAGACTTTTATCTTCAAATTGTGTAGCATTTCGTCCGTCGTTTTGTCAACCTTAAAAACCAAAATGCCTTTAAGCTTAGACATAACGAAGTAGTAAAAATAGATAAATGGAAACAAATGACGGAACAATTCTCAACTATACCAAATGTTCAAAGGATGGGATTCGAACCCAGGAACCCTCGCGCTTAACGCAACGCTAGGCAATACATTTAACCATTCGGATACAGAGGCGTACTAATGTAATATGAATACGTAAAATTATAGAATTGTGTCACTAATGTTCTTGATAGGAATAAAGAGGGGATTTTTCTTTATATCACACAACGTCTATCTAAGAAGAGTAAAAACTAGCTGAAAATATCCCTGCAGTGATTTTCTTTATGTATAAGGACAGACAGACCTATTTTTATAGTTATTAGTTTTTGATAATTTTATTTAACCCAAAAAGTATAAATACATAAAGGTTCTCACGTAAATATTACAAAATGGCGACACCCTGGGCGCCTTCGGGTTTTTAGGCGGAAAGGGTTCTATAAAAATTATATTATGCGGTGACACCTTCATTTCTATGAGGGTAGAAATGCAGCAATATGCGTGAAGTGTAGCACCGTAAACTAGAATTTTCCCTGAGACAAAAAATACCTAGGCAATTAAACATATTTGTCACACCCTAATCTAATACTAGCTGTGTCGACGACTTCATCCTCGTAGAATAGTTATTTCGGGCATCCAAATTTGTTTTTGCAAACCTTCTCTTTGTTTTTTATAAATTTCTGTCACACCCACGACGTAGATCGCGGCCCGTCGTTTTAACAAATTAATCTTAGGGGACATAATGGATGTCGGAATTATTTTAAAGATCATTTAAAGAGGAATCATTCTTTTATATATATTTTTTGGGTTTCTTGATCCGTTTTAGCAGCCTAAGCACTGGAAACCAACATAGTTTAATAAATCCATGTTTTACCGCTATTTTTTAGCTCCTATTAGTCACAGCGCGATGTTTTATAGCCTAAAACCTTCCTGGATAAAGTGCCAAAACAACAAAAACATAATTTTTCAATTCGAACCAGTAGTTCCTGAGATTAGCGCGCTCAAATAAACAAACTCTTCAGCTTTATACAATAAGTATAGATAATTGTTATTGTTACAACTAAATATACCTCTTGCTATGTTCCAGTCAATAGTTCTAACAAAATTAAGCGCCTTATTAGCATCGGATATGTTATTAACGATGAAGACATTGTTTGGTGTAAAATAATTCACGAAGGGACTTTTAAAGCTTTGAGGTACGTCGAGTCTTGTATATTGGTCATCACCGCTCCTAGAATTAAAGAAAAATGAATGGTGATAAAGAAATGTTATTAAAACACTGATTAAAAATGTTTGTATAATTATGATGATGATGATGATGACTTTATTAAAAATATTAAATCCAAAATAAACGACATTGGGACACTAGAGACACCCTCCAGACGTAAAGAGCCTTAATTAAATAATAAATTAAAAATAAGTTAACTACAATGGTTCACGTTTTTACCCGTTAAAACGCGTAAAAAAGTTACTAAAATAAGTAAAGTTAAAGTAAAATTAGTTCACAACTTAAAACTACACTTTGGTGTATTTACCGTCTACGATGTTCTTTCTCCAAAATATCCTTCAAGTAATCTGGGTGCTGGTATTGCTTTCCACAGAGTAAAAATAGCCGGTCGTAATAATACTTACTGCCGTTTGAGAGTATAACGTATTTGTCTTGCCTAAAATGAAATAAGATATGTAATAATTCAATATATCTTGAAGTAAGTAATGTATTTAAAAAATATACTGTATTAAATCTGCACGGTGTAACACATATATAGACGCACTGAAATTGATCTATTTTATAATACATATATGCAAGTGAAGGGAGTTGTTCTTATTAATTTTATGTAAAGTGAGTAAAACCTGCCACTTTTTTTTTGCCAAAATTTAATTTGGTGTTGTAGTGACAACGTACTTGACACTTAGAACTCTCGTTTGTGTTAGCTCAGCCTCTGAAGGGGCCACAGATTATCAGTGTGGGGACATTAGCAACGTAGCGGAGTGGACTCCTTTTCGGAGGCAACTATTTTATTGTTTTATTATTTTATATGTAAATTAGTAAATTTTTTTATTTGTAATGATTAGTGTTTGTTAAATGTCTTGTGTTGTTTCCGAAAGGTCTTTTATTCTATTCTATTCTATTTGACTTTGACGGAATTTCGATATTCCATTTTACATCCAGTTTTTCAGACGAATGCTGATGTTTTCCAAAAATAATAAACTGGTTTTAGGGGCATATTGGATCTTGTGGGAATCGAAAGTTGCAAGATTCGACGAAGACGTGTAGGACTCGGCAGGTCAATTGGATAGAGAAAGTACGGAACGCTATGGATGCCGGTTGAAGTCCTGTCCGTGTCGCAATTTTTTTTCAATTTATATACAATTGTTAAGTTATATATACTTATTAATATCCACCATAGAACCATGCACTGTGTTTACATAGTACGTATATGGTACACTTTTCAAATATCTCTCTGAATTCGTATGGTGTTTCAGCAACATCATCTCGGCTAATGTCTTGCTGTTTCTGATGTAGGGCAGTCCTTGTGGTGATATCAAAGTCACATTCGTGAAGAACAGGTACGAAGATGTATCTCTGAAATTGGAAAGCCCAAAAACAAATCGATCTAGGTGAATACGAATGCGATTTGGTTTTATAAAGTAGCTCAAATATTAAAATTAAAATTGTTGAAGGGGACACACTTGACGGTGGTGTGGACTTTTGGCTGGGAAATGGCACACTAAACCGAAAAAGGGGAGAATTCGGTATTCCTACCGTCCATTTAATATACAGATTTCCAAAAGTCCAACAAGTTTCAGAACAATTATAAAATGTTTAAAAAAAATCATGGACCAGGTGGGAATCGAACCCACAGTGTTAATTATTAACCATACAGCCGACCCCGTCAAAATATGACGACCTCGTTGTTGTAACCTTTTTGAAGGCAACTATTTTTTGGGCTTGGTACAGGCAATATACAGATTATTTATCAATAAAAAAATTGTACCTAAAATAACGTATTACTATTTATATGAATCAGTCCGAAAAGAGGTTAAATTATTATTAATTACCCAAAAAGCAGCGTATTTAAAAATGCCATAGCTGTTCTAGATGCACCAACAATGACGAGTCTCGAATCCACTGTCACTTTGGGCACACTGGTGAGTTTTCCACTTATGAACCAGCAGCTGAATGCCATCCTATAGAATTTATTAAAAAAACTCTATTGAGAGTTTTATCATTTGAAATGATGATAAAACAACTCCATGATACCAAAATTGCCTTTCTACGCAAATAACAATTTTGGTCTTGAAAAGAATGTACCTTTGTAGTCTCTATACTATGACAACTTCATGATTTTATCAAATCTTCCAAGCCAAGAGAAACAGACAGGCTTTTATTTTTTACTGAACTTTTTACTGAACCCTATTGCTGAGACTTCTGTGACTGTCTTTCTAGCCGTCATTCAGTCAACAGGTTGTATCTTTTAAATAAAACACTTTAACGGTTTAAAACGCGATATATTAGTTAAACTTATTTGAAAATGATTTTTAACTTCGTGACCCCCGTGACCACGGCTGCTGCAAAGCATCCGAAACGTCGAGCCGAAGTTAAAAATCATTTTCAAATAAGTTTAACTAAACTAATATATCGCGTTTTAAACCGTTAAAGTGTTTTATTTAAATGTGTACTACTCGCGTAAACTATAGACAGGTTGTATCTTTTAAAGCGATAACTCGAGTTGAAATTTTCGTTAATATTATAATAATTATAAATACTTATTTTGTAATAAAAATTTAATGTCCATCAAAAAGTACTGCACGGCCAAACCATAGCTTACATGATTTTCAATAGCATAATTGATGTGCTAAGAAGTACGCACTTAAATTAACTGTAGAAAATATAAAACTTGTATACTTTTTTATTCAGACAATGGTACGGAACCCTTTGCATACAAATTCGATTAGCATTTGGCCGGTTTAGTATAATAGCAGATTAGCACTCACAGAGAATTAGAGAGCGTGTGCAATTTGTTCAGTTCTGGTACAGGAGCGTAATCCAAGTCAGACTTTCGAGGCAAAAGTGGAATCATCACTGAGGCGAACGAATTTAGCTTATGTGTCACCTGTGAAATAATTTAACAGAATTAGACTGTTTGTTTTACAATGAAAATTATTTAAAAGGTTTTATATAAGTGAAATTCTATTTCTCTATAATTTGTTGTCACTTGATCCAATACTATTTACTGAAGTGTATAGATATGACCTTGTACATTCAAATATATTAATAATCTCCCGGTTTCGAATCCGGGCTTCTCCCATTCACCAAGAATTTTATAACTAAATAATATATAAACGAAACTAACCCACTTATTCCGATAAGCAGTGAGCCAAATAAGCGAATGGATTCCGGATAACCTCATCATGTCTCTAACGAAGAAGCGGTAGTGGGGTTCGAATGCCGGGTAAATCAATACAGATTTTAGCGTAGCAAACCCAGCATTATTATCTTGGTCCTTCACGTGGTAGTTGTGGATGCGATGAGCGTCAATGTTAAATTTCGCGCGAATCAAATCGATCCGCTCGGGTGGTCTAAAAAAAATAAAAGAGCCAACAAAAACTGTCTGTAGTATTTTACTAAAACGTACGTACTTACGTACGTAAAATACTATAGACAGTTAAAAACGAAACATAAATAAGTAAAACTTGTTTGTAAATTATTTTAACTACGGGCCTGCTTCGATTGCTTTGCATCAACGGTTTATAACGCAAAATATTTAAATAAAACACTTGAAAGGTTTAAAAAGCGATACATATAAGTTAAACTTATTTGGAAATTATGCCTTCCCATGACCACGGCTCCTACAAAGCATCCGAAACATAAGTAGTTAAAATAATTTACAATACGTTTAACTGGTATATCGTGTTTGAAAATGTTACAGTCTTTTATTAAAAAACACTTTAGACAGTAGATTAAATAAAACAAAAATAAAATTTATATGTATTTTGATTTAATATGCTTCGGTTCATATATATATATCTTCCAACAATAATGGTAGCTATGTATGGCTCATAATCATCGGGTCGTGGGTTTGATCCCCATCGGGACCAACATGTTCCTAATCAATGTATAATATATACATAATATACATATACATAAATGTTACCTGCGTCTGGAAATTTCAATATTGGATAGATTATAAATAGGAATATCGAAATTCAATCCGGTCACGAACCCAAAAAATACCCAAGATACCCAAAAAATATGTATCCAAGAATGATTCCCTTTTAAATGATCTAAAAAATGCTATATATCTATCTTTTAAGATTAACTTGCAAGAGCGACGGGAAATGCGACGCGACCGAGGTAGTGGGTAACAGCTTATTTTTATAACGATTAAGGAGTTCACAAAACGGATTTTAATGGCCAAAATAACGATTCGCGCGGATGAAGTTGCTGACACAGCTGCCAGCTATATGGAAAGATTTAATCTTAAATAAAACAGAACAGAACAAGGAAAACTTACTCAAGAATACCAACGCCGACAACAGATACGTTACTTAAGAACACATAAGCTTCTAATTTATTTCGTCTCAATATCGTATTCTCAACAGACCAAAGAGTTTCTCGTCCATCCAAACTGTAAAGTAACTGAGCTACTTGCGGTATGTCAACTATTTCTGCTCTCCTCACCCTCAACTTGCTGAAAAGACCAAGATTTTTTATAGGACAAATACATAAACAGGTTATTTTTGTTTAAAGGCATAAAAGTGTGGCGATAGTTACGAAAATGTTAGTTATGGTTTTATCAAGGGGCATATGTTTAGCTGCACTTCTTGTATTTTTACGCCTTTAATATAGTCTAGATATTAGGCTAAACAAACTACCGACTAACGCAGGGATTCTGGACCGCACCGCAGCGTTACGTGCTAAAGCATATTCACAAGCGATTTGATGTCTTGTTGAACGAACTGTAATGAAACGTCCACAAATTTGAGCGATTAACTTAAAAAAAATTATAATGTTTTATTTTGTGCAATGGACTACATACATTTTTTTAAAGCGTACAGTTACTTGGCATTATATTTTTAGTAGTTTTTGATCAATGGTGTGGGGTATCCGAGATCGAACCTGCGCTTTTGTATCAGCGGCATTTAGATTTATAATGTCTAAATTTTTATATTGTATTGTCATATAAATTAACCCATGAATGTACACAGTGTTAGAGCAACATGATAATGGAAAGGTCACTTAAGCGATTTCAATTTCTATTTGGAAACAAACTAAATAAAAACGACGACGAGTAAATAAAACCTTGAAAAAATTGTTAGTTTCTCTCCTACTTGCTGTGTATACTTTGACGATATCTTTGCTTTTTATTTATTATAGCACCTACCCACTTAATAAGTCTTCTTCTGTTTCTTTTCTCTTGTACTTCAGGTAGTCTGGAAAAAATGCTGCTTAGCGATAATGCCGCCTTTTAATTTATTAGTACGTTATTATTTTTCTCTATTTCATATTCATTTTTTCTTAACTACTTTCTAATACTTTTAACTTGATAATGCAATTACTGGGAACATATTACAGCGGGGAGAGAATTAAGAGCCTTGACTCCACACTCCGGTGCGGCTTAGCAAGCTACCGTCACGAAATTAGTAATCCGAATTGTCTGCTTAGTTGTCCCTCCGAGATTTGTATGATGAAAATCTAATACTTATTGTGTTATAGGCTTCAATAAATCAGTAAAGGTATACTTACAGTAAAGTGTTGTAACAGAGGAAAGTGCTTCGCCGAACAGGGTGTTCGAATAATACAGTAATCGTATTTATTCATGACTTCAAAAGCAGCCTCTAATAAGTCAAAGGCGTGTCTAAAAAGAAAAAAAAAAATTCACGATATATTCTGTCTGTTTCACAGCAAATAAACGTTTAAACAATTAAACACTAACAGTTGTTAAACGCAATATATATTAGTTAAACTTATTTGGAAATTATTTTAACTACGGTCCGACGTTTTACATGCTCAGCAGCAGCTGGGGTCATGGGAGGAGACATCATTTCCAAATAAGTTTTACTTATATATTAATAGCGTTTTATTAATTTGTTTTTTTTTAAATATTTTGTGTTGTAAACCGTTCAATGTACCTGTCCAACCGTTCTCATTTAAATATTCTTCTACTCGCATAAACAACAGACTGAATATAACAACTTACTTGAACACAAGCTAAATAAAAACTAGTTTTTTTAACATACCTTTATAAATAAAATTAGTTAATGTTTATTGTCAAATACCTCTGATCTATATCATCATGTAATCCGAATAATTCAATCATGAATGCATTTGGTTCACCAGAGAATTTCTCCATTTTAATTTCATTAGAGTTACGATCTAGTCGTACTGATGATCTGCCTGAAGAGAAGATCAGTCAAGAATACTATATTTCATATGTAAAGTTTATCAATCGGAAATCGAACTCGTTTAAGTTACAGGAATATATACTTACGTCTGTATTGTTGTTCAATATCTGATATTATAGACCTTCTTGGGATTTTCTTCTTTACGTTCGACCTGAGTAGATTTTTAATTCATTATTGTTTTGAAATACAATGAAATATTACTATATATAAATAGTAAACAACTGTCTATCGCGATATATGATAAACTTATTGAAAATAAATATTTTTAACATTATAAATCCAAAATGGCCGGGTCCGATAAAAAATGGCTCCGGGATGCCAAATACCAACTTCGACAGAACAGATGGCACTGGCGTAGCAATTTTTTTTTGACGTCAGAGACATCCCGTCTTTAGTCTCACCGTGACCACGGCTGCTACAATGCAAATATAGGTAACAAATGAAAACATTAAAGAGGCTACACTAGGAAAACTTTACCGTTGTGACTATCACTAGTCAAACGAAATGAGTAAATTTTATGTCATTTTTTTGTAGTTTTCTAGTGCACAAAAAAAAACCGTTAAACTTAAAAGATTTTTTTACCTATTTTTATTTTTAAACTATCTACTTTTAGCACTTACAGCAAAAAATCCTGTGACAAAACCTCCGGTACGGACAGCAATTTGTGATCTATATTCACTATTTCGTAATCAAATGGATCTTCTTCCAGCAAGTATTCGACGAAGGAGGTACGTCGCGATAGAATAGGCGAGAGCAGGATTTTCTCACTCATATCTTCGGAACTCTCTTGGTGCCTATGGAGGGAGCTAAAAGAACGTCCAACACTCGCAGAGGAGCGTCGAAAGTTCACTTTGCTTGTTTTCGTCTTTACACTAACGTTGTCGTTGGATTGTTCCTGTATTAAGTATTATAAGGTTGGTGTAATGATTGCAATGTGCCGCTAATAATCAACCGGTTGTGGATTCGACCCACACCGCGTCCAAAATTTTTTTAATCAATTTATAAGTTTTCTGAAAGATTTTAAACTTCGTCTGGATATTAAAAGGTAGGAGGAATACCAAAATGCCGTCCACAGATAAAAAAGCTTTTCAGTTTTCACATTTCAGTTTCAGTTTACGAATATCCAAAGCCAAAATAAGTGAGCGATTAGTGCACTTTTAAATGCAACACTCAACGGTTTAAAACGCAAAATATGTACGTACTTAAACCTAATTAAGATAGGTTAACTAATCTAAAACAGCGTTCAATTCTGATCGAACTTAACATTTTAATTCAAAATAAGTTAACTAATACTAAAATAGATAGTACATAATCTACTTCTAATAAATACTAACAAATGGTGGAGCTACTAAAAATGTATAATATACAATAATACATACATCTGGATCCTTTTCTTCTTCTAAAAAGGGAGTCGTATCAAATGGACACCATTTCCCAAGCATAATTGGATCACTGCAAATGAAAAACCTGTTTTCACTGGCAACTGGCACATACTTACACGGCATTTTTACTTTACTGTTATAAAAAGATCTATGATATCTTTATCTTATAAGAAGGACCCAAAGCAATCAAAGCAAAGTATCTACGTATTTTTTTTCTTTTTTGTGTACTTATTATACCACTATTCATTTGTTTATTATTTTTTTTATATGTAATAACGCATAAAAAGAACTTAAAACAACAAACTCATTGGAATTTATCAGTATGCCCTCAACTTAACAATTTTATACTAAGAAATACAGATTATAGAATTCTAAATAGAGATATTTAGAAGATTTTTATTAAAAACAATAATACAAAGACCGCTTTCAGGGCACACCTCTTTATGAAACATAAGGGTTGCCATCTATTATTTAAAACTTACCCAAATGCGCGTAAAAGTAAGTTGTTTCTCTTTATTTGCTCTCGTTCTAGCGGCGTCGACTTACACAAACCATGGTACGGGTCCAATTCATAAGTGTTTTGTAGCATTTTGTAATTTACGTCTGAATTAAGACCCATTACTCCACTTACTCCTTCGAGAGCCTGAAATAATAAGAATAATTTATAAATAAGAATTATTTTATTTTAATGAATTCTGACGGATTATTATTAGATACTGTCTATAGTTTACGCGAGTAGTACACATTTAAATAAAACACTTTAACGGTTTAAAACGCGATATATTCGTTAAACTCCGTAACTGGTCACGGCTGCTGCAAAGCATCCGAAACGTCGGGCCGAAGTTAAAAATCATTTTCAAATAAGTTTAACTAATATATCGCGTTTTAAACCGTTAAAGTGTTTTATTTAGATTATTATTATTCTAAGATGAGCTGTCGACCTATTTCGGCTTTGGATATTCGGTAATCAGCAGACTGAAACCGAATTGCAATTAAACTTTCGTCAAGTTTAATCGCATAAGCGCGCGATAAGGCCACCTTTGCAATTAGAACCATGTTGGACGCGGTAGAGGTCAAACCAAAGACCCCTTCAGTATTAGCTATACATTTGCTACCATTACACAAAAGGGCCCGTCAAAACTATGTAAATTTAATAGAATTTCAATATGGTATATTACATTTAACATTTGTGTTTTAAATTTGGATAAAGGCTAGTGTACAACCAAGACCGTATTGTACGTCCATCGAGGGTCTCTACTCTACCCTTGATGATTCAAGCTCTCTAAGAAAAGGGTACAATGTACAAACCTCACTAACGATAACCTTCCTTTGCATCTCTGGATGACGTCCAATAATTTCGCTAATATAATAATCGCCGTACAATTCTCGCAACTTGGGGGCAACTCTTGTCGAGTATAGCCACTATGTCGTCGTTGTCTTCTTCTCTGAAATATAGTGAAAATCTAGTAAAACTTGTACTGGAACTATTTATTTATTATTTTTTATATTAATTTATTTAATCAGCAAAAAGGAAGCAAACCTACACAAATAATATAGCTAAAGAATAACAATGAAGAATTAATTTAAATAAAACATTTTAACGGTTTAAAACGCGATATATTAAAAATCATTTTCAAATAAGTTTAACTAATATATCGCGTTTTAAACCGTTGAAGTGTTTTATTTAAATGTGTACTACGCGCGTAAACTATAGACAGTATTTAATGGAGAATTAATCCTTTAAAGCCAAAATAGACAGCGCATTTTATCATGAATTTCATCTTATCTTATATAGATGTTATATGGCTGGAGTATGTCATCTAACATCGAGTGAACCTCACGCTTGTCTGTTCTTCTCTATCTTAAAAAATAAGTAAACACAAATCTAAATTCTAACACATCCAAAGCCAAAAGAAGTGAACTGCGCATTTGTGTAGATATTATATCATCTACCATAAGGGGAACCCTTGTCTGTCCACCTCTATCCTAAAAAGTAACACGAAACTAAACTCACAATTTGTATTTAAGAAAACATAACATGTTAGTCTCTGAATCCATCCCAGTTGCTGTCGTGTTCCCATAATTTCTCCTCTATCATACAAAAGCATACCACCAACCAAAATACCAAGTTGCGCACTTACACAGCGCGTCGTATCCTCAATTTGAGGCAAAAATCGTGTCTCAAAGCCGTGTAGAAGTAATGATAGTTGACTTCGTAATCGTCATCTCGCCTCGCTTTGTTCTTTTTGTAATTGTACTTTTTCATCGTCTGATATTTAGTTATACACTCTGATACACACACAAAAAACCTATTACTATAAAAGCAAACTACTAAACTTATACAAAAATCTAATTCTTAATGGCATCCTAAACAGCTTGATTGTGATAGAACTGGTATTAATTAAACATAACCAACAATTTATATATTTTTACGTTCTGTTGAAGGGAACAGATTAAATAAAATGCAGGTAGCACCGCGAGGTACAACTAGTTGTATTTATTATTCAACTTACAATTAACGTTTAAACTTACATTTTTATCACCGTTTTAAGGATAAATGAGGCCGCTAGCGGCAGAGTGGCCTAACTGCAATTTTATGACTTAACTTATTTCTATTTAGTATCTAAAAATGTTAATCTACAACAGCACAGTGACCGAAAATTGTGAACGGAATTGTTACAGAAATAATAGTACAGATCCACTTTCGTTTGGTTTTATAATAATTATGTTTTTTATTATTAGGCCACCCTGCCTCTAGCAGCCTCAAATATTTCTTTACGCGTAATCTCTAACACGATAAATATATATTATGTTCATTTGTTATTTTTCCAGACGTAACTAGCTTTTAATACGAGCACTTACCTCTGGGACAATTGGGAGGGACCATCAGAACTATCTGTTGCAAATGAACGTCGTCCATAAACAGGGATATCAAAGCTTCATCCAGAAAGAAATCGTAAGCATCTTCTATACAACACATTGCGTGTATAAACAGCGTGTTACGTGATAAATAGAACTTTCTGTAGAGCATTTTTATCAATGAATATAACTTTAAAATATTACTTTGTGATAGAAGACAAATATAAAATAAATATCTGTTATAAATTTTAAAAAAAGTAAGAGCCTGGTTCGTGCCGGACGGAATGTGGATATTTCCTTTGAGATTTAATTTTTCAGGAGAAGTCGAACGTGTTTGAAATTATTAGACCCAGTGGGGGTCGAACCCACGACTTGTTCAATATTAGGCATACATTTCTACCATTAGACCATCAAAATGTAAGTTTAATATTAATATTTTGTACATTATGTTGTCTGAACATTTCAAAGTCAGAAAATTTTCTACTCCTGCAAACCGTCATAAATTTTTGGTTTTACCCATGAACGAACGGGTTACTTCCATGTATAACACACATATTGTACTTTAAGCAAATACACTAACTGGTACATATTCCTCATCCAATTCTCCCAATCCGCAGGGTTCACAGCTGCTATATCCGGGTGGTCACATAACGCCATAAAACCAATCACCATTTGCTTCTCATTAATCATGCATATTGATAGTGTTGCCAGTTCGCTAAAAAGGATTTATATAACTTTATGGCTTATAACCGGTCGGGGAAAATGAGCGGTAGGATAGAAATTTCGGCTGCATTAATCGCATTTCGACGATCATACAAATATTTTAGGCTTAAGCAGAGTACTTAAGTCGAGAGGGTAACTTAAATTCAAACCCTAGGAAACCTAGTATACAAATCGGACGCAAAAAAAAATTTTTTTTTAAAAACAGCTATTTCTCATTTTATGATAACTTACATCAAACACCCCACATCCAGTTTACCGAATATTTTCTCAGATTCGTTACTCTGTAGCAACAATTCGATCTCATATTTGTCTTCTTGGACTGCTCTCCTAAACCTTCTCTTCTTCGCTCCGATGTTGAAGTCAAAAAATATCGACATCTTGTGACAATCAAATCAGGAGGGCCACGAATGAAACACCAAATAAGCTTTATCGTATAATACATAATTTTAAAGCTAAGTGAAATTTACAGAGGTAATTTTAATTAAGAAAAATTATCAAAACTTTGGACAAACCCGCGAGTGTCAACAATATATTTAGACAAGGCATTTAATACTTTTGAGCGTTAAGTACCACGTAGCTGCATGTTGCCATTAAATAATAAAAAATATACTTACAAATATAAAAACTATCATACAACTAAAAAACATAATTTATTAAAACATTTAAATAAAACACTTTAACGGTTTAAAACGCGACATATTAGTTAAACTTATTTGAAAATGATTTTTAACTTCGGCCCGACGTTTCCGATGCTTTGCAGCACCCGTGGTCACGGGGAGACTAAAGATGGAGGACCGAAGTTAAAAATCATTTTCAAATAAGTTTAACTAATATATCGCGTTTTAAACCGTTAAAGTGTTTTATTTAAATTATTAAAACATGTCAGAAGTGCTACTAAATTAAAATTCGAATTCTAAAATCTACCGTCAATGAAACTTAAATTAAAAAGCAAATACTATTCACAACGACATATAAATTACGTATTAAAATAAAATACTACAAATCATCATTGAATATTTGAATCATTGTTTTCATATTAATGCACAGAGCACCGACCACTGAACAGTGGGTTTGAGTCCCGCCTGTGTATATTTCTATTCAATGTAAATATGTAATATTGAAATCTTTATCATTTAAAAACTAGTATGTCAATCGATGGGATGGTATTAGTATAAGAGAAAGAAATTGATCGATAACTAGTACAAAGAAATGAAAAAGGTGCGCAACTTCTGATTATTAATAGTATGAAATTATTAAAGGAAGTTGACATGTATTCTATAGAAACGAATATGATATCACACACTTTGTACCAAGAGTATTTATATTAAAAGTACACCAAAAACTTATAAATGTTTATATTAACATCTGACTTCAGAAAGCTCTTTTTTAGCAGCTAAATAATACTTTACAATAAAAAATAAAAAATTTTAAGTGTTTAATAAGGGAGCTTCTAAGTCAAGTCAATGAAGGATATACAGTAACAATGTACTGCCAACTAAGAAAACTCGCATAACATCGGAAAGAAAAACATACCATATATGAACTTAATGTAATTTACGAATTTTTTTGAATAACAAATGATGTGTTACTGGATTTTCGAGCCGTCGTAATTGTAAAATGATTTTGTCTAATACTATATACCTAAGCGTTCTTCGACTGATCAAAGTCTTCGCTCGATATCTGATGTGATTTGTTATGGTGAACGTCGAAACCCATTTCACAATTACGACCTGACCCAAAATCAAAATGGCCGCCTTATGTATAGGTTAAACGTCAGTATTGTTTGGAAAATGGTCCTCAAAGTTAGAAATAAGACGTGATTGTTTTCGGCAAACAACAATAAGGCATGAGGCGGTATAAAACAATTATATTAAGGGCGGTAAGTTTTTCGCTCTGATAAGATGTGTTTGTGACTTAGACCGACTGACATTGTTCGGTGTTGTTTTTGTTGTTAGATTCGTGCCTGTGTTCTGTCTAATCAAATTATTTTTAGAAACTAGTGGGGAGCGGGGGGTTAAAAAGCCGTCTTGGTTGAGTTTCTGGGTGGAGCGTGTGAATCGTGTGGGCGTCATGAGTAGGGCGTGGGGGGTGTTCTCTTTCCCCGGCCGTGGGGTGAGGGGACCGTTCCGGGCTGGTTTCTTGGGCGTACCAACGGTTATAATGGGGATGGCGTTCTCTTTACCATTGCAAGCCATCGAACTTCGGCTCACCTGCTTTTCGTGGATTCCGTCCTGAAATATATACGAGATTTAAATTAAATATAAAAATATGTTATAGCAGTGCATTAAAGCCGTCTCAATAAAAATTTAAATTAAATAATCCATTACTGCCGCACACATAATATAGCAAAATACAAGAACTTAACCGCTTACACAAAAAGTAAAGATCATTTAGTTATTCTCTTCTTTAGTTCTTAAGTCCTAGAATTTTTAAAAGAGACCCCATTAAATCTAAAACATGTTAACTTTGAAATCTTTAGTATTTTTCACAAGTTGTTTCACATGATAGCACAGTTTATATAGTGCCATCATGTCATAGATCACTAATAACCTAATCGATGCATCATGTTTAAACTAATTCGTTAACTTGTTTGTTACGATTTATGGTAAATTACCTTAAAGTCAGTATAGGTAGTCAGCATAGTGGATTCAGCGAGCGGCTGGTCATCGCTGCATGTCGTTTGTGTCACATTGGACGACAAGCGCTTGGAACGGCGACGACTTAAAGACTGAAATTTGAAGAATTAAGCTAAATTATTTTTATACGTATATTTAAAAAAAGACAATAAGTGTCAAACTAGTTGATAACACTTATTACACGAAAGAAAAGTATGATTTATATACTATATTTGAAAAGATTAAATAAATAACAAAAATATGAACGATTTTTGAAAGTTGAATTTAGGGCCTTAGAGATTACAAAATTAATTATTATTTAAATTAGGTAACAACGTTTCTAGATATGCATAGAAATAATGCCTCCACTACTACAACATTTCTATAAGCAATCTTTAACATCTAGTCTAAAATGGATCTAGCTACACATACTAATTAATATGGATTTTATCCTAACTACTATATGTATATTCAAATTAGTTTAACTACAGTAATTACTAATAGGTGTCCCAGCATTAAGTTATTAGGCCGATACATATTCGATATTCGAATCGATTTTAACTAATAATGTTTTTAACAATACAGGAACAAATAGTTTCCTTTTTTGATATAACGCTAACAATCGTTTCAAAATAACCCTCGCTAAACACAGTAACATAGGAAGGATTTAGAATAATAAAAAAACAAGAAAGTGTAGATACTGTCTATAGTTTACGCGAGTAGTACACATTTAAATCCCCCGTCTCCCCGTGACCATGGCTGCTGCAAAGCATCCGAAACGTCGGGCCGAAGTTAAAAATCATTTTCAAATAAATTTAACTAATATATCGCGTTTTAAACCGTTAAAGTGTTTTATTTAAAAGAAAGTGTAGATTTTTTAAAAGATTAGCTGGGGAAAATATTTTTTGTATTTTTAAGTTACTTTTAATGTTAAATACGTACTTTGAGGGAAATTTATATGCTATATTGCGATCTAGAGACTGTATAAATGACTAGGTGTTTGGCAAAATAACCCAATAGCGGGACATAATATTACATATAATACAAAATAAACCTACTGTACGCTTGTGCTTAAGAATGCTGCCATTTACTATTATCTTGGTGGACACAGCTCCCTCGTTGTAATCAAGCTTTCTCTTAGCGAGCTCCGGTCTTCCTTCGCCATCGCGAGCAGCGATTCTTCCGCTGAGGCGTCTGAAATTGAAAATTATTCTTGATACAACCTGAAGTATTTTTAATAAGTAATACATTTAAATCACATATATAACTTTCACAAGTTACGAATTCCTCATTCATCCAACAGAAACAAATTTGTTTAAAATCAAAAAATGTCCATGTTTTTCACTAGAATGTCAGCTGACTTCGAATAAAAACAATCAATTTCCCATAAAGGACAATATTGCAGTTTTTAACAGCATATATAAAATGGATTAACAATACACAAAATAATAAATATTCTTTCGATGTTTGTTCAATTATGTAGGTGAGATGATCTGGTTCTACACATGTTTAACAATATGGCAAAAATTTAACTAGTATAAATAAATACTAATAATGATACCATTACATAAGTGTGCAAAATGTTTTCAACGTCAAATAGCATCATACTCTACTCTACTATTTGTTACTATGTTACATAATACATTCGGCACCATAAATAGACTTTTACCAGCATTACAATCTTGATAGCTACAACAGTTCTCATTCCATTCGTTAATGAAGTAATTAATTCTACAATAACTTGCCTCGTGGCGAAATTCTTTTCACTTCATTAGTGTCAAAAGCGAGCGCTGCAATTGAAGGAATGAAAAATATTGTTAACTACGTTATATTTTTAGAAACTTTATTCTTTTTTACATGTTATTGCACACGAAGGCACTATACAATTTAAAAATCGAAAACAAAAATGGAAAAATTTTCGACTCGGGCAGGACTTGAACCGGCATCGATTTTTAAATTGTACGTTATATTTTATCATATTAAAAGTAATACAATAATTAAGAATTTAAAAAATGCCTAAAATTGTATTATATCTGTATAAGGAATTGGCGATTAAAAATGATTAATAACGTAGAACGGTCATAAAAAATATAAGACTGTGCGGTAAGAATTAAGAAGTACCTTAACACCAAAATTTTATCAAAATCAGTCTAGTCATTTACAGCCGATGGAATTGTAAACATCCATAAAATCGACCCTTTTCATTTTTTATTCAGAGAAGGTTTCTTAACCCGGAATGTTATAATTTGAACGATTCACTATCATTACTGCAAAGTTTAGATTAAAATGGGTAAAAAGAGTAACAAACTTCGAGAATATTACGTAAGTAGATTTTCTGCTTTACAATATTAACTACATAGGTTACTAAAATGAAACAGTGTAAACTGCCATTTATATTACATAGACGGTTATTTCAATTCTTACAATAGGTCATGTTAGTCGATTCCAATCTGTCAAATGGATCATTGCGAGTCTTCTGCGAGCTGCAATAAATTGTAATTACCTTTTGATTGTAGTGATGGCGGATCTTTTGAGCGCTGAGCGATTAGCAAGTATGGAAGTAGCTTTAGTAGCGCTTCCCGTCACTAGTTGACGTTTCGTCGGCGGCCTATAAACAAACCATTACAATTGATAATTCTGGATGGAAAAAAACCTGTAAGAGAACAACACATACACTTAATCTAGTTTTCTTACATCAATGATAAATATAACTCAATTGAGATTATAAATATCGTTGCATTTTAAGTAATATAATTGTGCTACTTAACGTAAGGAAACCTAGTTTAGATTTTAGTAGTTTTTTATCCTAAATTACTTAACATATTATTACAAATGAAATTTTACTTTTTTTTTTTCTTACTCTTTAATGTAAATAATTAATTTAGTATTACTACATTTGTATTTAATTTGTTTGTGCAATATTTTTTTTATTATTATTACATTTCTAAATCATCCTATGTCAAGACCATAATTTGAAAATTTACCTGTTTCTGTCGGCAGTATGAGCTAAGCCTGCAGCGGTACGGTTCCTCTTGCCGAGTGGGGATGTGGCCAAGGAACGGAAACTCGGCGTTGTAGGCGTCAATGCTTGCTTGCGCGCAGATAACTTGTTTTGCCGATCCTAAAGAAAATAACTTGCTGCTAAGAACAATGCTTTAGAACTATACAAATTAAAAATCTATTTATGTAAGATATTCCATAATAAATTAAGTCCTGCTTGTAAAGCCAAACAAGCAGGTCAAAGGACAAGGGAACAAGCAAGAAAAGACTTAAACTTGCTCTAACCAATTGAGCTACCGGGACCCAGGTTCATATATATAATGCCATGTGAAAAATAAACACAACAAAATCACATGTGTAAAATAAAAACAATAAATGCAAACGCTTTAAAACAGTTTAATGTCACCTAAAATTATAATACGGTCAAAAGCACCATGCGTCCTCAAAGGATACCATGACTGCGAATTATGGTTCATCGATTTGCGAAGGACGAACCATATTACATATATATGTGATCATGTTTATGATAATGTACACAGACACACTTTTTTGGAGTATGACTAGGGCTGAGCTCAAAAAAGTACCTAACTCTTAAGACTGAAATACTCACAGCTTTTCTCATTTCCCAGTCGTCTTTCATGACCTGCAGAATAGGTTTTCCATCCACTGTGAAATCTTTACCACTTTGTGCTTCGTACTCCAACACTTTCTCACGGATCTGGGACTCAACTTGAGGAAGCTATAGTAAAAAACAAATGAACTGTTAAATTACTGAGACATATCAAACGAAAATAAGTCATATAAGAGTAGCTGAGTTCATTTTTTTATATTTTAGGCCTCAAACTCACTTTGCTGGCGATAGCTTTCCTCTCTTTCTCCTCCTTGAGCAATTGTCCACCTCGGTTATTGAAACGCCCTGGTTCTGAGGCCCGCGACTCCAACTCCACCATCTTCTGCCAGAGGGTCTTCCGTGTTACAATCAGCTCATATATTTCCCTGTAATTTAATAACAATAATAAATAACGTAAAAAAAACCTTTCGAAAGATAATACCAGTTAAGCAATAGACTCACTTATGATCATTGTAGAAGTTGGTTATCTTATCCAGATACATCTCATGCAAGGCCAAAGTGTCTTCAGTAAACAAATCTTGGTAGTAATGGAGGAATTCTTCACGTTCACTCATGGAATACATTAGATTGTCCCACATAAGCTTGATTTTCGTCCGGACATTAGCCACAAAGACCTATAGAATATTAAAACTGTACAGGGTCAATACTATAAAACGAATTTAAACTACTTGGTTAATTTTTTCATACTAAGTCCATTTACTACAGTCGTTTTACACACATTTGATATTTTTGAAATTAGTGAATGACAAAACCCATTTCACTTGCAAGTTTGAAAAATAATTCCTGCACCAAAACTACTAGTAGACATAGTATATAGTCAAATTAACATGATGACTCTGGCAGTAAGTTTAGATATATGTTCTAAACTATATGCTACTGTTAGCGTATATATTATTTTTGAAATATGTACAGGATCAAGTTATTCAATTTGAAAGTCAGACATAGGGCCATTAAATATGCAAAACTCATAACTCACCGATATTTTTTGTCGCTTGATTTGCTCACATCTTTTGAGCTCTTCCTTAATAGCAGCCTCGGTTGGTGGACTGCAGCCGGGATGGGCCTGAAGAAAGTTGTCACGATAGATCTGATCTTCTTCTAGGCATTCCCAGAGTCTTGCTAGACGCTCACGCAATTCCAAAACCTGATGAACAAATAGTATAGTAAAATAAATTTTTTTCATAGAATTATGGTCATTTAAACAAAACATAAACATAACTTAATAGTGATTATTTTTCCATAAAAAAAATGGCTGAAGTTTTTCTAGTGAAATTCCTATGCCCCTAGTTGATGTTTAAGCATGGAGCATGAGGCAAAACCACATCTGTGTCCATTTCACTGATCAATTTTATTTGTAGCCTAGTCTACCAGACATCTTTAACACAATGTTAAGCAATATGCATTAAGCAAAATAAACAGATGATTTGAAAATTTCTAACAAGCATCCTTGTTATTTTTGAACAAAATATTGATATTATATCAATTCCTTGTAAATAATAACGAGTACTGGGTTGTTCTTCTGCAGATATAAACATTAGCAATTCTAATATTTACCCTATTATTAGTCTGCTCATATTTTTCTTGCAAATCTTGCAAAAGCTTTGCCAATCGGTCCATGTTCATATCAGTTACACGGAAGTCCACTGACAGTGATGATATGACAGTTTGCTCAAACTTGTTTTGCGGCTTGATTTGTAATTTTTCTGAAATCGAAAAACACACAACATTTAGAAGAAAATTTAAGTATAGCTTAAAATAAATTATTATAATTTGTAGCTCACATTATATTCTTTGTAAATAATCTATCACAATATACACATGTTGTTTCAAGGGAAAATAGACTCCCTATGTTGTAATTTTTTTATTGCAACTCAGACAAATTAAAAAGATTACCCATTATATTCTTTATCTCGACTTGGGTGTTAAGGAATGTCTCTACTCTTCTGTCTCTTTCAGCCTGCAGCATCTCCAAGTGATTCTTCAACTGATTCAAATCCTCCTCAGATGGCAGCGGAACCTCTTCCAACTCTTGCATCGTCACACCAAGTTTATCAGTGATATCTCGCTGCCATTCAAGCAGCCTTTCCATCTTCATCTTTCGCTGTTCAACTTGGTGTCTGAATCCCATGATTTGATCCTCTAAATCTTTTTTATATTGATGCAACATTATGTTCTCTTGTAAACTTGGTAGTTGGATGTCAACAGATAGACATCTGCTAAGTTGTTCTGTTTCTGTTTTAAGATCTAGAAGAAAATAGAATGATTAACAAAAGGATTTAAGCCACATTGAAATATTTTACTGTAAACCTCAAATTATTATATAGTAGTAAAATCTATGAATTTTTGAGACAGAATTACTTACTTATAATATAAAATTTACTACAACTGATATAATTAACTTTTTGTAAATTTGTTTACAAAAGAAACTATTAAAATCAATAATTTAACAATCAGTTTCATCAAGAAGCAAGATAATCATACTTTAATGTCATACCAATTGTTTTTCCAAGATTAAAAGGCCTTTAAAGTTTACAAACTATATCAGTAATATAGAATAATGTAGAATGAATACTTACTCTCAATCTGCTCCTGCAGGCGTTTCATTTTTAATCTTGTCTCCGCCATTACTTCATTATGAAAATCCTTCTCAATTTCGTGTAATTTCGAGATATGGCTGATCTTAGTTTTATCATCTACTCCAAGGTGGGACCAATTCACCCAAAGTTCATTCATTAAAAGGCGAAGGTCTTGAGTAATCCTCTCTACCACCTCTTCACTAAAATGTTAAGACATTTTTGTAACCATTAACTATTAAATCAATGTTATTTCAATATACAGACCAAAATACAATTCTTGAAATGAATAATTTTTGAATGAATTATTTATGTACCAACATGGTATGTATAAAGGGAGAAAAATTGTTTAATACATGATTGCTACCGTTTGGTTTTTACTTATAATGGTAACATGCTATTTTATGCAAGAGAGTGTTATTTATACGCAAAACTGGTGCTTTGTTTGAAAAACAACAAATTTTCATGTCGAATATACAATATCATTGATGAATAGGTACCATCTCAAAAGTACCACTAAAGGGGTTGAAAGCTAATATATCTCGTATTTTATTATTTTAAAATGTCTCTATTTGAATTTTTAAAAGATAAGGTGTGGTTAGTGATACTAAACTTACAATAATCTTCCAACATCATCACTGATAGCACTCATTGTTCATACGAATAACTTTTACTTCAACCCTGCAATTTCACTGGTTAAAACTGTCATTCAAGCGAAAAGCTGGATTTGTCGCTGCTTAAAATACGTTTAACATTCAAATACTGGTCGTTACACATAACGTCAAATATTAAACTCAAAATATTACAATACAGCTTTTTTATTGGCTGATGTCCGAGCGCTCCACAGAGTATAGTGTGGTTTGTGTGCTTGAGGATTGAATATATTAAACCACAGATTGGCTGCAACACATATCTTGTAAAGAGTAAAAAAGTATCTGTCGTGCAGGTGAAAACATTGTCCGAAAGATGGCGCTTAAAGCCATACAAATATATGCCATAACTAAGAATAAACATAACCATAAACAATAACTATATGATAACTATACTATTAGTATTAAATATGTATACAAAAATAGTCTAGTTCTTTTTAGATTTGGGCAAAGTTTTACATAAAGCTAAAAGAAAAATAAATAAAAAAGACTATTGTGTTAATGTTTTCTATATAATTTCTTAATTTTCCCTTTTTACATTATAATTACAAACGTTTTAGTGCGTGACGTAGCAAATATTCATTTAAACTACTATAACTATTACCTGGCAGCCCCGGTCAATAAAATTAATCGATACGATGAATTGTGTTAAATTTAGGTATACAATTCACTTCATTGAAAAATATTCCATTACTTTCATGCGTTATACCTATGTGATTAATAAAACAAATATTGCAACATTTCGCTGTTACAGTCAATAAGTATGCCGTGATGTATTAATGAAATAATGACTGGTAAGGTAACAGCTAGGTGGAAAAAATTAGGGCTACCAAACACCAACCTTTCTTTCAAATAACTATAATTTTACAGTCTTATCTTATACAATACTTATAATATTTTTTATTTACTACATTATATATATATAAGGACACAAAAATGATATTTTAAAACGAAAATACCTAATTAAGTTACGAATATGACTTACTTCTCTACTCAGTATTTTTTGTCTCTATTCAGTTTTTCAGCTTAAATAAAATAAATTATGACATACAATTTTTGCTCTTTTGATAACCCTATTCAAGATTAACATGGTGTAAAATGTCATGTGCGTTATATTTCGGTGTGTTGCCAGTGCCACTTGCTTTATTAATTATCACTTCACTACTATTGAACTATTTTAAACCAAATGCTAAGAAATAAAAGCTAAGTCGCTACTGCATATTTTTCTATAAAGTTTGTATGGTTTGAAGATAATACTGAAATAAATACATCTTCCAATAACTAACATTATTATTGAGGCAAATACTACTTCGCATTATTGAGAAGTTTAAAAAGTCAACACCAGTGCCTTTTCTTATTCTAAAATTTAAATAAGCTCTCATGCGCATAAGCAAGTACAACATTTGCATTTTAAGAAAATTTAACAGTTTTAAAAACATCAATTTAATTCGTAATAACTCAACAGAACAACTAGAATTATACATTTCGCATCGATTCAGACTGTTATCTTAAGAAAATGGAGCATTCGTTACTTCATCTCATAATGACGATATTGCGGTATGTTAACTGTGTTGCAAAATTACAACGACAAATAACTATACGAAAAGCTTATAGCCTCACCGTACTTACTAACAATTTTTAAAATCAACTAAGTATGATTTTATATTATAGATATATTGTTATTTTTTTTAGGTGTAAAATAAAAATTATCTTTTTTTTTTTAATATAATATATAACTTTATGTTTTGCTAAGTATTGTGTATCTTTCACGTTTTAAACCGTTAAATGCGTTTTAATAAAATATAAAATACTCAATACATAATATCACCAATAGTTCAAAATATCCAGCACTTGTTATGTTTTATTATTCTTATCTTAAATCCTAAATTAAATATATGTAACAACATTATAAAACCTTATAAACTACTCTGTTTCCTACGAAATTTGATTCTTTCGGTCGGACAGGGCACAGAGATCTGACAAACTAAATAAAACACTTTAACGGTTTAAAACGCGATATATACAGTAAAATTACGCGTTTTATAAACAGTTAAAATTATTTATTGTGGATTTTATACAACACGAGCGTAAACTATAGTTTACAGTATCTGACAAACTACTTTCCCGTTAAAGAACCGTTCAGTGAAACGGACACAGAAGTGTTTTCGCCCCACGAGGGTAACGAGAATTTACTATTTAACTTTTGTGCTCTATTTAATCGGCAACCTTTATATATCCTAGATATTTATATTTTGAACCCAAGACTTTTCGTAATTAACGTACTCTTCGATAAATACACTTAATAATCCTGAGAAACAGGAACGAAATATTAACATGTACTTGTTACCTGCACAAAGTGGTACAAAAAATTGTTACCAACCTAACTCTTGCATAATGTTGCATTGATTGAGGAATTGAAATTCTATATTTACCTTATGCGGTAATCCAAAACTTAGCAACGCAGACTTGATTTCGCAGACGCCAAAAATATATTTTTATTTGGAACGCGTTTAACATACTTGCAAGTAATATAATATAATTAATTATCTAATTAAGGCTAACTTTCGCTTATGATCAAAGAGATATTTTTATATTGCCGATGTACAGTATTGTATGATATCTCTGATTTTGGCTACTAGATAAAAATATATTTGTAGGAATACCTTAGTAACATCTAATCTATATCTATACTAATATTATAAATGCGAAACAGACAGAGTTCCGTCTGTCTGTCAGGCGTTAACTCCGTAACTACTGAAATGATTTAAATGAAATTTGGTACACATATATTTTAGAGCTGGACCTATACTTTTTAATACCAAAAAAGAATTGATAGGGGTTGAAAAAGAGGGTGAAAATTTGTATGGAAATTCGTGGCTTTTGAAGCTAGAACAAAAAAAAACTTTCTTCTTTGGCTTTTTGGGAATAGGAGTGAGAGTGAGAGAGGGAGTGAGAGAAGGAGTTAGAATAAGAGTGATGTGAGGTGAGTGTTGCGGCAAAGTAGCACTTACAACATAAATTGGCTACCTTAAATGCGCCTTTACATAAATTAATAAACAGCCTAAATAATTAAAAATTCTCCCCCCAAGTCACTATTCCACGCGGACGAAGTCGCGGGCATAGCTAGTCAATAAAAGAATATTTGGCGATTGTTTGAATCTAGTGGAAACGCAAAAATAGTTTTGGTTTAGCTTCCTTTGAGTGGTATTAAGTAAAGAATATAATTAACTTTCGGGTAATAACATGGAACATATATTCTAAATTTAAAACTATTTAGTTTAACCAATTTTAGACACGGATTAGAGATAACATCTACGGGTTCCGGTTCAGCAATTAAACGAAAGATTTTTATTAAAGTTCCATCATGTGTAACAACATAATTTCACATTCACTACTACTATTTTCCACTTTTTTATGTAGTACGTTTTAAAGTTTATTCTACCCATATTGAAGGGCAGAATAAGATGACTTAATACGCTACACGCTATGTTGTACCAGAAATAAATTAAATAAAACGTTGTTTACGACAAAATTAAGTTTTGTTGTTTTAAAACTGTCGATGTAATATTTAATTTCAGATAATTTTATTGCATTATTTCCTTTCATATTAATGCATTTAATATTGCATTGTAAGTGCATTAAAATTAAACAAATAAAAAGAATGCAACGCGAAACCTGATTTCCCAGAGATATGCGCAACAAAACAATGATGACAGATAAATTAACATTTTCGTAATTGTGTTCGTTTTATCTGTACATTCGGATCTAATGCGTATTTACCGCTAATGGCTCTTGGATGCTGTAAATAACAATTGCGAACACAAGAAGTTTTATATATCCAAATATATATTGATATTTTTGTAATAGGTAATCTGTGAAATTGTCTGTATCTACTTTCTTGTACCTTCTGTCACTCATACGACATATTAGGTAGTGTGACGCATCTATTTCTTTCCTGTTAATTAAATGAATAAATAAAATATTGCAGATTAATTAAGGAGACGCTATGAAGTTCTTTTAACCCTCAAACAGAGGAATTCATTCCTGATTTATTATCTGAAAACATAAATTCGAATAAATCCCGGAAAGGCTCCGGATTGGACCAGATTTCTAATTAACAGACAAATATAGACTAGTAACAGTACTTATAGAAATATATATAATGACATTCTTATAACTTAAAGTATACCTAAATAGTGGACAAAATCTAAAAATCATTCTATATATAAAAAGGCGACAAAACAAAAACAAAACCTATTAAATTAGTTTTAGTAAATTTATTTTGAAGTTACTAGAGCAGAATAAAAGGATTTGTTATTATTTTATGAAGGTTTACTCAATAAAAGTTATTGAATAATAAAACACGTTTTTGAAAAGATGTACAGTACCTTTTTATATATTGCGATAGTCTTAGAAGATAAGAATCTACTCTTAAAGTTACTTATAAATAATTATATTGCATAGTTTATGCATAAATTACTAAGTTAAAATAATATTAATTAATAACTTTAATCAAGTTGTTGCATGTAAATGTCAGTTGTTAAGTTTATTAGTTTTACCTAATTACAAGAATATTATTTAAATAAAACACTTTACGACGTCGGATGCTTTGCAGCAGCCGTGGTCACGGGTCTCCCTGTGACCACGGCTGCTGCAAAGCATTCGAAACGTCGGGCCGAAGTTAAAAATCATTTTCAAATAAGTTTAACTAATATATCGCGTTTTAAACCGTTAAAGTGTTTTATTTAAATGTGTACTACTCGCGTAAACTATAGACAGTAAAGAATATTATTTCCTCACTGTTTAAACACCACGAGATGTCTTCCAACAGTTAAAAATATTTCTTTATACATACATATATTAATAGGAAAAATAGACTTAGCCAAAGATTATCTACTCTAGTCTAGATTTAAATAAAGTTCTGTCTGCCTAAACGATATTTAAAGAAAAGTAAAAGCGAATGCAAAATGATTAAACCCATTTGCCTATTAGTTTGTATCTATTGTTATTGAGACGCGATCAGTGTGCCAATGTGTACCGATTGTGCACGTAACAGAAAAGCAGAGCACACACACGACCACATCTAAGTGAAACGCGTATAAAAGCGATGCAAATAGTAATTGCCAGCATTATCCACCACCCTCCAGCGGCGACCACACTTCCAATATGATGTACCATGTGCGTAGTGTTCCGTGCTTGTTCTATCTCAAAACATTTGTGTTCAACACCTATTAAATGGTCATACATAAAACATGAGTTCGGTGAAGCGGATTTTCTTCCTGGGCCACTTAACAGTTATGGCTTGGAGCAGGAAGCCTTTCTCGTTACTTAAGACACTGTCAGAGTTCCTCACGCTATCGATTTTAAACTCGTTTTATTGATCAGCCGATTTAACTTCCGTCAACACTGGGAAGAATAAGTGTTAGTTTTTTAATAAAACTGTCCATCTATTTACAGATCTTCCTGGGATTATTTGCGGTAGCGGCCGCCTACCCTGGACTCGTCCACGAGGAGATACCACAGCTGGATCATCAATCACTGATCGGCGAAACAGGACACCATCATCAGATCCAACACGAGCACGCGAAATCACACCAATCCATCAAATTTGAACACTTCCACCCGGTCCCCGTTTACGTAAAGAAGGAGCACAGCCATTTACTCCACCACCCTCTTGAAAAAGGACAAAGCGAGTCAAACTTGAAGCAGATTCACCCAGAGACTCAGCAAATCCACGGCCACGGTCTAGTTCTTGAAGACCACAGGTTAAACACAGACCATCTTGCTGGTTTCGCCCATGGAGGTATAGAACACGGTGATTTCTCAGCGGGCTTAGACCATGGAAGTCTGGAGCACGCTGGTTACCAAGGCGTGCAGCACGGCTACGAAGGTGGTTATGAGCAGTTCGCTGGCGGATATGAGAGCAACGAGGGTCTCAAAGCATATGCCGAACACCAGCCTGAACTCCAGGGTAATTATGGTCATGCACAGGTGTCAGGCGGCAGTGAAGAAGGACACGGATACGGTCACTATTAAATAACGTAAAATTAATCTGGGCAGACGCAGCGACTGTAAATTGCGTAACTGTGTTATCTTGCCTGTTGGTATTACTAAGTTAAGTTCAAGCTTTGGCGTCCGCCGTACCTGACGTAGATTTATAGTCTATAAAATTGATCAGAGTGTACATAACTCTATATTTGGACGTGTATGTATGTGGTCCCTTTCACTTGTATCTGAATGTGGTGTGAATCGCTTAAGTATTATTGACGACGATGATGGGTTGAAGCCCAGTGAATTTGTGATATATTATTAAAATTGTTGAGTATTTTGTATTACTTCGTTTATATATTCGCTACCTTAACAGATAACATACTATGGTGAAGCGTTGTTCCTCCCTTCGGAGGATGGGGTATGACATTTCTGAGCCCAATTCACTTTATAATTTTCTCAACCGACTAAGTATAAGGTATTTTTACAGCAGTCGCGGTCACGGGGGGACAACCCCCATAACACTCGCGTAAACAGACAGTGCTTAATACTTGACTAAAGTAGTTGATCACAACTCTGTACTGTGCCCGATCGAAACCGTTTATTATTTTCCCGAGATTCGAACCCAGAAGCGTATTTACTGAGCTACGGCGGCGGTCAGCAACAGAGAACTGAATCAATTAATTTACTACCTTAACGCCTTATTAATTAGACAGCGTTTCGATCAATTTACATAATTGAACAGCATGTGTTCATTATGATATTATGCAGCCGTGGAGCGTAATACAAACTATTGCGTTAACGGCTCGCCGGTCTTTACAATTTGAATTACATAATATAGGAATTGTTGCAATATGATCTAAAACTTTAGCTTAAATCATTTCACAACGTTCAAACAAGCGGTCAAGTTACGACCTGTTCTACTGATGACGGAGTGTCTTATACGATGGCGAGTTTTTAAAGCTAAGACCCACCATACTGCTCCATTGCAGGTTGATGGGATTTAACGAAAATAACAATAGAAAAACATAATGTTTTTCGGGCTGTTCGACCGACGTGTGCGACGTTTTCGACCTTTCGCTAGCAACACAACAATGATATGCTGAACGATGGCCGTAAAAGCGCTTATATAGAAGAGCAATTTAAGAAGGATGCGTACTAATTTTTGTAACAATCGTATGTCATAATAACTTTATTTTTTTTTCATAATATAATCTAAGGTACTCTAATTGTAAGCCAAGCAATCTAAAGTACGTTTACATCACTTTATTTTTCACAGTGTTTTCGAACATCTACTTATGAGTATTTTTTTGAGGACGAATCTCCAAAAGACTCTAAAAGCCAACTGAATTTTTAATAACTTCTTAACTCTTGTATTGATCTTACATTAATATTGTAATTCCATAAACTTCTTATAATATAGATAACTAACTATTTTATTTATTCTTCTTTTATGGGACATATCCTATTATACTCTGTGACTAATGCATTTGTCAATCTTATTTTTTTTTCGATCATCGTTATAACTTATTGTTAACTGCGCTATAACCCGCGACTAGTTCGTAACACATTTGTGAAGTTGCCTAAGACGTGGTTGTGATTTTCTCAGTGATTTCGCGATTATGCCTAGACGTAGCCTGGTAAATAATTTCACCGATAGCAATTGTCTACATGATCTAATTGAAATGCTATTAAATGAGTCACGATGCGTACTGCGTGGGAGATTAGCTTACACAACGGTACAATACTCGTACATACAATAATCGCTTTAGCTTCAACTCGCTTTATTGTCCAGTATAACACGGTGTTCTATTAAAAAAATATCTAGGAGCGATACATATTGGCAAGATTATTAGTTAGATACATTACAAAATGGCCCAAAGGTCGTTTTGTAAATACAGTAGTTTCCTGAGTTTTCTATAATTAAAAAACAAATAGAATTTTTACCAATTGTAAGGGCCTATAGTTTTAATTAGAGTATAATGTCTAGTATAAAAAATTCTTGTCATAAAAAGTACAAACGCATCTCGGCCACATTTTAACAAATGATTGTTTTTATTAGTGTCTAATAAATAACAACATATGAAACGTATGTAGTCAACGCGAGTAGTATCTACACATTTCAATAAAACACTTTAACAGCTTAAACGCGATAAGTCGGGCCGGAGTTGAATTAATTTGTAAATAAGTTCAAATTATATATTTCACGTTTCAAACCGATAACGTTTTATTTAAATTACACATCAATGCAATTTATTGGAATATATCTGGAGACAATACAAGACTACTTTCCCATCGAGTCAACGTAGTTCTATAACGGATTACCTGTTTCCCACTATGAGACCTAAGAAAACCAAATTTCTGTGTCTGATTTCATTGACAGAAGAATAGTTAATTCAGACCACTTTGCATGAGACGAGTGAAACAATTTCTCGGGAAATCGAACCCCGGACCTCTCCTGTTTCCCTCGATGCTATGTAATGTGTTTTAATCCCCGAGCTACGGTTCGTCACGGTAGTGAATATAAGAAAATTAAAAAAAAATGCAAAATTAGCATAGTAATTTGCGGATTACTCAATAAGTAACGGGTATTAACAAAATAATTCGTAAAGACAGTCTCTGCTTCCTTGTTTCGAACGATTTCGTATTCAGCGAGTCATAGTGAAGCTATTTTGCTTTCTAAACGATAGTCGATGATAGACAAAATTCTATACCTACAGTCTACAGTGGCCGGCAAATAAGTACACAGCTATAGTCCACCCATAACATTATCGTACAAGATTTATTTCTTAATTACGATCAAAGAAAAAAAACATGAACGAAGTGCATATTTCGTTCAATAAATGATGATTACTGATGACTGGTTATTTTATAATGTAGTAGATTCTTTAACATGTACTTTGAACAGAATTCAAATTTATAAGAGATATTTATTATTTACTACATTATATCAATTATCAAAAAATGTATTACATTGTGCGACGTAGATTTTTTTTAGTTTACTGTTTCAAATGTAATTAGAATTAAGTAGATACACAAAAACCTTACTATAACTTGTTCCATCATTAATAATTAAAAAGGACGAGGAAAGTTCTCTTACTCAGTCTGCAAAGTTTCTGTTTCTAAATAAATAATGAAAATAATAAAAAGGTCCAATTTAATTAATACTACTTTATTTCAAGTCTTTTAATACTTATAACTACTCTTTTTATCTCACCTAAATAATAAATATAATTTAATTTCTCCTAGCATACAAATTTGGATTAAACGCTTCTGTATGAACATTTCCACCAGGAGAAGGAGTATATCCCTTTGTTTGTTCTAGTAGCGCAGATAGTAAGATGTTTTTCAAAGTGTCTGCTGGTACAGGATGAAGGCGAGGTACTTTTACTGCATAAACGTCATGGATCGGAGGTATAACATTAAATGGTATAGCAACTGGCTCATGCTTTGATATTACTACAGGCGATATATTAGCAAAATCAGCTGCATCAGCTATTGCTTTATGCTTTTCATTCGCTTCACGCAAATAATTTATTAATTCATGATTACGAGCATCAAAGTGAGAGAGTACAGGTGGTCTATTCCCATTTTTGGTAATAAACTGTTGCCAAAACTCATTTATCTGTTCCTCAGTTTGTGTTTCTGGCTTCTTTTCAATGACAGGTATGAAAGGTCGCCATTCTTCTGTGCTCACTTGATTTTTATTCTCTCCAATTAGATGGTTTTGGAAATTGACTTTCGGCGATATAAGCCTTTGCTTTAGCAGTAGATTTTCAATTGTTTCTGTATCATGAGCTTGCAAACGTGGATCTGGAATGAGTGGAGCCTTCAGAATATTTAAGTTTTCAAGATGGCGGTGATAAGAATCTTGTGGTGTTGAAGCAGATTTGTGATGTTTAACAGGGTTGATTGTTATATCGTCAGGTGATGTTGATCTCAGTTCTGCATTTCCAGATTCTAAATCCTTAATTTGAGATGGCGTTAAGTATACTATAACGTCTTTTGTGACAAATCTCTTATGTGGTTTGGGAGATTGTATTTGGGATGAATTTTTCAGTGACGTAAATACTTGAGGCCCAGAATCCAATTCCTTTCCTTGTACTATGAATAGAATTATAACACTAAACGTCAAGGTCTGGAAAATAATATGAAAATAAATAAAATTCATCAATGTTTCATTAATTAATTTTAAATTATGATTTGTGAAGCTCTTACTTGAAATAACATTTTGTTACGTGTAGATCTTCCCAACGAACTATCGTAGTCTGATCAAATATTAATGAAAACCACCTTTTATATACATTTATGCATGAGTTATTAGAAATAGTGATTTATAATTAAAGATTATTCTGTTATATCATAATTTACATAGATCACGGTGTGACCGAGTTAAATTCATAATATGTTTGATTCGTTTGGTGTCTTCTTATTATGTAAGAATTGTTGCAATAGCTGGTTTAAAAATTACTAATTGGATTTATGAATAATCTTCGATTTAAACTTAAAACTTTTCGGTCAGTCGGTCAGTTTTTGCCTTTCCGATCGAAACTGTAGGTTGATAGATATTACATTGCAACCAATCTTGCTATTCTTTATATCTTCAACGAGAAACATTTTACTTTAAACTTTAAAAAAAATTACTGCTCAAGCAAAATATTAAAGGAACTTTGTATGAATGGTACAAGGCATGTACGAGGTTGAATCCTTGGGAAACGGAATAGTTTGGATTGAGGCACAGACGTACTTGCCTATAAATACAATCAGTCATACGAGCACTCTATGTGCACCATGTCAAATTTAGAATTAACTTGTCACATTCCCCAAAAGAATACTCATAATTAAAAACGCCTGACGATTATTTTATGCAAAAAATCTTTTTAGCAAAAGCTTTTTGGAGTTAGCATAAGGCGAAAAAAATACGCTAAGTATCTGAAAATCTTTTGTTTATTAACTTTACGAAAGCTAACACAAAATACCATAACTAAACTAATATATAAAGGATTTGTTTGTTTGCTTTTTGAACGCGCTAATCTCAGGAACTCCGGGTTCGAATTAAAAAATGCTTTACATGACGCTTTAAAAAATTTAAATATTGTTTAACATTTATTTCTCCAAACAAGCAGACAATGGATATCACACATAGCAAATTGAATTATATGCTTTCATAAAAAAACTTATATATTCTATAACTATTACATCGTGTTAGAGTGTGTTACTGTTATATTAAACTACTTTTCACTAACTGAAACCGAATCACGATTTAACTACACTTTTCTAATTGTCTTTCGTGAAACCACCAAATCAAAAAAATTTTTAATCGACTAGAAACATGTTGTGGACCCAGTAGGGATTGGAACCACCAGCCGTTTATTAACAATTCAATGCTACCATTACACCAAGGAAGAGTATAGTATAGTATTCACTTCATTAACACCACTTACACAACTTAAGAAGCATGCATTTCTTGGCATACATTTTATTAGAGCTAAAATGTTGGTTATACAAACTTAATTTTTATTTTATACATATTTTAATTTGTTGTTTTTTTTTATTATTAAAATTATTTTGGCTTATTATTTTCAAAATAATTAGAGGAGAGCTAGATTTTTTTTTGTATTAAATCAACATAATTTTTAAAGTGAAAAGTAAAAATCAATAACGAAACGAAAAACGAATAATATTTATCAAACTTTCAAATAGTGTTTTTGTGGTATGTACAGTATTATTAGTTTGTTTGATAAGTTAGATAAATACTGTCTGTAGTTTACGCGACCAGTATCTACACATTTTAATAAAAGACTTGAACGGTTTAAATTGCTGTATATTAGAAAATTCAAAAGAATTTTCATATAAGTTTAACTTTTAGAAAAGCTACGGCCCGACGTTTTGGGTGCTTCTAAACTGTAAAAGTGTTTTATTTAAAAGTCAGAAAAAAATCAGATGAACTTAATATGTATATTATTTAGGTAAGTACTTTGCTGAACACAACCAGTGTTTAAAAATATATTAAGTTACAATAAAACACTTTTGATGGTTTAAAACGGCAAATGTATAAGTTAAGTTGTTTACACTTTATTTTAACTACGACCCAACGTTTCGTAAGCAGCCAGCACTAAGTACAGACTTTGCTTAAATATTAAGTTGTAACATAGGATTTTATATAATATGTGATTTTAATATTCCTAACAAATATTCTGTTTAAAACCAAGGTATATTAAAAATATAAAAAAAAGTTAACAGGTAATAACGTTTTATTATTTAACATTATAAAATAATATTTACATCTAATGACTATGATATTTACAAATATCGACTATTTGGCACTCAACGACTCAATTCTACCAGCAGCAGCTCTTCTTTTTGTAGTGGGTTACGTGTTTGATGATGTGAAGGGGGTAAGGCTTCCATGACACGACGGGGACTTCGACGTGCTTTTCAATTGGGACGTGTACCTTCTTGATAACCTCGTAAGGCCTTTCTACTGGTACGTGGACTTTTCTGATTACTTCAACAGGTACTTGTTTGACAACCTCCACTGGAACCGGTCTCTCAACCTCGACGTGTTTGGTCTTGTATACTGGGTAAGGTACGTGCTTAACAACATCCACTTTGACCGGGTAAGGCTGCGGTACGGGAACTTTGACCTCTTGACGGACTGGAACCGGTACGGCTTGTGGCACAGCGACCTGAATATGCCTTGTTACTTCCACTGGAACGCGGCGAACGACGTTCTGGACTACGGACTGGAGTTCGTATCTAGTTGCAGCCGCGACTGGACGCCCGACGGTTACAGTTGTTCCAATGATCTTGGGAGGTCCGACAGCAACGTTTGTAGATACAACGGGAGTACCGGGAATAATAGTATTGGACTGAATGACACCAGGAGCAGAGAGATCGGCGGGTGCTCCGAATGCAGGTGCGCCTAATGCTGGAGCATCGAGCCCAGAACTTCCAAAAGCTGGTGCTCCTAAGCCAGGTCCTCCAAAAGCTGGTGCTCCTAAGCTAGAACCGCCGAATGCTGGAGCTCCTAAGCCAGAGCCAAATCCTGAACCAACATCAGAACCTAGACCGGGTCCCGAAATTCCCGATCCCGCAATGGGTTGAAATCCAGATGACGAGTAGTCGCCTCCGAATGAGCCACCAATTCCTCCGCTTAGGTCAGCGCCGTGTGACCCATCCAGAGAACCGTGTCCATCCAGAGAATGTCCGTGTCCATCTAGAGAATGTCCGTGTCCAGATAGGTCTCCGTGTTCTAGGCCGCCATCAATAGCACTACCAGGTCCGCTTAGGTCTGAAGGTCCTCCAAGGGGAGTGCCATAAGATGTTGAAGGTGGGCCATAATTAGCAGATGGTGCGTGTAAAGCGGAGGACACATAAGAATCTGAGCCGTGGTCGTGCGTCAGCCCAGCGCTTGTACTATAGACAAGCGTAGCGAGAAGAACTATCTTAACCTGTAACAATTATAAATAAGAGTAAATATTCTTCCTTTTATTGGTCCTTTATAGTTTATTCGTCTGTGGCAAGTGTACATGTACTTACAACAAATGCCATGGCTGTTAGCTAATCGCCTGGAGCCACCTAAAAATAAGGCTTGTTGTTTGCTGTTCCGAGTGCGGGTGGGTTGTGACTCAATAAAGCAAAGGAACCACATATTTATACGAGTGATAGAGGCGGCTCTTTCGATACGACGTTGAATAAATTAATGAATGGATGACATCGGAACTTCGGCGAGCGTCTCTAGACTTTACATATCTTTTTAATTAAAATAAAATGTGTCAATCAGCGTATTACATTACCTTCAAAAATAACCACTGTAATAACATCTAGTATGATAAGTAACATGTCTGCGAAATAAATGTATCTCAGACATTTATCCGTTGAACGGTTTAAAACACGTAAATATATTAGTTAATTGCCTGCTGCTAAAATAAATATTTGTTAGTACATTTTTTTTTGTTAGATCTTTATTGTTTGTTTGAATTTTTTATTTTTGTTAGATCTTTTAAAAATATTTTTATTATATCTTAAGTAAATAATAACATTCTTTTATTTATTAATATACTGGAGCGTTTCTAATATTCACAATGTACATAAATACGTATTGACATTGAATTTATAAACACTGCGGGCATAAACTTAAAATAAAGTAATAAAACTTTCGTTTCTTAACGAGTTCAACGTGCACTATAAAAAAGCATAAATTTAGGAACAAAAGTTTATTTTTTTAATGTTATCTTACATTAAAGCTTCACATAAATTAATAAACAATTTAAAACAGTACACCTTAGTCTTTAGTTTATTTCATACGCTGTCGAATCTAAAATAAATTGAAAACTAATATTATTCACATAATATGACATATGATAGCATTATATAAGTTGGTTAGAGTAACAGCACGAAACTCTGTGAATGCCGGTTCAAGACCCCGAAGTCTACATTTTCAATCCAAAGTAGATTTTTAGTAAATCAAAGAAGTTTTTCATCAAGTATCGCTTATAATATGGAATCTACTCAGTTAAACCGTTTTTAAAAAATAAATAACAAGTTAGTAATCGGTTTATTAACTCTATTTTATCAATTCTATTACTTTTTTCTAGATAATAATGCGTTTTTCAAAGGCGCTATTCTAATACAACAATTCCTTAATATGAAAATAACGTTAGGAAGAGAAATCTTTTCAATAGTATTAAAACGAACTTTATGCTTACTGAAAGATATACACTAAACAATTAGGAACTTATCTTATGTAATTCAGACCGCCTCTGTAGCCAAACGGTTAAACGTGCTGCCTAGCATTGCGTTAAACGCGAGAGGTCCTGGGGTCGAATCTTAGGGAAACAAACAATTGTTTCGGTCAGGCAGGGCACAGAAGTCTGATCCACTACTTGCCTGTTGAAGAACGAATTAGTGAAACGGACACAGAAATGTGTTCGCCCCATGCCACACGAGGGGGAAACGGTCTTTCACTTTACCATATATAATTAAGCATACTTCATCTTAAATAAAGTCTGTAGTTTACATGAAGAGTACACATTTAAATAAAACAGTTTAACGGTTTAAAACGCGATATATATCTAACCCGTGATCACGGCTGCTGTAAAGCCTCCGAAACGTCGTAGTTAAAATAATTTTCAAATAAGTGTATTAAAATATATCGCGTTTAAACCGTTAAAGTATTAATTTTAAAAACTTATCTTTATACTTTAGACGAGAAGACGTCATGAAATATCTTTGTTGTATACTATAGTAGTCATACGACGTTACATAATGTGATCCACTAGCCTAAAAAGCAAATATTTCGGACACCGGATGTTTGCTTTTACCTTAAAACGAGGTGCGTAAGCTTCGGAATGGACTTGTTTTTCCTGTTTTATATAAAATTACACTTACTTTACCCAAATTTTTATTACACAATGCGCGCTGATACATCTAGATTTGAGAAGACGTGTTTTCTACAATGACGACGAATAAGAATGAAACGAATTAATACACGAAGTTTTGCTATTATTCATATTATACTATAAAGTAGGATATTTCGTAGACAATTGTGGTATCGACAATTTAATTGTGGAAATGTTGACTCTCAGTATTCCATGCACAACATTCTGTACTTTTTCTAAATATGTATTAAATAAGGGGTAATAAACATTTAAAAGAAACATACATATGAAAAATACGCAATTATATTTATTTATTTTGTGTCTTCTTTTACATGTAATATTGAATTTATTGAATAAAATTCACTTATTAATAAATCAGATGTATGTAGGGCGAACACTAAGCTTTTGTTGTATGTAGAAGTTGCCCAACGATTTTCAGACTCAAATGTAAAGCCCCACGCTTGACATTTGAGATAAGTTAGTAGAACACGTACATACAAACATGCACACATTTATGCAGATTAATAGTAAAGACAAATACATAATATGAATAAAATTCGAAAAGAAAACAACAACAATAATACACAAATATTTATAGGTTAACGCGACGAAGGCTTCTTCTGAAATTACCCTGCTAGAGTTGTTTTTACTAATAAAAGAGGTTTTATATGTATAGGAACTTTCGCAAAAAAACTAGTTAAAAAAAAACCACTAAAACATCATTGCAATAACCATAAATTGTCCTCACGTGTCACATTCAGCAATAACCCATAACATTTACATAGAAAATGCATATTAGTTACAATTCTGATTTGTGTTTCACCTTCTGTTACGTAAAAATTGTGTCATTTGACCCTTCATTGGATAACTTAAACCTGTTTAAAACTGTTTTTAATTTCACTCGGCCGCTGGGAATGTTCCGATGAATAATAAAAAATCGTTTGACCGATATATTAGTGGCGTTTCCGGTTTCGTACTGGGTCGGCTTATGTAATTTTTGGTGCAAAATTATTATAGCGTAGGCCGATTATATTTATAGTATCTTTAATCTGATTAATCACTCTTGTAGAGCTTTTAAGCGCTTTCGAAATGTTAATAAAACTAGCATAGAGACATTGCCACGATGACGCAAAATACAAAGTTTTGAGAAGATGGTGTTTTATCTATTTATTGACTCTTTAATGTCTAGATAGTTCAATATGTGTTAAATAGGACAGCAGCCCATTTTATTTATATGACATATTATGGCTTTTCTATGGTGAATTTCACCTTCCGGTAAGTATAGGCTTTGTCTTTTAACCTAAAATAAACGTATTGAACTATATCTTTAGGTAATAAAATTTCATACTAAGTATATTAATTTTACAATTGTAACCATAGAGCTGGACTCTCTAAATGGCCAACTATGATCAACCAACAACGACGATGATAAGTTCAAAAACATATCCATCGAATTTAATGAATTTAACAAGTTTATGTTAGGTAAAAAATAGTAGAAACGTTGTAAAGCACATATGTTGGATATACAAATGACTTCAGTTAGACACATATTAAGAGATGTACAATTACTCTCTTTGAATACACTTACTAAGCGATGTAACTTATAAAAAAATTTTAATGCAACTATAGAACTAGTAGTAATTAGAGTTGGTTTTAAAACTAAGTAAAGCTCTAACCTTATTTATTGCTTAATGATCTTAGGTATTTAACTATATAGTTTCGACAAGAGGACAGGCAAGCATGGCGTTACTTGATGATACGTGAAATACTCCAAACATATAACATCTTAACAAGATGCAGTTCTATTTTTGCTTTGGATATTCGTAAATGTACTGGCTGAAAGCGAAAGCTGAAAGGATCCAACCCAGGATTCGTTGATTACTTGCCATATATACTATTACATAAAAGAAGCCGTCATAAAAGTCTTTAGTAAAGTTCAACTTTAAAATAAAGGTATGTATTATACAAAGGGACCTATGGCAAATATAAACAGAAACAAAATATTCTTTGGATTTCGTTTATTTTATGTAATCTTAGTGCTTACTATATACAGAACAAGAATTGAACATTCCTTAATCTAAATCATGACTTAGTTATCACCCCACATTGCAGCCTCTCGATGAGCTAACGCTAAAACTATTTACAGAAGAGAAGACTAGCGAGTAACGGATTTCTTCACCATTGGGACCAGCCGTGGCCGTGGTCGTGGCCGAAACTGTGACCGTGGAAGCTGTGACCGTGACTGTGGCCGTGGTAACTGTGGCCGTGTCCGTGGCTCTCGTGGACTTTGTGGTGGACGGTCTTGACAACGGGCACTGCGTAAGACTTAACCACATGAACGGGAACCTTGACTAGTTTCACAACTGGAACCTCGACAACCTTCTCAACTGGGACTGGATGGTCTACTGGAACCTCTACTACCTTCTCAACTGGTATCTTAACTATCTTCTCCACTGGGTATGGCACAGGTTTGTCGATTTTCACGTGCTGAATCTTAACGACCGGGACTGGTACGTTCCTAACGACGGGAACTTGAACGGGGTAGGGCTGAGGCACTGGAATCTGCACGGTCTGGGGAACTGGAACTGGAACAGGCTGTGGGACCCTGTGGTGAACGTCCCTAAATACTTGGTAGGTTTCTTCGCGTACACGGTATTGAGTTGGAGCGCCGTTGTTGTTAGCTAAGCCATGAATTTCGTCAATCACTGGAGCTTTCGGGCCAAGAGGCGCAGGTTGGCCGCTCAGGCCAGCTCCAGGTAATGCAGCGCCGGAAACTATCGGGGGTACAATGGCTGGTCCTGATATCGAGGCTCCAGGATATCCGGATGCTCCTAAACCTAATCCAGGAGCTGACAAGCCTGAGCCGAAACCGGAGCCGGATAGGCTAGATCCAAAGCCAGATCCAATATTTGCGTCAGTGAGTCCACCAGCACCAAAACCGGAGTTGTATCCCGAAAAGCTTCCACTGTTGAACCCACCGCTCGAGTAAGTCGCAGATGGTAAAGATCCAGCTGGAAAAGAGCTTGGAGCGAAACTGTCAGCTAAACCACTTGGTGCTGATAAGTGTGGGAGTGGTGCAGGTGGTAGCCCGTGGTCATAGGAATTGTCGTGGAAGTCATGGTGACCATGTCCGTGATCGTGGAATTCATGGTGACCATGCCCGTGATCGTGGAGGTCATGAGAGTGGTCATGGGAATGATCGTGACCATGAAGAATTCCAGCATAGGCAGTACTTAGTAGGATGGCTAACGTAGTCAATTTAGTCTGCGAACAAATTTAAATTTGAGTTTATCAAATTGTTTTACTTTAACTATAAACCACGTTTAAAGTAAGAATATTTAATTTTAAAATTGTGTTCTCTTCTCAAATACTTACAATAGTAGCCATATTGATTAGCTAAACGCTGGCTACGAAAACTCGAGTTGTTCTTTCAACAACTAGCGAAGCTCGTTTGTAAAGTTTTCGGTGTGTCTCAAACTTATATATCGGTGTCTTTGAGACCAACCACTTCGACGAAAGTGACCGAAGAGGTTCTTTTTCCTTTTCATTCAACATTAAATTATGTATCTGAATTAATTCCATGTTACCTAATAGCTACCTTACCGGTCATCGCTATCAATATTAAACATCATTCAATTTCTATAAATTTTTGTCGTTTTAACAAATTTGTTAATTTTATTATTAAAGCATTAATATTACAAAATAAACTATAAAAGTGGAATCCCCTTGTGGGGCACGGGGCGAACACAAGTTGAGCATACTGTGTCCTGCACGCCCGAAATAATCCTTCTTTTCTCAGGATTCAAATCCTAGACTCATGCTTAACGAAATGCTAGACAACACGTTTAACTACGCGTAACTATTTACATATTATATACTATAGCAGAAGAAAAAATATTGAAGATATGTAGCAGAATACATTGTAACTTATAAACATTTATATTTTTTTTTTATGCCTTTTTCTAAAATGGATGTAACAAAAGACCTTACATATTCATTACTTTCAATAGTTATAGATAAAACGTATTTTTTATTACATTAAACACAAAATTACGCTATTACTTAGTGTACAGATACACGACATAGTTACATAGTTATGTATAATTATCTAAAACATATTTCTTGTTTACATTCTTTCTCCCTTTTCCTTCGATCTGTTTTCTCTAAAAGTAGTTCAGACGTTTAAAAAATAAACCAACTAGCAGATGGCTTACGACTTGTATAGCTACGAATAACCATTAGGGCAGTACTTATTAACTTTATAAGCTTTCAAATTAATAGCTTCAAAGTTGACTAAATTCAAAATCAAACGTGAAAAATCATTTAATCATCTAATTACTCTTCTGAACGTTAATACTTTACTGTATAACTATTGTAAACAATTGTTTAGGCGAGTAGGTAGTAGACATTTAAATAAGACACTTTTAACGGTTTGAAACGCGAAATATATTAGTTATTAGGAATGGAGCGTAAAATAGCATAAGCAAATAAAAAATATCATACAGGTTAAATATAAATTGGGGTAACTAAAGAATTTGCAGGGATGAAATTATACCAAAAAATTTTTAAACTACGGCCCGACGTTTGGATGCTTTGCAGCACCGTGGTAGTGGGAGACTGTCACCGCGTGACCTCGTAGATAAAAATAAATTTCAAAGAGGTTTAACCAAAACATATAGCGTATTAAACCGTAATAGTGTTTTATTTAAATGTGTACTACTCGCGTAAACTACAGATACAGAGCAACCTTTAATACAGTTAAAAACAAAAGACTAATTTATAACCATAACACAGTTGTACATATCATATTCAGTACCGGTTCACTTTATTTTAACACCGAAATCAGGTAAGCATGTTCATGAATCATTTTTGCATACCTAGGTAGGTAGCAAGCTTTCTAATTTTATACAAAAGAATACGTCCAGTATTACGTAAAAAGGGTGGAAACAAAATAATTTAACTAAAATACAACAAGCCGACTAAGCTTAATTCTGACGCACCTCTTTAATGATAATCAAATTTGGTCGAAATTAATGCTATATTGGCAATTCTTTGTTATAAATGTATCAACGTAGTAATATTACTCTTGCATATAACAAAACACTGTTTGCCGGATCAGCTTGTAATCGATGCTTATAAATAAAAAAATATATATTTGTCGCATGTTCCCATGTTTGTTTATCTATCACTTATGATCATTTTTGTACAAGTTGTTTGTTTAAATAAAACACTGTAACGCTTTAAAACGCTACAGAGAATCCGACGTCAGGCGGTAGTTAAAATAATTTACAAATAAGATTAACTAATACACAACGCGTTTTAGTTTTTTTTTTTTTTTTTTTTTTTTTATGGGGGGGGGGGGGGGGTTTTTTTTTTTTTTTTTTTTTTTTTTTTTTTTTTATTATAAAAAATTGGGGGGGGGGGGGGGGGGGGGGGGGGGGGGGGGGGGTTTTTTTTTTTTTTTTGGGGTTTAAAAATTTTTTTTTAAAAAAAAAAAAAAAAAAAAAGGGGGGGGGGCCTCCCCCTCCCTGGGGGGGGGGGAAAAAAAAAAGTTGTCCCTTTTCCCGACCTCCCGATTACCCCTATCAAATTTGGTGGAAATCGGTCGAGCCGTTTCGGAGGAGTTCGAGTTCGTACACCGTGACACGAGAATTTTACTTTATTAGGCTACTCGCGTAAACTACATATCTGCAGTGTGTAAGAATGTGTAGGAATTAACGCTGAAAATCATATGACGTTAAGCCACAATTTACTTATTATAAATAATGTAGTGTGCGTAATAATTGAATGAATCGATTTATAAATTATGAAAAAAAACACAGTAGCCTTATTATCATGAGCTTCCTACCGTCCTACCTGTAATATAAATGTTTCAATCTTAAATTAATAAAAAAATGTTAATTGTACGAAACTTAGAAGAAATTTGACCGGCTCGTTGTTAATACGTTCCATCTGGGTAAAGTTCAAACGGTTGGTAGCCTGTGGACTTTCGCATAAGCAAATATAAAATAGGTTGACAGTCTTCTGAATGTTATGAATGCTACGAACCCTATGCTTGTCTGATCTCTATTATTAAAAATCTAATAACCTACGACACAGGCTCGCCCTGTGGAGGATAGAGACACCATCAATATGTTTAGACTTATATATTATAATAAAGAATTTAGAACTTGGATTCCTTATTTAATACAAACGAGTGACGGTTTATATAGAGATACCTCTCACCGTCGTGCATTCTTTACTAGCGCGGCAGACGCTCAAAGTGATCGACTAGCAAAAACTGTCGCGTTGTTCGTTGCGATCGTAAATCGGTATGGGCGCGTGAATCTCTGATTGAATCAGAAAGCGGAACACACGCAACGATTATTATCTTAAACAATATATCAGATATGTAATTTTGTTATTGTTTATAACTATAATTACATTGTGCGTATCTACGTTGCCTAGACATGTTGATCGAGCCAACAATTACTTTTTATATACTGTTTTTATTTATAATCTAGTCTAATTAGTCCTTAAAATAGAAGGTTACATAAATGAATTGTAACCTTAGTCTATGACTGTACTATATTTGACATCGAAGTGACTTGATGACAGAAAGGAAGTTAATTATTAAAAATATCAAAATACCATTTTCTGTTTACATTACCTTTGCGTTAGTTTAATAGTGTATTTAATTATAATTAAATAAGAGTTGGTTTCATGAATTCGTGTCAAACTTTTGTTGATTTTTATTAACTTTTATAGATTCGATTTGAAGGTTTCCGTCTTTAAAACTTTTAAACAATTCATTAATAATCAATTATCTAATACAATACCATAAATAAAAGAAATTATACATTTAACAACATTTTATTAAAAACAAATAAACAATAACTTGTATATTCAAATACTCTAAATGCTTTTATTCTTATCCTACATATATTTACACCTTAATACGTTAATGACTAAATTAATGAATAATTAATATTTTGTATATTTCAAGTAGTTAGCGCTAATATTTACAAATACATAACAAATATGGATTGAGGGGGAACGATTTAACAAACAACGTTAACAAAAGTAAGAGTTATCTTTCAGGGCTTTCCAGAGCCTTTAATAAACGCTTATTATAACAACATATAAGTTTAATACAAGAAGTATTTACGCGGAATCTTCCACTAACTCTTCCTGATCGACAACATCCACTTTATCTTCCATAACGGGAGGTGGCTTAAGCAACGTCGAAACAGCAGGTTTAGAATCGTCAATTTCCGCATTAGCTTCGAACAGTGGTTCTGTCTTGAAGAATCTTGGTTTTGGCTTATTAATACGACGCCTTTTGTTACTTTTGTCTAAATGATGTGGTCCCTTACCGCGAGATCTATATGGTGGTTTTAAAACTGGGTGGGGCTGGTCTGCTAATGTGTTTGGGTATTTCTTTTGATATAAATGGCGACCTAAAAGGTGCCTGTACCTTTCTCGCATTGTTCTGTGATTTGGATTATACATTTTGAGTGGTCGATCTTCATCAATGTGAATAGTGTCGGTGTCGTCTTCTGTAATATCCGTGTTTTCGTGTCCCAAGATCTCATCTACTACGGCACCTATGGGGTGAGAGTTAGATGATTCCGCTATAGGTATATTCTCTGCTTCTTCTTCGCTGCGGGAATGTTTAACGCCTTGGTAGGGATAGCGGCCATTACTGTAAATGTCAAAATACGAACTTGGGAAACTTGCATAGCTACCCAAACCGTTTCCTATGTTTTCGTTCTTCAGCAGTTGTTGTATTTGCGGTAAATCGAGCTTAATCGGTAATGGTTTATTATACTGATTTTGAATTGAACCGAATTGACTTTCATCAATGACTGGTTTTCCTTTAAGCATATCGGCGACTAATTTAAGATCCATGTTGAACGGATTAGCAACTTTGAATCCATGGATGTTTGAGACTACATTACTGTTTTGTATATCAAGCTCTTGTTTGTTAGAATTTTGTTTATTACTGAGCAGTTTATTTAAAATTTCACTCGTCACATCCACGTGATGTTGTTCTAAGTTCTGATTGAGTCTCACGGGAAGAGGATTTGGTATATTAACTTGTTCGTAATTATTTGATGGAATCCTTAATGCCTCAGGGTTTAAATGTTGTGTCAGACGTAATGGCATATCATTTAATTTTAGCAAATGAACGATATCAGACGCAGACGGATTTCTCTGTAACATATTTTGCTGTATATTACCTTGTTGGGAATCTTGGCTAAGGGGACTATGGGCTAAATAATTGTTTGACTGTGGGGAATCATCTGTGTATCGTTTATTGCCTGAGAAACCGAAACTTAGGGTTGTTTCCGTAGATTTTCCTTGTTGCCCTAATAATTCTAATTGTTTTAACCGATCCGCAAGTGATACATATTCTTCTGGTTGTGACTTCACGCTAAAGGCATAAACATTATTTTTGTCCTTGTAATACGTCTCACTTGTAGGACGACTATACTGTTTCAAGTTTTGTTCAACTTGATCTTTGTTATGAGAAACCATACTATATTTCTCATTCCCGTCAAACCCAATACTCGATTTAAGTTGTACATTAGAATTCTGAGCGACATTAGACATATCTAACGGGACAACATTCTTTATCGCTTTATCATGATCGAACTGCGGTTTTGGTTTGCTCTCAATAAAATTTTCTCTTGCGAAGTAAGGAGATGCGGAAGCGTAATCTATCTGGGAATTGCTGGCCAAGTAATTATTTGTGTTCACATTTTCGTACTTGTTCCTGATTTTATCATTTGTGGAATAATAAGGATTGATAGGTTCAGGGTTAGCAAACGCGTTGTTGTTGTACTGACCGATTGAAATACGATTGGCTTCTAACTGCTGTTTGTAATTTTCATGCGCTTTTGTAGCGGCTCTTACAAATTCATCCGCTTCCAATTTTTCCGAGCTGGATTTAGAAATCTGATTATAATTGTATGGTCTACTTGTATCCATGTGAAAGCTGACTTGACTCATCGCTTCATTGTCGGACTTTGCATTATTTGCCTGATACCCGGAATAACCAGCAGTCGTTATTTCAGATCCGAACATAGGCTTTCTGTCAAGTTTCCAGCCATAATCACCGTGCGAATAAGCCGCCGACTGTCCCATTTGTTGATCAGTTTCCCTTGTATGAGTTTTTGCATTATTTACTTGACTATGCGGCTGTATATAATTATAGTAGACATTATTATTATTAGAACTTACGCTATTATATCGTTGTGAATCTTGATTCACGCTATCATAAATCGAATCTTGTTTATAATCTTCTTGACTATTGCTTTGTCGGTAATGTGGGTTAGTTGAGTACTGTGGAGTCAGATCTTGCAGTGGCTTTTGTACAGCGAATCCATTATTATAATTTGCACCATTGTTTTGCCAATTTTCTCTGGAGTCTTCGGAGTAAGGAGACGAAACCGGAGCGGCAGTTGATGAGGGATAGTTTTGATACTGGTTTTGTACATTCACCTGATATCTAATTGCGTTCCCAGAATTACCATAGTGATCAACCTGTATCTTCTTATTGTAAATATTATTGTCGTAGTTCTGGGCGTTGCCAGTATTTCTTCCACTATAATCGACAGTACCGGTTTGAGCGTTTGAATATGGAGATGAGACATAAGATGGTTGTAAATTGGGCGGGTTTGTTATGTACATAGGGGACGAACTCGAAACATAATTATTTGCTGGCGTTCCAATATATTGATTGTTCGCTGTTGATACATATGTCGGCGCGGGTGTGCTTGCTGGTGTGTCAGCATGGTTATAAATATTCGCGTTGTTATACTGATATGTATTGGTATTAGGATTATAATAATTCAATGATTTTGGTTCTTGTGCATTTTGATTTTGTTGATTATCGTAATTTGTAGCTGTCATCGTTGAATACAAATATTGCGGTTGCGGAGTGGCTGTATAAGAGTATACTGAAGCCTGTGTCGATAGCGGTTGCTGATGGTATTGGTTCTCTGCCCTCATTTGTTGAAGAAACTCTTCAGGAGGCAGAGAGTACTGCACGCCCGCATACTGGTTGCTAGCTGAGGTATCGCTGTCTTGAGAACTGTTACTATCCATTTGAGATTCATCTTGTTGGTTTTGGAAGGGGTTTTTTATTCTGTAGACCTTCCTGTTTTTTCCACGTTCTCTGTTGAATTCAAAACTATTAGCGTCATCAGGCATTTGATATCTAGCGCTCAGTGATGAAATTTGGCTGTTCGCATCAGTATGTAGGTTGTACACTGTGTTAGTTTCAATTTGACCTTCGTTGGTAGCCTGTTGCACTCTTAGGATATTTTGATCGTTGAATCCATCTTGACAGCTTGCGTTTATAAATAGCGTAAGCACCAGTATCCACGTCTGAAAAAGACAAACAAAATTAATAATGAATATTGGTTTTTATTCTTTAATAATTTTAAGCAATTGTAATTCGAGATAACATGATAATAATCCCCTCTGTGGTGCGTGGATCAGAACACTGTCCTATGACAGACAACATTTGTTCAGACTTCAATACCATATCCGACCAAAACTTTGTGTCATTGTCGTATGTTTGTATTAATTAAAGAGTACTATAATTAAACTATATTTATAAAGTGTGTGAAAACCTTTTGAGTTTTACTTGTATCAACTCTAATATACACTAAGATATCACCATACTATATCAATTAACCTATCATGAAAGTAAACATACATGTTCAACATAATGTATCTTTATCAAGATAGATTAAAGCTATAATTACGCCTAATCCTTCATCGCGAACTTTCTACACATTTCCTTACATTAAGCTTTCAATTCGCAATGCACCCACGACGAACCATCGAGGTTAGAGGGCAAACGATACTCAGGAAACAGTATGGGTTTGAATAATGGACGCTATTAAGCACGGATGATACATATTAATGTAAAGGAAAGCAAAGCAAAGGTCATATTTGTGTTATATGCAATTTATAAATATCCCCCAGCCGATGTGAAACTTTTTTTTATATAGAAGAAGAAAAACAAACAGGACAAGATTTTCAGAAAAAAAATTCTTCGTGATAAAAACTCGTATGGATCAAGCGTAAAAATATATATATTTTTTTAATATCTTTAATTTCAAGTATAAGAAGGAAATCATCGGATCAGCCTCGTTTTTCTTTTATATTATTGAACATTACTATTTATTTTGAAGGCTACCTGTCTAGATAGGTATACCTAATAAATGTTTGGCTGAAAAGAAGTCTTACTTAATAATTAAATACGATGCATTGATTCGAGTTGATAAATAGTTAATATACTTAGTAGAAAGTGTAGACAATCTATTGAAGGGACATTAGAGACGTTTAAATCGAAGCTAAAGGTCACGCGACAAGATCTTTCGGATCCAGTGTTTTCTCTGCCCTTATGGCTTACGAAAGTTGCACCAGGATTTCAAAGGGAAAGTGTGAAATATCATTTGTTCAAGATTACGTAACAATTAACGTCACTTCGATATTAGGTAGAAAACGGAAAATGGTATTTTTGTTTGAAAACTTTAATATTTTTCACATGTTATTGGCATACGATGGCACAATATAAATTGAAAATCAATTTTTAATAGAAAAAAATAACAACTCTGGCAGGACCTAAACCGGCAGCTTGGTAGAGTAGCAGCACTAAACGCTGAGAATGCCGATTCAAGTCTTGTTCGAGACGTAAATTTTATAAATTTCAAATCGATTTTTAATAGACACTACAGGAAACATTCTATTAATTACTGTTTTATTAATTACTATAAAAAATCATTGGTCAGAACAGACAACTTGAAGTGTAAAAACACTTCAAGTCCTTGGAAGGTAAGATTGACAATCACAGTACATAGGAGATAAAAAAATTAAATTGCAACAGCGTTGTTAGTAACGTTATGATTAGTGGCTAGTGTTTTAGACGTCGCTTGTCGATTGTTAAATTTTTAAGCCTTATAAATTTATGTAATTTATCTCAGTATAGTTATAAAGTAAATTTAGTTTATAGTATATTTTTTGTATGCACCTTTTATATAAATGACTTATATATAAAATTTTACGTTTAATAGATCGTTTAAACAAGGACTTATGGAGTGTTATTCATATAGAATTTTAGTATAAAACCTGTATAAAAATACATCTGGACTTACGTATATTAAAAATCTTGGCCGTGTTTCTTTTTATTTTAAATTTTATGCGCTAGTATTACGTATTTGAATCTTTGCATATGCAAATTGTGCTAACATTTATATCTTCTTTCAATCTATATTATAACAATTACGAGTGTTTTAGCCTTTCACCCGACGTAGACGGCTTGGCGTCGAGCTCAAATTTTGTAGTGCGATGGAAGATATATGGATGGGAAATATTATTTTTTAATTCATTCAACTTCTATAAATATAAGTTAATATGTATACATTTTTACTAATTGTTCCATGAAGTTATATTATCTTAGATAATCACTCTTAAATTAATTGTTCTGGCAGGAAAAAAATTGTAGTCGACAACTGTAGGGTTGATTATTTTGTTTTTACTGTAACTGTTAAGCAAAAACACTCAAGTATTGTAAACAATCTGTAATATTCTACTAAAAGAACATTACCAAAGGAGAATACCTACTTTAAATTAAAATGCTATAAAACTTTTTGTTAATTGAAAAAGTAAGTGTTAAATACTGTCTGTAGTTAACGCGAGGTCAAAACGCGATTTATATTAGTGTAACTTATTTTAACTACGGTCCGACTTAAGTAAATTTTCAAATAAGTTTAATTATTATAAATCGCGTTTTAATCTGTTAAAGTGTTTTATTTAAAAGTAAGTGCTTTTAATTGAATAACATGAACTATAATTGCCACAGACAGGAGTGGAACCTGCAACTGTTTATTACATTGTTGGTTGATCTAAAGACTCAGCATTACCTTTCTCTGTTCACTATATCATGTGATGAGTCAAGGTTACTTTGAATTATTTGCTAATTACTCAAGTCGTTGACCGCACGCAATTAGAGAAACAAACGAACACGCAAACTTTCATACAAGATGTCGCTCTTAATTCAGATTGATAATACACATAACTCTCCGCTAATTAGCTTTTACGCTGTTAGCGCTAATTATTGTTATGTAAAATGTGATTTGTTCTCGCGCGTCATAGTATCTTTACATTTGCGATGTATATGTTGAAAAGACCTGATCTAACGTTTTCTTAACATTTTATATTTAATTAAATTTATGTAATATAATTATCAATGTTAATTTAAAAGAATGCTTAAACTATCAACACCATTTAACTAAAACCGACGTCATTCCTATACAATGTGACACTTAGTTAACAAAGTAGAATTAACTTAAACATACATTTTTGGATTGGGTGCTTTTTATAATATAATTAGTTGTATCAACGACTTTGTCCGCGTAGAATAGTTATTTTGGACATCACAATTGGTCTTTGCTAACCTCCATGTTTATAAAGTATAAAATATAAAATATAGCTCTTCCCCACGATGACGTCCGCGTCCCGATAGATGTGTAATTTCTCGGATATTATTTTATTTCAATTAAAGAAAAATAATTCATTCATACATGTTTTTAGAAGATCTCGAACCGTTTTCGGAGTGTACGCAACGGTAAACCCATAAGATAGATATTTCTCCATTTAATTTTTTTAATTTCTCACTGCATTTTTGCTACTATTGGTCTCAGCCTGGTGTTTTATAGCTTAAAGTCTTCCTCGATAACAACTAACGCAAATAATTTTTAGAACTAGTAGTTCCAGAGAATAGCGCGTTCAAATAAACAAACAAACGCTTCGCGGCCTTATACATTTATCGGACATATATTAAAATCATTAACGAAAAAATTAACCTCGTTCTATACCGTTAAAAATATTTACACTACATTACTCTAAATTTACTCGCGTAAACTTCAGCTCTTTATGTTTATATATAATAAGCATTATAAATAAACCAAAATACTATATACCAAATAATCTCTAATGTATTGATTAAACACTTTAACGGTTTAAAACGCGATATATATTAAACTTGTTATTTTTTTTTAACTACAGCCCGACGTTTCGGATGCTTTGCAGCAGCCGTGATCTCCCCGTTATATATCGCGTTTTACCGTTAAAGTGTTTTATTTAAATGTGTACTACTCCCGTAAACGACAGACAGTATCTCTACTGCGATTTTTGTCTCTGTAATAGAGCTTCCACTTGCGAAACAGTTCGTCCCTAATTGGTTAGGCGCACCTTATTGTTATGTAATAATCTTTTATAGAAAGTGAAATATATTACATACCGGCAACGGAAGAGTTTGACATGATTAATTGCTATTACTTATTCAGTATTTTGTCAAAAGCAATAAAAATGACGAACTGTTCAGCACAATAGGAAATAGCACGCTCCAATGCTAGGTATATTTAGGTAGCTAGGTAAATAGATGCTAGGTTTGTGTAAAATTATACATTAGCAAGTTTAGTGTACTATAAAAAGTTCCGCACAAAGAAAGACTTTTAGAAGAAAAAATAATATTTTCGTATTACTATTATCATTATGGCACATAAGGAAAGAACAGCATACTAATAAACAGACAATATTAAACGGACATTTCACAGTAAAAGTGACCCGTAAAATATAAAAAAAAGGGATACAAAAATTAATTATTTTAATGCATTACTATCTGTAGAATCTGCGAGTAATACAAATAAACAATTACTTTTAACATAAATAAGTTTAACTAATAAATTTCGCGTTTCTAACCGTTAATGTATTAAATACTTTTTAAAGTATATATTGTTAAGATCTAATCAGTATCATTCTTAAAAATAAATTCACTTTCATTATATATCTAGTTCAATGCTCATATCGAGTTCGCATATAAAAGAGTTCAACGGGCATTAAGCTATTTTTTGTGTGATGGCGGTGAAAATTTAGTAACCCAAAAATTTAATTTATCAATTAGATGACTTATTCTTAACTATAACCCGGCATGCCTGCTATTGCTTTATATCCTATAATTTGATTCTAATCCGATTTATCGTGTTTACAACCGTTAATACTTTGTTTTAAAGATAACTTAATGTGATTTAACTAATTCCATGATCACTTTTGACATTTACTTTTAATTGATAACATCAATCGACTGAATATCAATAGTGGCTTATTTATTAACATATAACTCATTCACAACTTGACATATTAGATAAATTAATATTATATCATCTATCATCTTAATCGAGAACGGTATAAATATGAATGCTTCTTAATATATGTAAGTAGTATAAATGAACGCTTTGACAAGTCTTCCGTGGTTATATAAATAGGATTTATGTTAATTTATATTCCAAAACAGCTGGTATATAAATTCTTATATTTTCTTTACTTCTAGACTGATACTGTCTATAGTTTACGCGAGTAGTACACATTTAAATAAAACACTTCGGTTTAAAACGCGAAATATATCAGTTAAACTTATTTGAAAAGGATTTTTAACTTCCGCCCGACGTTTCGGATGCTTTGCAGCAGCCGTGACCACGAAACGTCGGGCCGAAGTTAAAAATCATTTTCAAATAAGTTTAACTAATATATCGCGTTTTAAATCGTTAAAGTTTTTTATTTAAATACTTCTAGACTTCCAATATCAGTCTAGATATAGGATTTTAATCATTTGTTAAGCAGTAAGTTATTTGTTAGTTAAATGTTGAATTATTGTATTTAATTTAGTTACGTAACTAAGACGTTCATCTCTAAAAAATGTTGATGAGCATCGTTACAGCACTTATAAAATACATTTCTGATTGTGGCTTGATAAAAATTCATTTAATTGTAATTACTAACATTAAATATAAACGTCGAAACGTCGGAGCGTAATTAAAATAATTTCCCAATAAGTTTAACTAATATATATCGCGTTTTGAACCGTTGTGTTTTATTTAAACTTTAAATATGTATTTATTATGTAGATATATTATAAACTTACCGTTCGCAGTACGGAGTTCATCTTAATAAGTTCACAATTACGCACAGTCCCTCAACAACAATTCACATATTTCACACACACTCAACTCACACTGAAGGGTTGTTCTCTATGATTGATCAGTGTTGAAATGAAGTTCAAGGATAGTTAGAGTTAGGTTTATATATGGGGGTAGCGGAGCGTGGAGGCTTCGTAGTGTGCAATAGTGCATATGCATGCAATGCACACACGCTCGCTGCACTGGACCCTTGTCTTAGACGTGCTGGCTAGGAAGTTAACGTTGCTATAAGTTCAAAAAGATAGAGGTTCCTAATTTAAAATGTGATCTATGTTACACGTATCAATATTAAAAAAAGGTTGTATTGTAGGTAGACACTGTTTCTCGACTTATTTTTTTTATATCTCACAATGTCTCTGAATATATACATACATTTAAATTTCTATGAGAAATAGTTATGTTAGGTTTACGTATTATACGGAACAGCGCTGTTTAGTTTTCTAAATAAATAATTGAGATTATACCCTTTTAATATTTATTTGTTACAGCTTTATTATTGATAACATACCACAAAACAGAAAAAGAGAAAAATCTTGCGTTCGAACTTATGAATGAAAGGCGGCCTTATCGCTGCAGCGATCTCTTCTAGGCAATTCGAAGAATAGAAAAAGAGAAAAAAAGGCTAATTAAATGTGTGTAAGGAATGAATAAACAATAAGTGTTCTTATTCCTAATTTATTTTTCCTAATTTAAATAAAAAAACATAATTAAATAACATACTGTGGATACTTAGGTCTCCACTGTGCCTAAGATAACCTCACGTAGCTTCTCTATTGAAATTATGGTCATAGTGAATCTTCCCAAACCACTTTCTACGATGCTCAGTTATTTATGGAAACAAGCGTTAGAAATAATCAATAGCCGTTGCGCTTTGCGGAAGCAATGCATTCTCACGACCTATGTACGCTCGTTACGTTTACAGCCACATCGTGAGACCTGTAGGAGACACATTTTTGTGTTTGTTTTAATGAGTTTAGTGGATAGTAGCTTAGTAGAAGACTTAGTGTACTAGGACTTTCTTGACAGGTATCTTGAATTAATTTGCTACTTGGACGTTTTGCTTAAAAATCATATCAAGGTAATTAGAAGTAAAGACAATAAACTAGAGAAAAATACTTTGACTGTATTGCCACAAATCGCCCTAATCCCATTATAACAATTAATTAATTAAAATCATTATACCCAATAAAACTATCTGTCAATGTTTGCCGAGTCATGCAGTTTGTTGTTTACAAAAATATATATCTAAGAATAGGTAAATTGAGATCTTTATTGAACCGTTAACGTATACGTGGAAACTGTGACGAATCAAAAATTAATTCGCTACTAACAATTCATCGTATTCATAATTCAGATTAAAATTCAGCTTCCCGTAATTCCGCAAATGCATTAAGTATTGTGAATTTTTATTAATAATTTAACATCAACAATGACCAGTATAACGCACAATGTGTTGAAATTGACTCAAGTAGACTACCTCAAGTAGTTTGTAGTGCAGTTTAATTTCCAAGGGAATTAAATATCTCATTAAGTATTTAAAATACAAACAAAAATTTAAGTAGTCATTAAATAAGTGATAAGAATAAATTTAAGCAAAAATGTGTGCATTCCTTAATCGAATGTTGTATTGGATATAACTAATCATTTCAAGTACTCCGGTAAACTAGAACTCTAAAAATCAACTTAAACATCAACAAGAAACATAGGTTTTATTTATACTATACTTTCATATCTTTATCGACAAATTATTGAACTAATCGTAGTAGTTTCCGCCGATAAGCAAGGCCGGAACAGGCAACGCCTGTAGGAAAAAGGTTATTCATAATGCGGTGCCGTTCCAATGTTCTTGTACCTAAGGCGTTTCGTTTTTAGTGGCACCTTCAAGGGGGAACGGACAAGAAGTAAAACAATAAAACATACTACTTTATTATGTAAACTCTACGAAGAAGATTACCGTTACAATTTGATGCAAAGAAATGAATGTCAATAACTCCAAAAATGTTTTAAATTCAAACAGTACACTCAACGTTTTAAAATGCGAACAGTTTTGTATAACAATCACACTATTTATTTTGCCTTTTAATCGGAAAAAGGAATTTATTTAATATGTACACGTTTATAATTAAGTGTAGCTTTAACGAAATTACCTACATCTTTGATTACTCTACATAAGTAGTCTTTGAAGTATATAAAATTAATATCTATGCCTATATTAATTTTGATTCTATTACGCATTTAACAAACGTAGAAAAAGTATTTCTTTTGCACATGGATTACCTACATATAGGATAACTTAAATCAAAATTTGTAGAATAAAGTAAAAAATTCTACAAATTTTGATATATGTTAAATAAATAAATTTTTAAGTTAAACTAATTTATTGTCGGTATCTATAAGGTTAAATATTATTTTTTTCAATTCTAATTTAAAAAATATAAAGCCAAACTTTTGTCATAAATTATAGCAAACAAATTCAATCGTTTTAAAACTATCTTTAGAATTAAAACGTTCGTATTATACCTTCGGAGAGTGACAGTTACGTAAATAATTAATTAAGTTCGCAACAGCATTCTACAAACTTGATCTTAATACGGACTCATAGTCTGATTTTACGTAACAATTCCTTCACAGACCTATAATATATGCTGTATGACAAAATCAAGTCCAAAAGAAGCGTGGCTTTCTCCAATAGTTCCTTCCTGCTGGTCCGGTTTGCGCTGCCGGCTTATTTTATACAGGAAAGGGCCTGACAACATATCATTAGCAACGCCCCAATCAGGAATGAGGAAAATAAACGCTAAGTGTTATATTATGTATGACAATTGTTATTATAAAAAGGGAACGAAAAGTATTTGCCATATAACGTCTAAATAAATATATCTTGGTTTTGGAATTCGGAAATCTATAGATTAAAACCAAAATGCTATTACTTCACAGCTTTTCCATTTCTGAATGGTGTTTCCGTGACCCGGACCTAACTTCAATATTCCTACCAGCCATTTGATATTCAGATTTCCAGACCTAGGTTTCCCGCCCCATTCTTATTCTATATATTTTCTATATTAATTTTTGTGAGCCCCAAAAATAAATATCTTCAAGTATCATTGATTCACGTATCGCATAATCAAAGGCCCTTAGTTCAAATGGCAAGAAAATATGTAAAAAAATAACTAAACAAAAATTTTACTTAAATTTATTGAAAATAATTCTTTCAGATTAATTTAAAAATATTGCACATGGTAACAGTCAAACGTAAATTTTTATAATAGTCTGACGTTAAAATAAATAATACATTTTCGAACAATACAAATTGTAATACTTTAGCGTTTTTTGTGGTTTACTTTAAAAGTGTTAACCCTCAAATGATATGATGATAATCAAGACAAGGCAAGGCGAGTGTACAGAAAAATTACGATATGTTTTTATTCTATTGTATAGAAAAAGCAATGCGTAAATCATAGTACGACGTATCTACTTGAAAAATGTTCTTAAATTCTCAGTTTAAATATAAGTCATTTTAAGAAAAGGAAATACTTTAACGGTTTAAAACGCAATATATATTAAAACTTAATTAAAAATTAATTTTACCTACGGCCCCAAGTTTCGGATGCTTTGCAACAGCTGTGGTTACGGAGGAGACGTAGTTAAAATAATTTTTAAATAAGTTTAACTAACATACATCGCGTTATAAACCGTAAAAGTGTTTTATTTACATGTGTACTACTCGTGTAAACTACAGACAGTATGTACATTCTCAGTTTTGTCTAATCTAAGGTTTTCAAATGTTTTCTACAAATTACGAAATTTATTTCTACAGTATCTTAAAATTTTGTACAAAAACATTTTATCGCAGAATTAAAACTTTGCGCCTAACATTATTTATACTATCACAATACATCTTACTATAATATTTACAACAATTCCATACTATTTCATGATGATTTCTTAGCGTCGGGCCTCTCCGTTTTCTTCGCTTTCGTCGAAGCTTCTGCCTTGTTATCAGGCTTGGCCATGCGCTTTGGATGAGTATGGTGATTCCTAGGGTAAGACGGTCTACTCGCCACTGGCGGTACATAGTGGGCACTAGAAGTATACTCCTCTTCTTGTTCCAAATCATGATGGTACCTTCCTGCCTGGTTATAGTGCATAGAGTTCACATAGGACACCTTCTCGCTGCTCGGTGTTTTGAATACAGTCTGTGGCACCATAATTCTGTACTGAGATTGGTATTTGGCTGAAGGCATTGGAGTCACATAGCTTACAGTTTGCACGCTTTGTTTAGGCTTCTGCGGAGCGCTGTATGAGTTTGGGAACACAGTAGCAATGGTATGGTCTTTGCTCGGATAGTTTTCTGAAAGCGGTGATGCCTTGGCTGAATCAGCGTTTTGATAGGAATAGTCTTGACCCGAAACTCCACTACTCTCCTCATACTGTTCGGAATGTATTAAGCGAGAAGGATATACTGACACTTCAGACTCTTTTTGTCCTAAAGCAGATACAAATGTTTTTGCGTCATATTCTGGTTGTATTTCTTCTTTTAAATACTCAGCTTCCCTCGCTGCTTCATATTGAGGAGCTGCGTCAGCTGAAGTGTAGTACGATGATGTTGGTTGTACTAGACTTTGTTGTGGAGTACTATGAGGTTCATAGGCCTCCGCTGGAATTTCCTGACTAGTTTGCTCCTGGGTTCTGTACTCGACATTAGGATGGGAATCTTGGACGTTAGAATGCTGATCTATTGAAGTATGTGTGTTCTGGTACTCGTGCTGAGAAGCTGGATGCTCGTATTGAGATGGAACGTAGTAGGTTTGAGGCTGAGCAGCTGTCTGAGGAACGTACTGATACTGGTATTCGTAACGCTGGTGTGGTGGTTGACGGTACAGAGAATGTTGTGCTGGCGTCACGTATTTCGGTTGCGTATAACCTGATGGGTATCTTGCCATTACAGGTTTAACCGCGGAGTATTGAACTCCTGAATAATCCGCATGTGTGTATGAAGGCTTTACGTATGGATGAGCATAGTGCTGAGGTTCACCTTCAGTTTGAGAAACATGAGGATTTTGATAAGCCATTATTTGAGGGGCAAACGAGTATCCGTGCTTCTTAAAATATTGGTTGACTAATTGTTGGAGGTTTACATTATTCAGATAAGACGATAATGGATAGTTATTTGGTAAGTTCGCATACAATTCAGCGGAAGGATTTTTGATAGAAGAACTAGGTATTCTTAGGACCAGGACTGGTACGATTCTCTGACCTAACTGCGATTCGTGAGTTTTCAGATGGTCTTGAGTTAAACCTGCACTCTGGTATTGAGGGTTCGTCAGTAACTGCGATGGATCGACGAAGTAGTTCGACATCAGATTGGGAAACTGTGAACTTAAGCCAGAAAATTCTTGACCGTTGTACGTTGTGTATAGAGTTGACGAAGGCTCGTTTCCTCTGCTGAATGTAGGCGATGGTGTTTTAAATTCGATTTCAGGTTTCTTGTAGTCGTATGACGCTTGCTGTTCTTTCACTGGTACTAATTCAAACGCTTGTGATGGCTGTATCTCTACATTTGTAGATGTCTTATGATATTTTCCACCGACTTGTGAGTAATCGGTATTATAAATGCTATGACGCGCCGGGATATCTTCTTGAGAGTATGGGTATATCATGAATCTGCCTTTATCTTGGGACGACTTTCCAAAATAATTGTATGAGTATCCATTGTTAGTACGATATCCATAACCAAGGTTGGCATCAATTGTACGTTTTCCTTTTGTCTTAGAATCTGTATCGTTAACTATTTCTATAGCAATAACTGCTGGGAACGTTAGCTTTTTCTCTGTAGTTACATTTTTGGTATTGTCATTAATTTCCGTGTCTGCTTCATTAGTTTCAACTGGAACTTCATTTTTAATGCCAAATTTCTCTTCCACTTCTCTAAGGAACTGCCTCTCGTTATTCGTGAGTGTTTCAGTTTTTTTGTCAACTGAATCTGGTTTGTATTTCTTTGGCTCGGGCGCAGCTATCACTACAGCTACCATACAGCATAACATCTGGAATTGAAAATAGTTTCGAGTTAACATTTATTTATCTCAGAGATTATTGCATAGAGAATTTCTCAATAGAATTAGGTTTGTTTATATAACACACATCATTGCAATGCCAATAACTAATACATATCTCATCTTCATGAGATTTTTACGTTGCCTCATTATTACGTAAAGCTCAGGTAATAACGAAATATATTACGATACCGTGAAGTCATAAGGCTGTGTTGCACCTCTTTTAGCTTCTGAGAGCTACAAATGTTCATAATGCATCTTTTTATGTCGCATTACAACAGAAAACGCACATTTACTTTTTAATATCTCGTAGTAAATATACATGGCCTCACTTAGAGTGATAAGTTATATAAATTATCATAATCAATAGATTAATCTCTATAATAACATTACATTAGTTATAGATTAGTTAATTATGATAGAGGAGCACAGTCGAGCATGCGTTTCACTTGATAGAACGTGAAATACCCCAGCCACAAACATCTACACAAGATGCGCTATCGACCTATTTCGGCTTTGGATATTCGGAAATATACAGATTGAAACCGCTTTGAAACTGTACGGTTTTGCATCTGTATACGGTGGTATGTGATCTGGACGAAATTTCGAGCTTGGGTTAAAGCTAGTTTAAAACCGCAACCACGATTAATAGTACATGCTTTTAACAGATAACAAAGAAAAATATATAGAAACACATACTTAAAGTACCGAATGTATTTACAGAAGTGGTAAGTAGCTTATAATGTCTGCAGTTTACGCGAGTAGTGGCCATTTAAATAAAACTAAAACTAAACTAAAGCCGTGGTCATGGGGAACCTGCTGCAAAGCATCTGAAACGTCGGGCCGTAGTTAAAAATAATTCTCATAAAAGTTTTACTTAAATATATCGCGTTTTAAACCGTTAAAGTGTTTTATTTAAAAGTGGTAAGTTCTTATCTGACCACGATATTTTGATAATACGTTAATATCATATATATTTCCTTATGATCATACCTGAACGTAATATCAAGTATTTACGTAAATTATAGACACAGCACACATCAAACCACATCTAATGACTCATACGATGTAATTATGTAACGTTTTTCCAGTTATGCGCAAGAGTTCGCCTCCGTAACCCCGCGCTTTTCACCGCCATTAAACTGTTCGTATAATTAAAAAATTTAATTATTCATACAGTTCATGACATAATACGAGTATTATTAAATATGTTTGCATAATGTAGATCCGTTGGCTATGTTAATTTTTTGCTGGAAATTTGCTGTGGATAACATTTTTTATGAAGAAGATTTTTAAATTTTTTTTTAAATAAGGGAGCCGGGGTAAGGATATATCAAATCGTATTTAAAAATAATTACTAATACAATCTTTGCTTCACCTGTTAATAACACAGAACTACTTTTATGAATGATAAAGTACAAGATTTTGTTAATACATTCAATGTCCTTAGTTTCATAAAACTCATATATTCAGTATTAATTTTGAATCGACAATTTATGTGGAAATAAGGACTCAAAGATAATAATCTTACTTTAAACAGAACGAAAGTTATTATCATTAAAATATTGCTTATTGCATACAAGGTTATCGAAGAGTGACATAAAAACAAAAAGTAAAGTTAAGAGAATTGAAAAATGCAATTTCTCAAGAAGTTTGTGAAGTGGGTAAGGAGTTATAAAAAAAAAAAAAAAAAAAAAAAAAAAAAAAAAAAAAAAAAAAAAGGGACCCCCCCCCCGCCCGCCGCACCGACGCGCAAGAATCATAAAAGACGTAACACACGATTAAAACCTTAAATGTTTTATAAATTGTACTACTCGCGTAAACTATAGACAAAGTATTTAAGACTTTAATTTTCAAAAACACCTTTTGTTTATTACTACAGGAAGTGAGTTATATTATATTTGCTTACTATATAATTTAAAATAAAAAAGGCACCCTGTAAAATTTCAATCTAACATAGATATAAAATCCTTTAAAATTCTTCGCTAATTGTTTAACGATAAATGATACAGAGGAAAGTCGGTAATAAGAGTTTTTTTATGTACTATCTTATAGTTTAAAATGTTTTTAACGGTTTAAAACGTGACATATTTTAATTAATTTATTTACAATGTATTCAAATAGTGTTTAATTTGATGCTAAGCAGTAGCCATCATCAAATGGATTGAAGATGGAGGATATCCAAAGCCAAATAGATCAACAGCGTATCTTGTATAGATGCTATCTGGCTAAGGTATTTCACGTCCAATCCAGTGAACCATGCTTCTGTGTCCTCCTCTATAATTAAAAAAAATATCCCTAATGTCAAAGTCAAGACTGCTACGCAAGCGCCATCTGTTCCGTCGTTGTTGTTAATTGGCTTTTTTGCTTAGATATTCTACAAATGTTAGTTACGCGCATACTCATAATGGATTTAGATAATTATCATTCTATTATTTATCCAGACATGCACAAATAATGCACATTACGTGTGTCTGAAGTAATGCAAGATGAAAGTAAGTTTCGCGATAACTGACATAGAGAAAGTATCATTCAAGTTTAAATGTAATATTATGTATTTCCTGTTAGTAATCCTGCCTACGTCTCCGTCATCATCGTTTATAACAAATAAAACTCTTTTAATGACTTCCTATGTTAAGTAATGATTTATTAAGTTCACAAGTTGACCCGCCAAAGCAATTTTATTCATTTCAAATGAATTACTATTGTAGAAAAAGTTACTAACTTCTTGTTCCTATGTAAAGATTTAGTAAGTCAGTGAATGAGTCATGGAGTACTGTGAACGATAAGGCAATTAAAAAAAAATAAGCGAAGGTAGATATGGAAAGGGAATAATTTAATTTATTACTTTTAATGTCAAATTAAACATCGTGAAAGCCGGGCTGAATTAAACTTTCCAAAAGTAACTATATCGCTTAACGTTAAAGTGTTTTATAAATATGGTCAAAATATTAATGGAAATATAGAAAAGTATAACACGAGTATTTTAACTGCTTAGTAGTATATAAAAACATGTAGCACGTTCCAGATATAAATATCGGAGTATAAACATATCCGCGAAACAAAGCGAGAGCAGTTGTGCTAAAAAAAGAGATATTTGTCTTGAATTATATGTAGGCAGTTATAATTTCATATGATCTGTATATGTTACTATAACGATGCTAACATATAGTAAGTAAATACGTGCGAAACGAATCAATGATAGGATTTCCAACATTGAACGTCTAAATGTATATAATAATTGGTAACTAAATCGCCACTCTTTCTATTAAAGCAGTCATTTTAAATCAAGACCATCCAAAATGGTGTCACGTCAGTTTTAAATTTCGTCTATAATTAGTAGTTATCTGAAGCATACATAACAATAAAGTTTGTAATATGAAATTTATTTTAATTTCGAAACGAACGTCCTAACACACTATTAGGCTTATGACCTTTTTATAACATTTTTGGGCAATCAATTATTATTGTTATTAGAATGAAAACAAAAGGCGATCGCCTGACAGTTCTTGCGCTAATCTTTCCATTCAAAACCGACTAATGCCCATCATCTGTTTTTTCACAATCACGATGAGTGTTATTATACTCGAAGCGATATTGAGGGCGTGTTTGTTACTGCATATTATTTAACAACTGTGCAAGATCTATTGTTAGAAATAGGCCGTCATATGTTTATGTCTCTTTTAAATAATTTGCAATAGTTTGAGAAACTTACGTACTTTTTTTGTAACATAGGTGGACGGACAAACTCGCAGTTCATATGACATCTAAAGATGTATGTCGATCTCCATCCGATCGATAAACAAATATTTGTCACGTTTTAAACTGTTGGAAGTGTTTTAATTTCTTTCTTAAGTACTTAGTTAAGGAGATACTTGTTCAGGATAAGTAATGTGAATTACATTAGAGGTAATTTAATTTACTTTAACGTTGTGTAAACAATATTTAAATGTCAATATCAAAGTTTCTTTTCTTTCAGGCTACGAAAATAGAAATCTTCTTTCATATTTTTTTAGAAACTTGACTTGATCTAGAATTGTTATAATCTCGATACAGAAATCTAGGTGATAAGTAAAAAACGCAGCCCAGACGTTTGTTATAATGTACCGTTAGCACTTCTATTTCAGATAAAGATGTAGCAAGATGTATAAATCTCAGTAAAGTAAACCAGTTAATATAGAGATAGTAATAGAAAAATAAACCAGATTAAATTATTGTCTAGGTTAATTCAAAGTTTATATCTATTTCAATAAAACAATGATAACGGTTTAAAACGTGAAATATATTAGTTAACCTATTTACTTTTTATTTTAACTGAGCCCAACATTTCGAATGCTTCACTGCAGCCGTGGTGACGGGGGTGTTTTATTTAAATTTATAAAATTGTATTACAACAAACATAGTTTTTGACGGGCCCCTTGGTCTGTGTGCCTAATAATCAATGGGTCGTAGATTCGATCCCCATCGGGTCTGACATGTTTCTAATCAATTTATAATTCTTCCGAAACATGTTGAATAGGTGGTAGGAATATCGAAATCCGGGTCACGAACCGCCGTCCGCAGATGAAAAGACCGTCAAGTAATCGCGTTTTAGTCTGTGCATGTCCGAATATCCAAATTTAAAATAAGATGACTGCGTATCTCGTACATGTATTTGATTGATTAAAAGCTTGTCTTTCCTCCTTAACATTAAAAAAAGTGTGATATTTACCAAATTAAACCACCGCATCGTCGCAACCGGATAACAATGGCGCCGTCACTTCTGTCAAAAGAAAACACACTTCACCACACAACACTAGCACTAGCTTACGCTATTCTAAGCTTTATAGCTGTATTATAAAGCTGAAATTCCCATTCAAGCGTAGATGACCGTACCTGATTTCGTGTTCCAGTGGCCGAATACGTATAGCAATGGGTTCGTGAATAACTCTGTTACGTTCTTTTATACCTCGGAAGAGTTCACGAGATGCGCCGTCCGAAAGCACACCGCA